ACCTATAAAGCTCTTCACCTCTTTTGAGTGCTTCATCCAGCCCCCTGATCGCGCATCTAACGGAGCGTATAATGGCTATATTAGCGAACCAGGTGTGGAAATCAGTAAGCCATGAATGCATGAATCCTGCCACCTCTTGTACCCAAATATATGAAATGATCAATCGAGTTTCTGTTCGAAGCTTCAGGTTCCTTTTGAATGATAGCTCTATCCATTGTCATATCTAGACCATGTCGTCCTAATCCCGTCTCACCGCTTATGTATGACGCTTCGCTTTGTCCGGTAACTAGCACGCACAGCTTCCTTCATATATCACTGGATGCGGCCATCAGGTCTTCTACTTCTCGTAGATCCAGTCGTGCTGAGCCAGCTTGTATTGCAGCACCTCGTCCTTGCTAAACCACAAATCAATTTCTTTCTTCGCACTCTCGACAGCGTCGGAGCCGTGGCAGACGTTGCGGCCAACGTCCTGTGTTTCAATCAGCCACATTCCTGCGTCTTACTGTGTTCCAAGAATTGAGAACTCACGATGGCGTAGTCCCCACGGATAGTACCTGGGGCAGAGGCCAGAGGGTTCGTAGCACCTAGCAGGGCTGTGATGGTCAGTTGCTGGTGATGAATCTTGAGGGAGGATGATTGCACGTACTTCGGCCAGTCTTGACGGCATCACGGCCCTCCCAGACCATGGCGCAGATGGGCCCGCTCAGCATGTCTATCGAGAACGTCAGCCAATTTCCGGTCTATATCTATAACGTAGATCGGAACGTTGAGGTAGCTGCGTACAGGTGACGAGGCCCTTATAGAAGGGCTTGTCGGAGAGATCCTCGTAGTGCTTCTCGAGGTGCTCTTTTGAAGGAGAGACCAGCTTCATGGCTGCAAGCTTGTAGCTACATCTTGCGTTAGCTCAACTGGCTTCTTACAGGATCATGGTATAACTTGCCCTCGCTTCTCAAATCGTGAGATAATGTCGCCGATGAGTCCACGCTGTTGAAAGCAGGCTTAGCATTCGGTCAAGCCTTGCCATTGGGTCTCAAAACAGCAAAACCGAGGAGCCTATGAGTCAATTGCATACTTGGACACCATCTGGCTTGATAGCAATGAATCTAGATAATTGTGAGCTTCACCGCCAACTAACTGGCCCCTCCTTGGTCTGTCTGCCCTCGGTACTTACGTCTGCTCGTTAGACATATTTGCAGATTTTTCCTGGCCTTCCTTGTATTTGTGCGATTGACGAAGTAGGCCTTGTGTTTTGGCGTTGAGATGCTTGTAGATGGGAGGATCTTGTGTGGAAGTTGGAATGTTTTTGTTCTCCATTTGTGGATTTATTGGTTGTCTTGGCAGGCTCGATGGGGGTGCCTCGGTGGTCTGAGTGGGGGTCGGCCCGACAAGCTTCCGTGGGTCGAAGTACGGTTAGGCATTCGGCACTTACCGCAGCGGTCCAATTGTTTGGAGGCTGATGAACAGGATGGAAGGACTTCTCCAACTTTCAGTCTATATCCCACCCTTCTGGTGATTCCTTTGGCGTTGGGCCGCGTGTTGTGGTGGAAACGTATGGTCATTATGTTTCCAGCTCAAGGATGGGGGCAATTGCTCCCTCTCCTTCTTGTCTTCTGTCTTTTCAGGTCAGCATGTATGCATCTACCTCCCATCCAAACATTTAGTCCCGTTTCGCTGATGAAGTGTGCTTTTAGTCACCGTAAAGCATGAGGGATTCAAGACTTGCGAACAGTCCGGCTTCTGTAAGCGAAACCGAGCCTATGCAGACAATGTGGCCACGCTGGGCAATTCATGGACCTCTCCTTACACACTCTTTTCGAAAAGCTTGAAGATAGACAATGGATATATTACAGCGACACTATTTAAGTCTTTGGGAGAGGGTGTCCAGTCTGTAGAACTCTCCCTGATGATTACATTCCTTCAATCTGGGGCAGCAAGGATTACTGTTGATGAAAAGAAGCGACGACAAGGTGAAATCGAGCTTCGACATGGAAGCCAAGCTCGAAAAGAACGATATGATGAAGCTTCGAAATGGGCCATCGTTGGCGGAGAGAAGCTGGACAAGTCCGCTAAAGCAGACACCTCTTCGAAAGAGACAGTCGTGAACTATGGTCCCAACAATCGGTACAGGGCGGTCATAAGCCACTCTCCATTCTCAATAGACTTCTTCCGGGACGACCAGCTACACGTGAAGCTCAATGGAAAGGGTCTGATGAATATGGAGCAGTGGAGACCTAAGGTCGAAAAGCCGGACATCAAGGAAGGTGAAGATTCAAAAGAAGAGGAGCAGTCAGTCGAGCAAGGCGAGGATGAAAGTACCTGGTGGGAAGAGACATTTGGTGGAAATACCGACTCAAAACCCAGGGGTCCTGAAAGCGTTGGATTGGACATAACGTTCCCGGGCTATGAGCACGTATATGGTATTCCAGGACATGCAAGCTCTTTGTCGTTGAAGCAAACTCGGTATGGACAGCATGAATGTTTGAAATCATGGATCAACTGACAATCCCCAGGGGTGGGTCCGACGCTTACGAGCAACCATACCGATTATACAATAGCGACGTATTCGAGTACGAGATGGACAGCCCTATGACATTGTATGGAGCTATCCCTTTTATGCAAGCCCACCGGAAGGACTCCACTGTGGGCGTTTTCTGGCTCAACGCCGCCGAGACCTGGATCGACATCGTCAAGCGGAAGGTATCAAGTAATCCGCTGAGTCTTGGTATTGGAGGCAAGACTGACACCGAAACTCACTGGTTCTCCGAGAGTGGCCTCCTAGATGTCTTCGTTTTCCTTGGCCCTACGCCCAAGGACGTCATCTCTCAATACAGTGAGCTCACAGGATACACACAGCTTCCCCAGCAATTTGCAATTGCGTACCACCAATGCAGATGGAACTACGTTACAGATGAGGATGTCAGGGATGTTGACAAGAAGATGGATAGGGCCAGGATACCTTATGATGTGATCTGGCTCGACATCGAATATACAGACGGCAAGAAGTATTTCACTTGGGATGCTCACACGTTCCCGGATCCTCTGGGAATGGAAAAGCAATTGGACTCCCATGACAGGAAACTGGTCGTCATTATCGACCCACACATCAAGAACGAAGGCAATTACCTGGTGGTAGACGAGCTCAAGTCCAAATCATTTGGTGTCAAGAACAAGGACAATAATCTCTACGAAGGCTGGTGTTGGCCAGGATCGTCACACTGGGTCGACTGCTTCAATCCCGCCGCCCTTGAGTGGTGGAAGTCTCTCTTCACCTACTCATCCTTCACAGGCACCGCTGCAAACACCTTTGTCTGGAACGATATGAACGAACCCTCAGTCTTCAATGGCCCAGAAACCACTATGCCAAAAGACAATATTCATCACGGCAACTGGGAACATCGCGACGTACATAACATCAACGGCATGACCTTTGTCAACGCTACCTACCACGCGCTCCTAGCCCGCGAACCGCCAGCCTCCCGCCGCCGCCCGTTCGTCCTCACCCGCTCTTACTACTCGGGCTCCCAACGCCTTGGCGCCATGTGGACCGGCGACAACCAAGCCGAATGGTCCCACCTCGCTGCCTCAATCCCTATGATCTTGACTCAGAACATCGCTGGCTTCCCTTTCGCTGGTGCCGACGTCGGCGGATTTTTCGGCAACCCAAGCAAAGAGCTTCTCACCCGCTGGTACCAGGCCGGCGCCTTCTACCCCTTCTTCCGCGGCCACGCCCACATCGACACCCGTCGCCGTGAGCCATATCTCGCTGGTGAGCCCTACACATTCATCATAACGCAAGCGCTTCGTCTCCGCTACCAGCTGCTCCCAGCTTGGTACACAGCCTTTCACGCCGCCTCTGTCTCCGGCGTTCCCATACTCCAACCTCACTACTACGTGCACCCCTCCGACGAAGCTGCGTTCGCAATAGAAGACCAATTCTACCTTGGCTCCACTGGCCTACTAGCAAAACCTGTCGTCACAGAAGGCGCTGAGACCGTCTCCATCTATTTGCCTCCTGGCGAGACATACTATGACTATTTCACCTACACCACCCACGTTGGTAGCGGCAGCACTATCGCGATACCAGCACCATTGGATAAAATCCCTCTCCTGATGAAAGCGGGCCATATCTTCCCCCGCAAGGATCGGCCTCGCCGCAGTAGCGGTTTGATGCGTTGGGATCCTTACACTTTAATCATCGCGCTTGGCAGTAACGGTGAAGCAGAAGGCGACCTCTACGTCGACGATGGTGAATCTTATGACTACGAAGACGGTGCCTACATCCACCGCCATTTCAGCTTCTCCTCTAGTACCCTTAAATCTAGCGACCTGTCAGCCGACACTGACATGTCGAAACCAAGCAAGAAGAGGAAGGCTTACCTTACAGCGATGACTGCTGTGCGCGTCGAGAAGATGGTTGTTATTGGTGCGCCGATGGAATGGAAGGGGAGAAGCGAGGTGAAGGTTGAAGAGCAGGGCGCGAAGCAGACGAGGACGGTGGAGATGAAGTGGTTTCAGGGTGATGGAGGAGCCGCAAACTGGGCTGTTATTAGAGATCCGGGAATGGAGATTGGGAAGGGGTGGACGGTCGAGTTTTGAGACGACGCTTGAGAGTGTGGAACGATGAGAGCTTGGGGGTTGATGTTCCTCAGATGAGGACTCTTGAGACGAGGCAATGTACTGATAAATGTAGGTAGAATATGGGATGTTTGGTTTGAAATACAGTTGAATATTTTTCGTGAATTTGGCCTAGTCATCGCACCTGTTGGCTCACCCAATCCTCTACAATGACTTGGAGACGGGGAACGATCATCAGCAAATCATCTTTTCTGTTACGTTATCGTTAAAACCTCAAAAGCTGGGTATGTGGGCTCAAATCCTCGCCTTGACAGATTTGAAGACCCGTGAAGGCGCCTCGCTATGCTAGCAAACAAGCAAATCGCCATGCCATAGCTAACAGCAATGGGTAAATTAGCCCTGAACTTGTGAAGTGAAAATGGTCATCAGTCATCGATTACATGAATCTGGACTTCTTCAAAGTCGCTTGAAGCCGCCTTAGCAGACTTTTTCCTCCGCTTCGGCGGCTCCTTGCGCTCTTCGCGCCGTTCTGATGGCTTCTCAATCGTGAAAACCATGTCCTCCTTCTCCGGTGCTTCCTCAACTTCTCTTCGATCTTCTTTGCCATTTTTTCTACGCTTGGAGCGCTCATTACGCTCACCCTGCAGGTCAGACAGCCCATGTGTACTGTCAGAGATGATAGTGAAATTTGCTGAGACTGGTGCTGGGTCCGCATTGGTAGCCGGAACGATCGTAGCTGGTGTATTCGTTATTTTCGCATTTTTATGCGATGTATTGGATTTTTGTGAGTCTGGGATCTCGCTCGGTAACTTAGGAGACTTTTCTTTCTCGAACGAAAGTGGAACGGGATTGACTATCCTGGAGTAATTCGATTCAGGGTAGCTCTGTTTCGCCGAGGAGAACGAAGGATAGGTAATGCTTGTAGGAGCTGACACCCTTCGCTGGCTCTGGCTGTCGACCACGATGACAGACGGGTCATCCCATTGAACTGCTGGAGCCTCTTCGTCAACCCCACCATCGTGTATATCCGTTTCGTCATGGTCTGAGTTGTACAGACGCTGATATTCTGCGCTTTTCTGCATTTCTCGCTCGTTGGTCTGTAAGAGTTCCTCGAGCACATCATCTTTCTTGTCAAGATTCTCCTTCTCACAGCGGCGAGTAGTCTCGAATGCTCCACTTTCTGTTCCTGAGATGCCCAACAAGGAAGGTTCAGGTACCTTGCTCGTCGTGGTTGGGACCATTTCCGCACCGTTGGCTTTACCAAATCCTTTTTGGGCAATCTTCGCTTGATCTGGAGCACGCGATGGGCTCGATACTAGCTTCTTATCCTCCATTCCAGCGACCTTCCCTGACTTTTTAGCGCTTTCCTCCCTCCGCTCGTTCGTTTGGATCTCATGCAGCTCTCGGACTTGATTGCGAACGCTTGCTCGTAGGTCACCGGGCACAAGCTTTGTCCAATCTTTTTCCTCATGTGTTTGTTGGATAGTCTTCGTGATGAAATCCTTAGGATCTGTCTCGAGACTGAGGAATGTGTCCACATAGCCGAGTAGGAACACGCCACAGTCCGAAAAATTGTCCTGTTGAGGAATCCGCTTCGCATTGACACCCTTCATCTGTGACTCCTCAAACTCCATGCCGCGCTTTGCTTTGGCCTCCTCACGCAAATAGTCTTTGAGTATCCTAATAGTTGGGCCGCGGGCTTGTCCGAGTGAGTCGAACGTTATTATGGCTGGTTTATTTGGATCAACCTTGGTAATCGGGGCTGGCAGCGCCTTCCGTTTGCTCTTTCTGGACTTCGCTGCAGCTTTGGGTTCTTCGTGTTGGTACTCGATAAGATCTTTTACCTCATCGCCTTGTCCCTCGGAGGGTGCTGGATGATTCTCAGCTTCCGTAGAAGCGGCAAATCCAGGCATAGTATCTTCGATCTGGGAATCAAGCATTTCCTTATCTTCGGAGGCCGGACGTGCCTTTTTTGGGCCGTCGGTGTCGTAGAGACCTAGTTCGTCGCCTGCAGCCAATCCTGCATCATTGTCCAAACTCATTTGTGAGAACGAATTCCTTGTATCCCTTTCGTTTGGCTCCTTCGCACTTGGAAATAAGTTTTCGGACTCGTCACCACCCGGCTGATCTGTAGGGCTTGATGCACGCTCTTCCGTTTTTGGTCCTTGCTTTGACACGGCACGACCATCTTCGATTGGCAAAGTAGCCTCATCCTCAGGCATTGCCAAGTCGCGATCCAGAGCAGGCAGATTGCAAATTATAGCAAGGTACCAATGGGCCTGTTCGTTAATAGGTACTATGATGTAGTCGTAGGTGAAAAGATCCACAGACCTAGTCCACTTCTGCACACCCTCGTAATTGAAACGCTTTCTGCCTTTGTGAGTGTTTGTCAAAGTTGCAAAGAAAAATGTGTTGAAGAAGTAAACTCTCTTGGCAAGTTCTGGTCTCTCTTCCTCAAGTCTTTGTTCTAGGTAGCGTAGGTAGAAGCTTATGAGGTTGTCATTGAGGAATTCACCTTCGTCTAGACGTTCAAGATCAGACCACTCCACAGTAGTTTTCTTCTTGCCAACCTTGGGGTACGTCAGAGGCCTTTTCCAGGGGTCACCTAGACCGTGTTTCACGGAGTACTTTTCTTTCTCGGGTATCCCATCCAAATTTGAGAGGAGACTCTCGCCGTCATGGACACCTGAGTTTCTGGTCGACCGCCGCGGATTCAGATGCTCATTATGGGCTGGCTTGACTTTTGCAAAGATTCTTTTGATACCACTTTCCTCTGGAAGCCCGTCAGGCATTGCTAGCACACGCGGTTCGGGCCGTTCAGCGGCAATGTCAGTGTCATGGGTGGCATTGTGTACCAGCTCATCGACTATCGAAGACTTTGACTGCTGGCGGCTAGCCTTGTCAGTGTCCAAAGGGGCTAGGTACTTGCTGGAATCGTTACGCTGTCTGCTATAGGTAATTATCTCTACTTCTTCCGGCCTATAGCTTTTTGTCGCACCATGTAGGGTGCGCAGCTCTGATCGTCTCTTCTCGAAAATCTTCTGCATGTATTCACTATTTGAAGCTGTTAGATTTGGTGCATGACAAACCCCTCAAGTGCCCCAACTACATACCTAGACCTGCCAACCACGCCGAGGGCCCTCGGATTCTGTAGTCGCTGAAGTAGAATTGGGACATCGCGTTCAGACGCGAGTTCGAGATCCAAGACGTTATCTTCCGTCCCGCTTCTCGACGATTCTAGGCGTACCCTGACTCCCGGATTCTCCCACACGACTCTGTTCAACTTCTTAGGCTGAATTCGAAGACTACTGTGGGTGGTACGGATACGCTCGCCACACTGCTGGATATAGTACTCTTCCTGTTTCTGGTCGTGCACAAGGCCAAGGTCTTCATTTTTGTAAAGAGCTCCCGGAAGGCTGATTGCAGCAAGAGCAACGGACCAGGGCGGCCTTGCCTCTTGGCCAAGAGGTCCTGGACGGGAAGGACGTCCACGATCTCGGCTCTTGGCATTGAAGCGGGCGAAATCCGACTTCACTGTGCTCGGTGCCCAGACTGCAAGATCGTCCATGGGGGTTGTAGCTCTGAGGGTTGATGACGAATGCTTCGAAGGACTTGTCGAACGCATGTCTTTGGCGATAAACACCGCATCCGGATCTGCGTTTTGCCCAACAGTGGTTGGTGCCGACTGAAGTTCATCCGCGTCGGAGCTGGCATTGGCATCTGAGCCACGACGCGTGCCATCGGTAGCAATGAAAATCTGTGCAAGGCCTGGAGACTTTTCTCTAGTTAAATTCTGGGTAACAAGCTTCTGCTTGACGTTACCGTCCGATCGAGGTGCAGGAAGCCCAGGCTTGTTGAAAAAAGGGGATTGTGTCGGGTTGCCTTGCTCTTTGAGTGACCTTGAAGTGTTTGAACTGGTACCTTTAATTGTAGGAGGTGGCTGCCTAGCCGTACCCCGATACGTAGGACGGGGGGCAAATTTTGAATTGGTGTTGGTGATTTGAGACTCGTCTCCTGATATGTCTATCGGATTGGACATTGGTGAACGTTTTGGTGATGATGGAAGCAGGTCATGGTCAGGTTGGTGCTTTCCATTCTCACTACGACGCTGCCTCTTGCTTTTCGGTCTACTATCCATCATTTTCTCCAAATTTCTGTATTCGGAGGAACCATTTCTCTTCAGTGGGAGGCCCGATACCTGGCTATTTGCAGAAGCAGACGGAGCTAGACTGGGGACTTGGCTGGTGCCTTGGCTAGCGTGGAAGGATATTGCATGGGGTGACAATTGATCCAAAGGGTCTGTCTGGCCTGAGCTTGCCGGGCTAGCCTGGCGATCCAACTTCCGTCGTTTGGCTGAAGGGGGTGTAGGAAGGGTTTCATCCCGCTCATTCGTGTTTGATATAGATTTTACGTTGCTCCCTCTGTGTATCTCCACTGCTAAAACTCGCTGAGTTCCACCTGTTGGGTTTAGGTTGGGCGCTGCCTTCCGATTCACTGCTGGGCCGGCAGGGAATGGATCCCTGGAGAGAGTATTCCTTGGCTGAGGCCCTCTCGGGAGTCCTCTCGGGAGCATCTTCCTCCAGTCAGCATTGAAAAAGGTCACCGACCAGACCGAAACCAACCTTTCCGAACATACCACCATGTCTTGTTACTGGTTTTGCGATGGAAACAGCTTCTGGATCATCTTTGCTGAAGGACCAAATCAGTACTAGGTTCGAGCCCTGGAGCAACCGAGGATCTCATACCCTGAGCCTCCTAAAAGTCGAATCTCCTCGTCAGTAGGGGCCGAAAGTTGATCAAAGTAAGCTCTTTTTTCCGCTTCTGCGTTTGAAATTTGTCGAGAGCGGGACATCCGATCCACTTCTGGCAGGAGCGATTGTGTCGACCTTTCTCCAGCATTGAGATGAATTTCAAGGTGTGTATTTTTGTCTGGTGGTCGAAGTGTGAGTGGAAGTTACGAATTGTGTAGGTGAAATGATAACTGTTGCTTGAGCCTTGATGCATGAAGACATCAAGCGCCGGGACTTACCGAGAGCCGCTCCGTTAGCTTTGTTGCTGCGGAAATTTGCAACTTTCTCCATGTCTCTTCTAATACCGCGAACATCCACGAATTTGGCACTTATAGACTCGGCGTCCGGAATTTCTGGATCCATGCTGAGATATGTTTTGAAAGTAAAAATTCTCATCCAATGATGGTGACACTGGGAAAGTCAAGCAAATGATACACGTTGAACGTGTAACGTCAGACAGAGATGGAGCACGGTCATTTGCACTTCGCCTGTTCTGGCTGCAGAAAAGACAGGCCGTTACCGTGTTAGAGGGGTGGGACATCGAGGAGACCGAAAGCAAGGCTCGTAAACTGTTGAACAAAGGCTACAGTCAGGCAGCAGGCCTTAAGTGAATTAAGTCGGAGAAGCGCGATAATCTACTGCCCTTAATCACTTCATTCGCGCCGTCTCCCGTAGTAAGTTCCACACATCAATCATGTGCATTGTGGTCTGTGGATCGTGGCCTGTGGACTGGATGAGTTACAGCTATCCAACCTGCAGTACTAGTACAGGATATGCCCAGTCCAATCAATACTCATCGAAAATGCAAAACAGTGTGGCTTCGCTAATGACATACATGCAGTCGCTTTGAAACTCATCAATTATCGTACACAACCCTCCACAGGGATCATGCTGCTGTTCCCCTTGGCTTCTCCGGAGCCGAATCTTCATTGATGGTCTCCCTCCTCTTGGCTTGGCCGTGGTGTGGTCCAGAGCCAGTACCCTTCTCATGGCGTGCTTGATCGATTGCTGAGCGTTGGGCTATGCTGTCGTCGTGGCTTTTCCAGACGATGCTGGTGTCTGCGGGGAAAGCGAGGAGGCGCTTGATCGTCTCACTAGAGGATGGGATGTCAGTGAACAGACGTACGGCGTATGGCGGGATAGAGAAATTGGTGTTGACGTACCGAATCTTGATATTACGCCCACCATCGATCCTCGTCCAGACACTCAGCACATCCTCGCCGCTTCTTACACTCAACACAGCACCGCAGACCTCCTCACCAGCCTCAGCGAATTGGTCGCCCACAATTGCCAGAAGCAAATCCTCCCAGTATCTGTCCGAGACACCTTTCTTCAGCCTGATGATCCATTTGCCTCCTCTCTTATTTTCGTCGTCCTCCCATACTGGCCTAATGCCCTTCTTGAAGATGTGATAGTCGGAGACTGAGGGTAAAGTTGATGGTCGCTTGAGGTGAGTGTAGACTGTCCAGAATGCCTCGACAGAAGAGAAGTATGCGAGAGGTATAGTCGATTTTTCGTAGTCGGAGTATTTAGACGTTGGAGGTCGGTACCATACGATCCAAGTGGACTTAAGAGAGTGCTCTGAAGGTGTAGTGGATGACTTGTTGTTCAAAGATAATGCTGAGGGGTTCGTCTTGACATCTGACCCAACGCTGTCTTTCTCCTTCTCCCGCTTCTCGCCAGCGGCAGTCGAAGGTGTGGAGTTGCCGAAGTCAAGAGAAGTCCCTGGAGTCCTTGGTGTCTTCGCAGAAGATCCAAATGATGCAAAAGCCCCAGATCCAAGACCAAAAGCTGATGAGGCACCACTTGTAGGCGAAGCAGCATTCGTGGTTGTTAAGGGAGCAATGCCATTAAATGGATTGGATTTGCTGCTAAAAGACCCTTCCCCGCCGCCAAAGCGCTTCGCAGGTTGGTATGGACGAGAATTCTCAGACTTTGTGTTCTCTTTGTTGGCGCTGTTTGAGTTGGAGGTGGAGAGGGCAAGCTTGCTGGAGCTGTCGAACGCACCAAGTCAGTATTTGGGGGCAATTGGTGCTGGTGTAAGCTTACTTCGACCGGCGCTGCCATAAATTGTCCATGAACACTACAGGATCTAGACTTGGAGATTGTGGGAGCCAAAAGAACCCGAATGATGTTACATGCGCTTCTTTGCCAAAATGCGAGTATGCGCTCGAGTCACAAATGTACTCTAGAATCAGTCGTTAGAGATTCTTGGATCGGTTGGGCTTATATTGCAGGATATGGAGGACTTTGGAGGCCTATGGTTGAAGTAGAGCGTGTGTTTGGGAGGTATTCAGATTATATGGGTTCAATGACTGAAATTGTTGGAGCAAACACGGTTCCTACTTCAAAGTCTACAATTTTGGCGGTCAGGTACAGCGGTAGCGGCGGCTATACTCTTGGCACACTTGGCACTCTTGGCGATTTTAGCCGCGATCAATATCATCCCCGATTGGCGAATTTTTCTTCTTTCCTTTAGTCAAGACCACCAACTCAAATCATCCCAGCTCGAGCTCAATCCTCACTCGGCTGGCGATTCCGATGGGTAGGTCAAGAATACGCTTAAGCCACTTCTAAAACCGTCATCACGAGGACCGCTTTGTGCGAGCTTCCCATGATGCGGTGACGACCTGTATGTTGGGACATATCTTCTGTGATAGGCATGCGTACCACCAGACAATGTGACTATTAGAGAAGAGGTCTGGCTGGATACTATGAGGCCAATTAATCTCGAGTGCTTGCGTGCATAGCCCATCAAGTGGGAAAAGAACATGAGCATGACTCACAACTAACGAAAAGGAATGGCAAAACAAACACAAAAAAAAATGAGCCCGATGTGGGGGTCGAACCCACAACCTTTGATTGGGAAACTTGTTAGAATTTGTTTGCTTTTAATAGTTGGGTCGGTATGTACCTTGTGATTAAGAGTCACCTATCTCATGTTAGATATTGTCTTACTTCGCATATTAGATTATTAGTACGTACACGCTCTACCCTTTTTTTTGCTATTAGTGAAAATTACGAAGATTGATCGAGATGTTTCTTACGATTGAGCTAGAGCACCAAGTCAGTGAAGGAATTGAAACTGCTGATTGGTTTTTCCTTACCTAACCGGGCATTGAATAAGAAAGTTATCACTATTTAACTATATTTCTTACCAGGTATTTAATCGTTCAATCTCGAAGATTGTCTCAACGCAGATTCTTCTGTTCCTACCAGCACGAGATGGCTATCACATTTTCAGGTCTTTCGAAGATTACAGCCTCCTTTTATAGGCTTTTATCTTGCTTAACATCGCGCCATGGCTCATACAGCGAATTCTTCCACTCAATGGATTGTCTTTTGAGGCATCAGGTTCATCAAAGGTCCGTGCACCCTACTGTTCAAGCCTCCTTCCCTCATCATATGAAGATGCAACACAGCTTCTGGTAGTCCGAAAGCACAGCCACGTAATACACTCTTGCTTTACGCTTGGCGCTGGTTGTGCATGATGTTTAAAGGCAAAGACTGAGATTATATTGTAACACCCTCATTGTTCCATAATTCGTACTTCTTCGATGGCCGCTGATATGTGAATATATATAGATGATGAGGTACGGTTTCTGTCTACCGGTCACATGCTGGCAATGCTACGAGGTACGGTTTCTGTCTACCGGTCACATGCTGGCAATGCTACGATGGTTTCGGCGAACAGCGAGACAACCTACAACACTACCCTTGGAGAGGATGTGAGACCCATGGTCTCGAAGGAATAATAAGATCCATTCACACTTTACTACAGTAGCATGGTATGCGCTTTACTTCAGTCGCTTGAACGCTCACTTCGCAAGCTAAACCATGTTAACATTGTACGTTGCGAGGCCACACTAATGCACACAAAGTTAGAAGCCATCATCATGCATGTCACCTTCTATCTCTATAAGCCTTCCCATCCCTCAACTCATGCGCGCTGCCTTGAGTCTCATCCGGCTCTCCCAGCCCACCAATAAAGAGTGTGCTGAAGCGCGACTCTCGAGCGCTTTCTGACCTCCCATTCGCGTCCTTCGCCCCTCTTGCTCGCAAGACACGCTTTGGAGCCTCTATGCTCTCATGCACCACCTCCCTCTCTTCCACAACATCCAGACCTAAGGCACGCTTTTTCATTGATTCTCTTCTTTTGGCTTGTGAGCCAGGCAGATCGACACCTAAGCCCTCAATCTCCTCTTTTTTGATTGGTGCATCGCTCTTGTCTCCACCTGCTTTGGATTTCGTGGTCTTAGCCGTACCGTTAGGCTTCTTGTATTCAGGCACTGCATTCTCGAATCGCTTTCTCGCATCATCACCAAGGCTAGCCCACCAATCCCATAACCCACGGGCAAACCCTCTTTCCTCGGCTCCGAGCTCGACTGGTGGCCCACGTATTTGCACATCAGCCCCTTTGCGAAAGACTGCCCATGAACTACTCTCGGTGCTGAGTAGCGACAGACGCCTTTGGAAATGTTGGACTTTGAGCTCGCGTAACAAGAGGGCGTCACCTTTGTCCACGAGAGGAAAGCATCGGTTATTAGGTCGGAATATCTGTGCTGTGGTGATGGAGTGTTGTAATGCTGAGGACGAGGGATCGGTGATATAAAGAGTTTGGGTGTAATCTCTTGGTCCCGAGGTGGCACGGGTGACTGGCGTGCTAGATAGGGCGATGGCGAGGATGTCGACAGTCGTTGCAAAGTGTGATGTCAAAGTCGCAAGAGGCACAAAGTACGAAAGGTTTGTGCGAAAGCCTGGAGGAGGTGGTTGAGAAGGTGGGAGATATTGAGGAGACGATTGTATCGAGGAGATGTAGTTCGGCTGTGGGGAGCGTATGAACGTTTTCGCGAGTGGTTTTTCGGGAGTCCGAGGCAGCTGTCTACCACCAATCTTCGGAATTTCTGTTTGCGCTTCTCTTTCCGGCGAGCTCTCTGCTTCACTTTCATCCTCACTGTCTGGGACAACCTGGCTAGACTGCTTAGGCGCAAACCATGGATCTAGGACACTGGCGTCGCTCGATCGGGTTTTTGGGCTTTGGTTTGATAGCCTTCGCATCTCCTTCAGCTTCTCAATCAACGCCGATGTCTTTTTGGGTGGCGCGGTTGTCTCGAAAAGGGTCGGTACTTCTATAGGAGCAAGCGGCTGCGGAGGCACGACTCCAGCAGAAGTGCCTTGTGTCAGTCGAGGTGTTGGTAGGGTGTCACCCTCTGACGTGAGATGGAGTGATACGGATGATGGCTGGGATATAAAGTCTGTTCGTTGTGTTGAGCTCGGTGTCAAAAGTTGGCTCTTTGACTTTATGCCTTCAAACGAATCGGGTACGGTTGAAGGCAATTCGTCTATAGGTATTGACTTGAGCTCGGTTTCTGCTATTGGCGATCGCTTGAGACGAGGCTCCTTTTTGGATGATAGCTCGTGTTCCTTACTTTGAAGTCTTGCCTCCTGTAGTCGCTGGAATTGGGCCTCCTCTGTTAATGAAAGCTCTTTTTCATACCCTTCAATTATCGCTGCTGGAGACTGCTTGCGAGAACCCTCCCGTTCAGGTTCAAAAGCCTCTTCATGAGCTTCCGACCCTATCCGGATATCTACAGGCGGGAGCTCCTCGACCACCGCGACAGACTTGAGCACTAGTCGCGTAGAGGCTGGGGGAGTCGATAGACGATATGCCTCATATTTCAATGTCTGTTGCCCATTTCCAGCATCAGAGTCTAACGGCAAAGGGGTTTCGTGGGCTGACACCTTGTTTGTTGGTGCGAACTCGGAATCATCCTTATCGACGAGCGCTTGTAAGTCTTCCTGGCCAATGTTTTGAGGACTGATGTCGTTTTCGTCACCACTCTCCAAATCAATGATCTCGACTGTGGTCTGTTGGATTTCTGAGGTCAACATGCCCACACTTTCGGCGCGGTCCCTGACGTCGTGACTTTGAGTAGGGAGGATCTTCGAGTCCTCTTGCGGTAGCCTTGCATCTAGCGCCATTTCCTGTTGACGTGTATTTGGTGATTCATGTCGCACTGCTGAATCAGCTAGATCTTTCTCCAGGCTCGTCTCTAGAGTGTCTTCCTCATCAAAAGCCCCTGACAAGTCATCTTTTTCTCGACTAGAAGATGGGGACTCTTCCTCTAGAAATTCGGCTGGGCACTGTTCGGGAACCAACTCAGGCGCAGCTTCGTCATCGGGAGTTTCTGGAGATCTAAGCATAAGCTCTTCTTGAGATTCTTGACTTTCGAACTGGTTGGAAGACGATGACGGATTGCTTGGGGATCGCTGCACAGCATTCTCATCCTGAAGGCTGTCGACATCTCTCATAGAACCTACGTCGTCAGCAAGCAAATTTGCGGGAGCTGGATTCTTCGTGGCTTCGTCGTCAAGTTCTCCAGCTTCTGGACTCCCGAGCTGGTCAAGAAAGGGCAGTCGCACACCCGGACGTGGCTGTGCAGCATCGTGGCCCTCAAGCATGTCGATATCTTCCCCAGACCCTACGTTATCAGAAAGCAACAAATCAGCGGCCGAGTCTCTTGAAATCGATGGTTTTTCCGCTTCGTTTTCTATCTGCTCAACATCACTCTGAAGGGGAGACGGGATGTCCCTAGCATCGTCAGTGTTCAGGCGATCAGCTTCTACTCCTTCTTCGATTCTGTTGATGACACTTGGAGACGGAGCAAACTCTGCGGGTGGCGGAGGGCGGGAGAAAGTCGATCCGTCAAGGCCAAAGTCAGACGTATGACCGCTGTACATGGCAAGGTTGCTTTGTCCGGACTCGGACTGCTCGTCAAATAGGCTGTCAGATTCCTGATGAGATGCGTTATCGGATACTTGGTCCGACTCCCCATCCGGCTCTTGATAGCTTTCGGGCGCAGACGAAGAGGAAGCCGAAGACGATATTTCAATAGGCGCTGAAGGTGAAGTTTGCGCGATTTGGGCCCGCTCCTGGGAAACCTCATGGCCCACATAATCTGCCTTGTAGATAGCACTCGTCGGTCTAGGAATACTGTTGTCGACTTCCCCGTGCTCTTCTAGTATTTCAACCTTGTTAAGATCGGTATTCGTCGTATGCGGAGTTATTCCCGTAATAATAGTAGTCATCCCGCCATTTTCATCTTTAGCGACCTCGTCTACCATATGTCTACCACCGTCGACTTGGCTGAGCAAAATAGACGATTCTTCCCTCTCTTGAACAGACATATCTTTGACAGTAGGGTCATCTTCAGACTGGGCTCTCAGCTCACCACGATCAGTCAACGCGTTCGTCGCTACACTTGAAGGTGACCTTGCGTCATGCGCTTCTTGAACAAGTGATTGGACATCCTCTCCTTTGGGTCTGTCCTGAGCTGGCGGTCTCGAAGGACTGGCAACATCGAGCGGCGGAATTTCAGGTTCCTTTTCAGGGCTCGGCGTCCGCTCTGCGAATCGCCATTGGCCGCTACCACGCCCAAACTTGGTACGCTTTTTCCGGTCGTTGTCTGGGAAGTCTTCCTGTGCGAATGGATCATAGTCTGTAGCGAGGAAATGGCTGCGTTTAAGGAAAGCGGGAGACGCCCAGACCTGGGAATTAAGTTGAGGTCTACCAGTTGAGGTTGCGAAGTGGTTGTTATGGGGTGGAGACTGGGCTGGGGTCGAGGTCTGAACAGAGGGTTCAGGCGACGGGCTTGGGTGGTCAATATCGAGGGGTATAGCCTGTTGCGAAGGGCGCTGGATCTGATAGAAAATATTGAGTAGCGATTCTGTGGCGCTCTCGTAGCCCTCTTACCTGTAGCACCAGGCGTTCCCCAAATTGTAGCTCCCAGTCAATCCCTCTCCCCGGCGTCTGAACTGTTGTAGTATGTTTTGCCCAATGCGCGCCCTTCAGGCTCAATAGAAGCTGATCTCCACTGCTTATACCAGATCTTGCCACAGCCTTTGCGCTTGAGCCTTGGAAGTGAACACGGACTTGTCCTCGATTTGAACGGAGGCGAAAGTCTGGCTCCACGAGCAGAAGGCTGGACGTCTTCTTGGATGACGCATAGGGCCAGATGAGGGTGACAATGCCCGTGACAAAAGATGCGTCAGGTCTAAGGTCCGGGTTCAACTCTGCGATTGGCGTGCTCGACGGCACGGTTGTGGGCGATGCCATGGTTCGAGACCGTGGTCATCATATTGCTCGACGGGGTCGCGTCATAAAATCTAGCTTGATCTTACAACGGACAACTGCTTCAATTGCAATCAGGATAGAAGCTGGAGGTCTCGAGTAAATTGATTGGCGGGGCGGAAACGCGGACGCGAACAAAGAGTCTTGTTCTTTTTCTTTTCGCGGACTTCACCTCTCCTGGTCATGACTACTGCGACTTTCCATGCCTCGTGTATAGAGTCTTTCTTTCTATAAACTTAGTGTTCACGCAATGATTACTTGATGATGTAGTGGATATACGTTTGAAGCGGTGCTTTCGTCGTTTTTTAGTCCCCGAGGCTCATTTACTCTTGTAGCTGCACAAAAATCTGAGAGTTCCTTTTCAATTGATTCATTCATTTATCTTGAAAGAGTATCTCAATACTGGCCATGGGTTCTTACGGCGGGGAGAGACGTAAGGTCAAAGACATTTGCGTCGTTGGGGCTGGTCCCGCTGGAATTGGCGCATCAAAGTACGTCTTGGATTATCTACTCCCCATTCGTGTGATACTAGATTCCTTCAAGGCTCTTACGTCATTGATGGCATGCGTACAGATATCTCCTTGCCGAGAACTGCTTCGATACCATCGACGTCTTTGAGCAGCAAGCTTCTTTTGGTGGCGTCTGGAATTATTCGAACGACCCCATCGACACGATTGATATTCCTCAGACCAATCCACATCAGCCTTTGGACGAACCAATCTGGCGCCCTTGCTCAAATCTAAATGGCGTCTCAAACGGTGCACAAAAAGCAATATTTGTGTCACCAATGTACGAGCGTTTAGAGACCAATATTCCACACAGTATCATGAAGTTTTCCGATATGCCTTCACTGGAAGACCACCAGCTTTTCCCAAGCCGAGAAGTTGTCACACAGTACCTTGAAGACTATGGCGAGGATGTTAAGCATCTTGTGTCGTTTCAGACTCAAGTGATGGACATTAGCCAGACACGACCAGGAGCTCACCAAGTCCGGCTCAAGGACCTCCGGACCAATACAGTCTACGGAAAAATATACGATGCTGTTGTGGTGGCCAATGGACATTACACTGTGCCCATCCTACCGAAGATCAAAGGGATCGAGAAGTGGAATCAAACAAGTCCAGGCGTTATCTCGCACACCAAGTTTTACCGAAGACCAAAGCCTTTTGCCGATAAGAAGGTCATCATTGTTGGCAACGCCGCCTCTGGTACTGATATTGCTTCTCAAATTGGAGCGGTCTGCAAACGCCCACTTCTGATGTCTCAGAGGTCAGTGTCAATTTTGGCCTCTGCTGCGGGCTATAAGGAAAATGTCCCAGAGATAGCGGAGTTCCTGCCAGTTTCTCATGGTACAAGAGCTGTGCGTTTTGCGGATGGTCGAGTGGAGGAAGATGTTGATGCGATTTTATTCGCTACAGGCTACTACTATTCTTTTCCATTTCTTTCCTCTTCGCTTGAATCTAAACTCATATCAACAGGGGAAAGAGTACAGCATCTGTACAAGCATTTGTTCTATATAGATGATCCTACTATAGCTTTCATCGGTCTTCCTGCGAAGATCATTCCTTTCCGAACAGCCGAAGGGCAAGCGGCCGTCGTAGCTCGCGTATGGGCTGATAGGCTTGATCTTCCTTCGACGTCGGAGATGAGTAGGTGGGAAGAGGACGTCGTCGCGGAACACGGTGTTGGCAGATCGTTTCATGTTCTGTCATTTCCAAAAGACATCGACTACCATAATGAACTAGTAGATTGGGCAACGCGTGCTACTGGTCGAGGAGGCAAGATGTCAATGAGATGGTCAGCGAAAGAAAGATGGGCGAGAGAGAGGTTTCCGGCTATAAAGAAGGCCTTTGCAGATGAAGGGGATGCTCGTCATGATATCAAGACTTTACAGGAGCTCGGGTTTGATTACGATGCGTGGCTCAGGGAGCAACTTCTACAGAATGGCGTAGAAGCAGGACATTCCTAAATCCTCTTGACTCCCAAGATTCATTGGTCTATTGCTGTGTCAACAATCCAGATTATTACATCGAAAATCTGAATGCTTTCTTGTAACCTGATTTTGTGTTTGCTGATAGGATCACTGCTTCCGAACTTCGTTCATCGCACTGAAAGAATTATTGTTCTAGGAAAAGCACCTTCACATGTAAACATCAATTTGAAGGGGCTCGAATTATCGGTCCGCTTTACTATCAAAGATTGCCGAAAACATCGAGTCTTATTCTGAATGATACTACCTCATCCTTGCAAATTTCTGCCTGTGGTAGCACCTGATCAAAGGAAGGTGAGACTTGTGGAGGTGGAAAACCCACATGCTAAGTTCACCAATAGAAGGGAAAGCCCCTCAATCATATTAAAGATCTATAGGTCAAGAACCATGGAGACGGAGATCAACACATCACACGTATCTGGAATGACAGTTACTCCCCTCTTAGACCTCCTAGCAGACATCCACCGCCCCATAGCCGAGCAGTGTGGAGTTCAAGAAACCTTCGAACTGTGACGAGTCTCAAAGGCCTGGAGAGCTGCTTGCATTCCTTGAAAATATCTCCAAATTGATCTGAGCACCCACAAAAGAGGATTGCCTGTACAGCCATAGCTATGGGTCAATGTTCTGACAGTGTCAGGTATACTATTGTCACTTCAAAAATGGGTATAGAGACAAGAACGCTCCTCACGGACTTTGCTGGACCACATCGAATACGCCAATACGTTCATGAGCTTGCCTGAACAGAGCTGCCACGGACTAAATATTGCTTTCTTCGGACAAATGGCAACTGCTTGAGCCGGCCTGGACTGGGCTACTCTTTAAGGGTTTTGATTACATGTGATGTACCGTCTTGAAACCCAACTATCTGATGACCACGACATCCCAAACGAGGGCCTTTCCGTAACGCAACTTCCATACGGCTGGGAGAACCTATGAAGTGGAGTTCCGCGGCGTCAATACTACAGTCCGTCGGTACAGCCAGAGCCGAGAGCAGTAGTCGGACTCAATGTGAGAATACCCGTGAACGAATCATGCAAGACTTTCGATCCGACAGTAAAGAAATTTGCCAGAGGAAGAATAGGCTGCCTCTTATTACGATGTTATTGGAAAAGGAGTCTCTGCTGCTTGTCAGCCGCCAACTGCTACTATCATTTCTGTCTGCTCGCTTTCCCGCTTATTCATGGAGCCTTTCGAGATCTTTTGTGCCTCGAGATCTCCATTTTCAACATTCGTGAGGCAAAGCTTCTCGATTCAGCTCCCCGGGTACCTTTTCTTGACGCCTCTCTACTAGACTGCGTCTTCCAATTGAACCACTCCCCTGCCCACCTCCCGTTGACCCAAGTAGGACCATTGCATACGGTCAAAGAAACGAGTCGCTGTGTCCTCAAGGCTCTTGTTATCGATTCTTCGTTTCGTAATATCAGTACATACATACTCCGAGGAAATACAGAAAATGCAATGAAAATATGTATCTTGAAAAACCCTGATACTATACTCTGCCTACGCCACCCATTAAAAGTCATAAACAGCGAGACGCGCCATGTAAAAGAAGAAGCTTGAAGTTGTAGAATAAGGAGTTTTGTTGTCCTCAATCCAAAAAAATCAATGCATGAAGCCAACATCCGTTATGGAATAACAAGTACCTGTTCCAACGAAAAACAGCGCATGAACAATGTGTGGTGAACAAACGGACTAGGTAATCGGCTAGTCGATAGCTAGCGCGTTATTTTGATCAGCGCTAACCAGATTCGTCAAAGCATCGCATTCACTTCCGCTCACCTTCTCCGATATCACAAGACGACCTATGTGAGTATATGCACTGCTGCTTAATGGCCATTGAAACCCCCAATTGAGATGTATAGACACCCCAAATGTCTTCAGTAGATTCCCGCAACCAATCATGTCAATTGCATAATGAGTTCTCGAAAACGCAGAAATAGTCCAGATCCAGGAACAGAGAGAACTCTATCGAAGAGAGCCAGGTTGCTGTCGGATCTCTGGCAATCTCAAGAAGAATCTGTAGGGCCTACGCAAGGGAGCCAGAGCAATCCTTCAAGCCCTGTGTACAGGATCAAAGCTATCATTGGAGAAAGGTCAACTCAGTATCTGATCGATTGGGCGGACGATCCCATAACCGGAGAAAGGTTCAAACCAGATTGGGTAGGTACAGATATCAGACATGCATTTCTGCCCTCTACATTATCTTCAGTGATTCGATAGTCTGCTTCTTTGGTAGGCGCTAACTATCAATTAGCAACCTAAGACGCACGTGAATACAGCCGCAGTAAAGGCTTGGGAACTAAAACACTCATCTGCCCTTCAAAGTCTCTCGGATAGACCTAAACGGCAGAGACGAAGAAGAAGGCGGCCAGGTACAAATAAAGATTGCACGACCAGTGACACAGTTGTCGAAACCCGAAGACCTCAGCCTCAGCATATCAGCGAGACTTCTTCTCACAAAACAAAAAACAGCGACTCTCCAAACCACAATAGAAGCACATCAAGAATTTTGGAACATCCTCCATCCCACTCCAAATTCAACCCTCCCAATATCATTGTACAGGTCTCGCAGCACAGCAGTCTTGATAGAGGCCTATACGTTGCCTATCAATCTTCTCTATCCACTCAGGGAAACTCATCTTCGTTTCTACCACATCCAAATTCTGGACTTGGGGAATCTTCACCTGCTCCTGCCACATCTCCGCCACACAGCAACGGTATCATACCTGATTCACAGTCTCTTCCTGGATCTTCTAGCTACAACCCCACGTCAACCACGTCTTTAGCAGTGCTCGGCGCAGATCGGTCCCCACCAACCCACCAATCTCGTGTTTTGCAAAACAGCACTGACTTTGAGTTATCCACTTGTGGAGTTGCAGAGGCCAGCGATTCCATCGAAGATTCTTCAGCTGTCGTGCTAGCAGCTAGCGAGCCTTCTGTTATTACCTCTGAAAGGTCTAGATCTGAGCCAGCTCCAATCACAACAGAGTCGTCCTTAGTGTCTCCTTTCGGAGCTCGATTTCCTTCGCTACCTCGCAGTACCTCTGACCCTACCTCCACCCACCACGATCGACGCCGGCGCCGAGCCGTCGTCTCCGAGCATCCGAGTGATCATCATATTATACACGAACAGGTCATTCATAGTTCAGCAGACTTGCAGTCTCCTCTTCCAGCAGGAGCAGGGCATATTCAGCAGCGTCAAGGGTCTTCGGAAGTACAAGTCCCAGGATCTGCTGATCGAAGGTCACATCCAAGTCACGCGGTAGACCATAGCCTTACCGACAGTCTCGTCTTCCAGACACAAGTTCCTTTAGCTCTTGCAAGTCAAGGTTCTCGGATCTCTATCACGTCAGCAGGTACGTCCAACCGCGATCTAATACCTTCAAAGCAATTTTACGTGGAAAGAATTATAGGCTTAGTTGCAATACAGAAGATCAATTGCAGAACGCACAGCCAAATTCGCAAATTGTGGAGGAGGTTTCTGATATATCATCAAGGAGCGTAGCCAGATCAACGCGCAGAATCGATCCGCATCAGAGTACCTCTACGGCCGTCGCTGAAGCGAAAGAACGCCAAAGACGACGACGTTCTGCTGCCTTAGAAGTTTTTGCGGTTTCAGAAGATCCCAGCGACAATAGCCACCCCTCACAAGCCACAACAACAGACGACTCGATCTTGAGCCTACGAGACCCAAATTCGCAGTCAACCAAACAGAATCTTCCAGAACCTTCAAAAGAAGGCATCACTGACCTTGAAGACCCCGTACGTGGCTCCACAAGGACTGACAGTTCATCAATCCCAGCCAGTCGAGTACAGCTGCCGGATACTTTGGACTCTCGAGAACCTCCTAAGCCACCATCGAGTTCAGAAGACATTATGTCTGACATGGCTCCGAACGAGAACGGCTTGCCTGAAGGCATGCAACCACTACGGATTAGAGCGACGCTCAAGAGAATCCGTGAAGACGGCGAAGCGAAGAGAGTGGCGGCGCGTAGTGGGAAGCGACAGCATTCCGAATCTTCTACATCTCGAGCGTCTCCATCGTTAGCCCGAGATGATCATGAAGGCTCCCAAACGGCGACAAACGTTGGACCGTCATCGTTGGTCCCGGACCAACCAGAGCGATCGCAACTATCAGCTGCTGGAGGGTCTCCAGATCCAAGCCTTGATAAGCAACCGAGACCGCCACTCTCGACTGCTAGACCCTCGCCTTCTGTGACGAGAGATGAGCTACGTGTGCGTGTCCAGTCACCAATTGCTGCACAGTCGTCGCGATCCATAGCATCACCCTCAATCATTCCAGCGAAGGCTCCCTATCAAATTCAAGAAGAGCCAGAACGATTAGAGATTCAGCCGTCCATGATCCTGAAGGAGATTTCACTGCCAGCGCGCAATCCTCAATCGGCTCCCCACACTCCAACCACTCCGAGTAAGCTCTCGATGCACAAAGAGGCATCTCCACTGCAGAGCCAGACGACTACTCTCAAGGTGAGAAACTTGGGACCAAGGGAATTTGTCGTTACTCTGCCGATGCAACCCCGTATATTGAGTCAGTACGTGGACACCATTGAGTACCATTCACAAGCCATAAGCAGAAACATGACGGAAGAAAGGATCGGCGAAGAAATCGTGGAGAGGCTGAACACACTTTTGTATCGACTTGGCAATGTGGCTACCCATATCGGCCTCGAAGGTGGAGGACCAGGTAGCCAGGAAGACATAAACCCCGAGGAAGAAGCGCTATATGCTGAGCTATCCAGCGAGAAATTCAAATTTCTGGGACACCTTTTGGCTCTTACTAAAGAGAGTCGAATAGATATCGCGGTAATTGCAAAGCCAGGCCATCTTCTGGATATCATTGAGATGTTTCTGAAAGGAAAAAATGTGTCTTATGTAAGACCAGACAAGACAAACGGACCGAGACCACAGAATCCAGATCAATCTGGATTGCAGGTGGTGAGTATCATACCCTCAGGGGAGGCCATCTCTTTTCCACGTGTACAACTGATCATCGCGTTTGATGAAACGTTCAATGCGAAAGATACCCATATCACGGAATCGCGAGAACCTAGGGCAAGCGGTGATCAGTTGACACCCGTGATTCGACTGGTTGTGTACAGCTCTGTCGAGCACCTGGACCTGTGTTTAGCGCGCTCGCTAGAGCCTATCGACAGGATCCGCAAACTTATTTTCTGCGTTTGGCATACACAACGCTCGGTTGGTCAACTCGAACTTGACGAACCTGGTCCAGCAGCCAGTGCTCAACAAGTCTTTGAATTCTCCAAATCAGGCTTTGAAACATCCGCTTGGACTCTAGCAAACATCCGTCCAATCGAAAATCTGCCCATCATGGATTCCGACTCGTCCCTGTCCGACGCTATATCAGACATTTCAGACATCTACAAGCCTGAAGGAGCGCCCAAATACTATCCCAATCCGGTCCTGCCACTCATCACGAATCCAAAGAACCCAGATGCCCTTCCGCGTGCGGGGCGTCCTTTTGTAAGCCCCGCATTCGTTTGGAACATGTCCGCTACCCGACTTGCTGACTATCTACAGGACCTCGAACATGGCGACTCTTTAGAAGTCCAAGCCAAGAAGCGGAAGATGCTTGCAGATTACAATGCAGGCCGACTCAACAGTCCTGTGAGTTCTCAACACAGCCCTGCCTTTTCTGTGTCACTAACACTTCACAGCCTACCATCGAAAGCCTTACGGCAGATATCCAAGAATGCAAGGTCACTGAAAAGCTCTGGGAAGGCGAGAAGAAGCAGATGAACGAGAAAATCAAGAGCCTTGAATACTGGCACGAGCGCCGCCAGTACGACTACGAAGAACTGCGCGAGAAAGCCGGTAACCGCTACGCTACGATCCAAGAGCAAGCCGCTGAGCTTGAGAAGGCCAAGAGAGACAATGGCAGATCTCGAACCGAGATCCTAGCTCTCAAAGGCGAGCGTGGCACCCTTCAGAAAGACCTCACGGCCGCCCGTCTCGAGCTCGTCAACCACCCTGACCCGACGGTCCGCGACACAGCCATCAAAGACGCTCGGATCCGTGAGCTTGAAGCCGAGGTCCTCGCAAAGAGCAAAAAGATGGACAACCTGACCAAAGACTGGGAGCTCACCAAACGCCTCTGGACCGACGCCTCCACCGCCGCCACCGCCGCGACCCGAGAACTCGCCGCCCTCGACGCCAAGCAGCCCGGACTCCTCCGCCAGGCCGCCGAGAACGAGATCAAGCGGAAGGAGTTGAGGAACGACGGCACGATCACGGCCCTGCGGAAGGAGGTCGCCGTCCAGAAGGCCACGGTCCAGAGCCGGGACAACCTGATCCGCCGCAAGGAGGAGCAGATGGCGGAGCTGAAGCGCGGCCGGGGCGGCGTGCAGACGCGGGGCTCGAGCGTGCAGCCCCGTTCCCCCCGCGGCGGCTCCCGCGGCGCGAGCCCCGCCGCCGGCATGCTCGGCGGGGGGGCGAAGGCGGCGAGCGGGTTGAGCAGTCGGTTGAATTCTTGACGGGTAGCTTGCTTTTGGGGGACGGTATTCATCAGGAGGTAGAGAGGGGGGGGAAGAGGTGTGTGTGTTCTCATCAGGAGATAGAGAGAGAGGAAGGGAGATGTGTGTGTGTTCTTATCAAGAGATGAAGTGTCAATTTGCTTGGTCTGCATGTGGTATCTATCCGAGGGGCATAAAACAGGGGGGGGGGTGGCGTGAGCCGTGTCGGTAGTAAACACATACAAGATTGGTAGTAAACACATACAAGATTGGTAGTCATCACACATACAAGATTGCATCTTCTATCACATGATGACTATACAACATTCTTCCACCCTTGAAGATCGGACGACCAGATGTATCTTCACTCATTCCTAGCTCATGGAAACTACAGCACTTGCGCAACGCGCAGACCCAAAACGCTCCCATCACGACATCAGCGCATGCGATCCCACTACGCTGGAACAATCTGGAACAAAACGGCCACGAAAAAACGCTGCCGTCAGCAAGGCACACGAGAGGGCTATTGATCAGGTTCATAGATTCGTCTTCAGAGTTTCTCAACCATCTAGCCCTATCCAAGATACATTATGCAACGCGCAACAGAAGCCACCCCCATGCGACCGACGACCCCAACTCCATAACCCGAGATACGCGTGCCCCATCGCTCGTGTCTCATACAATCGACTCAATCAGAGCCTCAAAGCGCAAACGCCGCGGTCATTTTCCTCTCTCTCGCCGTAATGCTTGCGTGCGTGCGGGTACATTCCCAAGTCCAATGTCTGTGTGTGTGTGGGGGGGGCGATTCGGAGATAGGCAAGGCGAGCCGGGAAGGTAAAGCTCTCATTGCTGCAGGTTGTCCACGCTATCGGTGCAGCCCATGCTGCTGACGCCTTGGTCGGCGGGAGCGCGGCGGCTGGAGCGGGTGGCGAGGTCCATTTGGCGTTTGGTGTGTTGGTGCATCAGTCTGTGTGATTGGACGATCGAGTCAGCGGGTGCTCGCTGGGGACTGGGGGTGATGGGAACGGTGGGCATGAGCGCCTCGGAGACGGGGGCACGAAGGGCGGGGAGGACACGGTGGATGGGAGCTTACCGTGAGTATGAGTTGACGGATTCCATGGGGTTGTCGAGGTCGTAGTGTGCAGCGAATGATTCTTGGGGAGTGGAGTCTGTGGCGAAGGTGGTTGGGATTGGGGAGGCCATTGTTTGGTGAGGGGATGGAGAAATGTGGTGTCGGAAGTGGTCTTGTTGAGTCGCTGATGGGTGGTTGAAATTATGAGTATATCAGAAGGGGGGGTGATGGGGTAGGTGTGTTGTGCAGGCGGTGTTTGCTGGAAGGCAGTATACGAGTATTGAAGAGTTGTTTATAAAGGAAAAGGTTGAACTATAAAGTAAGGTAAGATACTTTTATCTCTCCACAAGCGGCCAGTCACGGAGAAGGAGAAAAATGCAGGTCCCGCAATTCGCCTGATGGTTAGCCTCCACCTGCCACCGCACAGGCCAGCTATGACGCGCTAACTGATGACATGATCTGCACAGCCGCCGCTGATCTGAGTCTAGCGCTGCCAAGACATGATGAATCAGCCATGATCACGAGCAGGATTGGCTGATGGAAAACGCCATTGCCGTCAGAGGGGGGGGCAAGGGAATTTGGATAGGGCGAGGATCGTCCCAATCGAAGATGAAATGCTAAGAGCAATGACGACGGGCCGCATGATTGGGATCCCAATGGATGGAAGATGATTGGTCGACACAGTCTGGGATTCGATGGTTGGGGGAGAATATGATGCCTCATACTCGGGAGCTAAGTGGATGACACAAAGCTGCGTACGCCAGACCTTAACATCCAACATGTCTGATTTGTCATTTTTGCGGCGATTAATAGGGCACTTACTAGGTAGAAGGCTTTAAGCAAGAATTGATAAGCTAGCATCAGATCATTCTGTGCGAACCGAGCGCGTATTACATGAGCATAACGGAAAGGGATGAACAGAGCACAGCATTCATTGCCACGGAGGGGTCAAGCAGTAGTGTACTTGTAGCATCATCATACAAGAGATGAAAAGTACATGTATTATGATTAGGAAGCTGCCCTTAGGTTGGAAGGAGGAAGGAACAAGCGTGGTCACTGCCATGCAAAATGACTGCTGCTAACCCATTAGCTTCTTTCTCTATTCATCTTGCCTCCTGCCTGTCATCGTAGAATTGCTTCCATTCACGATGGAAGAACAAGTCCACCGTCGCCACTACTGAATTGACTGCTCGGTTAATACGGCATGCTCATGTACTCGTACATGAGTTGCACATGACAAATAGGACGTCCCTGTCGGACATATTACTCTTATGCGAACATTACCTTTTACTGGCTGTGCTCGTCTATTTCCTTCGCTTGGAGCGGAACCATTCATCTAACTACTTTACTATCCAGCACGCAATACATACACCGTCGAGAACAGTGCCTTCTTTCCTTCCTTCCTTCCTTCCTTCCTTCCTTCCACCTCCCCTTCTTCCTCCAACAATACTCTCTGCGGCCACATAATAAATAATAATATCTCCCGCAACTGTCTCCAACGCAAGAGCCGACCAAGTCTCTGCACATCGGAATTCCCTATTGTCCATCATGACATCCGTGTCCCGCACAGCCCTGGTCTTCCCACCAGATCAAACGTTCTACCCTTCCCTTCCACAATCACGCTTACGCCTCGCCCCACTGCCGCCTTGAGTTGATCCTCTAACGAGACAACGAACGGCACGCCTTCGTATTGCTCCTCAATCTTAACTTTCCGAAGCCTCATCCCGTGACCGATCCACGATCTCACCCCTCTGACCTCCATCATCTTCAGACGCGGCCATGGTCCGGCAAGAAGCACAGGGAACACTGTAGATCCAAAGAGCCTATCCATCATCCGGACGGGATGAACACGAATACTCGTATCAAATTGACGTTCCTGTCGCGGTCCTTGCTCGAATCTGAATTCTTCCAAAGTTCCTGACACCGATTGGATGAAGGCGGACCATTCAGCCAGCAGAAAGCATTCGTTCATCCCCCGCAACAGGTCACATTCCTCAACATTCCTATCGCCCACTTTGCGTAGGCTCAACGACTTCAATCCCGTGCAGCGACCGGTGAGATGCTTCAACAGGCCTCTCATGAGGCCCGGCCAAACGAAATCCGAATCCGCCGACCACCACTTCCTGTACTGCGGCAATATGGCTTTTGTATCCCCCTTGAAAGGCGACGGACGCGACCCTGGAACAGGCGCAAACACCGTGCCGTATGGGGCCTTGCCGCAGCACTGAACGTTGTCAAGAGTGAGGCTTACCAGTTTCGTTGGGTCGATCGTCGACAGTATCGACGCGGCTATAACTGGCTCCATTACGCCGAGTAGACGTACGGCAGAAGCATTGGGAAAGTACGGACCCTGTAATAGGGAAGGTCGTGGAGACACGGTACTCCAATGCTGCGAAAGGTCTGCCAGATCAAACTTCCTGACATTGTCGAGGTATCGCATTAGGTCCCAGAAAGCAGGCTTCGCGACGTCGTTGCTGAATCTTCGCCAATGGCCAGTTGGTGGCAAGAACGTCCAAATCAACACTTGGACGTACTTCCTGTACTCCGCCCGGTTCATCAGGGTCTTAATGAAAGTCTCCTGCCTCGATATCATATTCACCGGTATATTGATGCACCTTACACTATCCGAATGCTCTTCCCGAGGTCCATACAACGCCAAGTTTTTCCGCGGCTCGTACCCATAACAATCAACGAGACCTCGATTGTGCGTGCTGAGGTCCACATACCGATAGATATGAGGGACGCTTGCTTCCACCGTAGCTTTCGACGCTAGGCAAAAGCGTAGCAGGTCATGGCGGTCACAGTGCTCGGCAACAGTGTATAATATATCTCCGGGAAGGTCTGAGAAGCAAATGGCAGCCGACGTAGGACGAATTGGTGTGCTCTTTGCCGGCACAACTGTGAGCCCGGTTCCGGTGGGTGAGAGTCGTACAAGGAAATCTGTTATTTTCAGGTGTGCCTTCTCGAAAATGCGGCCCATTGTTTCACCCTCTTCGGATAGTGAGGTTTGATGTGCCTTTTTGGTTATCCGGGCGCCTCGAATGTGCGAGGGTGTTATATCAAAGTCTGCTATGTCCAAACCCGCATCCTGGAAGTAGCGCATCATGTCTTCTTCCGTCATGACCGATGCTCGTGGCTGGGTAGTCAGTACCCCGGGGATAGATGATGGCTGCAGGCAGTAGTCCGCTGTGTCTAACCCAGCTTTCTCGATTCGTTCTAAAGGTACGCTTAATGGTGGCGTTCGCCTGCGATGGTGAGTTGTCGAGCGATGAAATCCATCAAGTATTGGCATCAGCCTAGCCTATCCGGAAAGAGCAAAAAAAGAAAGTTGTGTTCTTTCCTATGGTGTTGAGCTAGTAGTGAGCTAGTAGTATCAAATAGGAAGTGTTGAGCCTTGTTCTACCTAAGTGAAGTCATACAGCAGCCGAACGTGTCCTACCACATGATGCTTTCCGGCCGCGAATGAAGGAAAACGATAGTTCATGCCGCCCGTTGAAGATGACTACCCATGAAAGCTGTGCGTTTCCCTTCTCTCTCCATCCCTCCCCACCTTCACCTCTCTCCATCCCTCCCCACCTTCACCTCTTTCCCTTTCCCTTTCCCTTTCCCTCTCCCTCTCCCTCTCCCTCTCCCTTTCCCTTTCCCTTTCCCTTTCCCTTTCCCTCTCCCTCTCCCTCTCCCTCTCCCTCTCCCTCTCCCTCTCCCTTTCCCTCTCCCTCTCCCTCTCCCTTTCCCTCTCCCTCTCCCTCTCCCTCTCCCTCTCCCTCTCCCTCTCCCTCTCCCTCTCCCTCTCCCTCTCCCTCTCCCTTTCCCTCTCCCTTTCTCTTTCTCTCTCCCTCTCCCTCTCCCTCTCCCTTTCCCTCTCCCTCTCCCTTTCCCTCTCCCTTTCCCTCTCCCTTTCCCTCTCCCTTTTCCTCTCCCTTTCTCTTTCCCTTTCCCATTCCCTTTCCCTTTCCCTCCGCCTTTCCCTCTCCCTCTCCCTTTCCCTCTCCCTCTCCCTCTCCCTCTCCCTCTCCCTCTCCCTCTCCCTCTCCCTCTCCCTCTCCCTCTCCCTCTCCCTCTCCCTCTCCCTCTCCCTCTCCCTCCCTCCCCCTCTCCCTCTCCCTCTCCCTTTCCCTCTCCCCCCCTTTCCCTCTCCCTTTCCCTCTCCCTTTCCCTCTCCCTTTCCCATTCCCTTTCCCTTTCCCTTTCCCATTCCCTTTCCCTTTCCCTCCGCCTTTCCCTCTCCCTCTCCCTTTCCCTTTCCCTTTCCCTTTCCCCTTTCCCTTTCCCTTTCCCTCTCCCTCCGTTTAACCTTCGAAAAACCAACCATACGCGAAACCCTCACCAACTTTCCCCCCACCACGTCGGATCCCTCCCGTCATACATAGCACCAGTGCAGGCTTTTGATCGGAAACGCGTCAAAAGCCATCGGACGCCGTTCGCCGGTGAGGAGACGAGTGATGCTTCGGGGTGGCGGTTGTGGACTCGGGTCGGGTCGGGATGGGTGGGGTGTTGATGTTGAGGATGGTGGTGGTGGTGGTGGTGGTGGTCTTGGTTTTCATGGGAGAAATGGATGGATGAATGGATGAATGGATGAATGAATGGATGGATGGATGAATGAATGGATGAATGAATGAATGGGGGGTGTTGTTGAGTTGTTGTTTTGGGAAATTGTTAGTGAGGCTGGGGGGGTTGGATGGATGGGGGGAGGTTGCATGGATGGATCGGTTGGGGAAGAGGGTGGGGGTTGAATCTGGGATTCTGCGATGCGGTTGCGGAGGAGTGGGGTCTGGGCCCGGGGTCGGTTCGATGTTACCGGTTTGGGATGGAGGAGGGTTGGGAGGTGGGGGGAGAAGAGCACCCATCTCTGCCTGTCTCGCTTTCCACTCTGATCCCACGTTGATCGCCCGTACCGGCATCTGCGTGTGCGTCCGTGCAGACCCGGTCTCCTGCCTTGCCGCTGCAGCGGGGCGAACCTTGCCCTCTTACTACTCGGCTGTACTACCGGCGGAGGGACGGTAGGGCGCTGGGTTGGGCGGTCTGCAGGTTGGGGTAGATTTCCTTGTATGTATTAAGTAGGAAAGATGGATGTGTGAGTACAGATCTGGAAAGGCGATACGTGCCTCGCCTGTACGGGCCGAAGCCTAGAGGGGAGCTCGGCGTGTGCCGTTGAAGAAAAGGAAAAGGGAAAAGCTGAATGATTTTTCTACTCCACCTTTCAGAATCATGAAAGGATGGTTATGCAAGCACCCCGCTCTGTGCTTTCCAAACCTTGGCGCTCTTCAATTTCCTGCCGATGTTGCGGCTTCTGTGCTTCGAGACCCCTGGAATGAGCCCACAAACAGCTTGTAGTATATTTGTCGGACGGGTAAATTTGGGCCTGTTACCATGGATTAAGCTGGCGCGCTGAGAATGTTCGGAAGAAGATCAAATGAACTTGTATGGAAAATAAGCTCCGTTGCTTTCCCCAGGGGTCGGATACTGCGAGGTAACGGCGAGATTGTCAGACGTATGTGCATCAGTTGTGAGCACCAGTTCGCTCACCGTATAAATGAAAAAGCGCTGTGGAAGTCAATATTGGAAATTCGTGGGACTGGGATTCTTCTGCAAAACCGGTAGCGATGGAATGGGAGCTCGATGCATGGTTTACAAGTGGAATGCTAAATACAACCGAAACGAACGTAATCGTAATGGCAGTGCGCGAGAATTCGACAGATCAGGCAAAAGAGCTGATGGAAAGCACACGTAGTACGAACGGCAAGTACAAGGCACAAAACTTGTTGATAAGTATAAACGGAGAAGGGAAGAATCGTCAACACCGTGTCGCGTTCATAGGCAGCCTCTCGTCGATCTACAGCCTCTCATGCTTCGACCTTCCCACGGCCCCAGAAGTGCCTCTTAGCTACATCAGACAGCTCCCGCTTGCCGTGCTGGCGTGACGGAGCAGGGCACTGAGGACCCACACAACAGTCGATGACACCAGTGTTACACTGCCCGTAGCTATTCGCAGCGTTATCGTTAGGGTAGGTGTAGGCTGCACCTGCACAAGGTTCGAAAAAGGGGGCAGCAGGTCCGTTTGGAACGCCTTGTTCCGGATTGTAGCAAATCGGGCCGGGGCCTTGCTTAGCGCAGGTGTGGCCGTCGTTGAAGAGTGCTGATGGCGGAGAGTCAGTGTGCAAATATTGCGAAGAGAACGTGGTGAGGAAGTAAAGACGTACCAATATTGCAACCAGATACCGCGACACCTGAGCAGGAGCAAGAGATGGGAACAGAGAAGCCATCAACGTAGCTAATATCCACGTCCGGGACGTAGCTGGGAGAAGAATAGCTTGCTTCGATTTTGGAGCCCAAGGGGTCGTAGGTCTTGCCAATGGTGATGCGGCCGGCCCAATTGGATGGGAAGAGCACCCGGGTTGAAGAGGTGAGCACACCAGATCCAGGATTGCCGACTGGCGTTGGGGCTCCTGCATTGGAGCCATAGAAGATGGAAAGGGGGGCGCCGAAAGAGTTGACGACGTTGATGGTGAGATCTGATCCACCTGCGAACGCGGGTCTGGGTCCGACGTTAGGCGGCCTGGTGGCTAGAGGATCGAGTGCACCTCCAGAGGCAGTGCCGAGGACGACGGAAGTGGGTTCTGCTTGTGGGGCTCGAGCAACGATAGCCGGCTCTTCAGCGAAGGCTAGGGTCACGAGAGCAAGGGCCCAAGCGGCGATGTAGGTTGACGTGAGCATATTGGCCGCTGAGGACTATAGATATTGAAGGTGCTAGTAGCGCTGTGGTGCAGACCAAGTTCAAATCCCTGTGAATAATATGTTGGAACTGAAAAGAATGATGGAGGATAAGGCAGATTGGAGGATGTTGAGGGGGTTCAACGAGGTATTTAAGCACTTTCCGGCTCCCATCTTCCTCTACATATACCGAGCATTTCCATGGCATCTCAGGGTTATCGACGATCCTAGTTGGTTCCCGTACGTTTTCTTTTAGAAGTATGGATGCACATGTTCTGGTATCTCTTGCTTATCGTGGCCATGTCGCCAGGTGTGGAGGACTGTGCACGGTAAAGGTTGGGAAGGATGAGGGGAAAATTGAAAATTAGCGAATGGGAGCTCGAAGAGGCCAAAGACCTCGAGAGCATCCTGTTGTGAGCCACACTCCCTCTGGAGATATTGTTCATGGCTGTGGCTGTTCTCAGGATGCAACCCGGAGATGTGGACACGGCGGATCAGGTGGCGACTTGGAAGATAAAGTACAAATTAGACTACAAAACAGTCTTCAGACCGGCCCTAGTCGCATGAGAATAGGAGTCCGTGGCTTGAGCCTGACACCCAAGCGGCAGTTACAGGGCCGTGAAGGGTCATTCAGGGGCATGGCTCAGGGGTGATTCGAAGCGAAGCACCAGCTGGAAGTTATGTCAAGGAACTCGAGGCGCCGGCCTAGACTAGACTCTCACAGTCGTTCGCAATTCCCCATGTAACCATGTTATGTGAGTGGAGAACAGCAATCGCAACGTTAGCACTAGAGTTTGGGTGGCACATCAAAGAGCGTCAGTACCAATTCCCAAGGCAGTGGTCCAGTACCAATTTAATATTATGCTTTCCGAGGGCTTGTAAGTCTTGAGTCTTGCGAATTGGAGTAGGAAATAGAGTACCGGCATGAGAGAGCAGTCTCTCGTATATAACATCTCCCAGTGAGCAAAGTGTTTTGCATACGCTCGTACTTGTGCTAGTGTAGCTCATAAAACATGAGAGTTACTCTCACTCGACAGTGCCTTTTGTCTGTTAGAAGTAGTGGTCACCGGCACCTGAACACTTTCTTCAGGAGGTGACGTTGTAACCTGCCCCATTTGGACATTTCACCGGAGATGACCGGCGATCTCACGTTTAAAAGCCGGGTTCGAGACTCCCCTGGTTCCTGGATTGTGGCAGATGGCTGCCGAAACGAAGTCTGAGGAAATCGTGGGGAATTGGCAGCACGCGTGGCTGCCCAAACATTCACAATGATTGCGCGGCCTGAAAGTCTGATTCCCTTTCGCTATCACTTTCCCTCGGTAATGCAGACTGTTTTCCTCAGCTCATTATGGTGAATGCTGTGTCTTTGGCTTGTTTGGAAAAGCCTACTGAAGCATGAGCCTGAGCGTAACGACCGTATCGAAACTCGGGGCAGCTGCCGGATGACTACAAGGCTATATGGTACGGACAGAAAGGTTCGAGGCTCTGGGTCTGACTGAGGTGTGTCCGCTTTGGTGTGAACGCTGGGTAGAGAACGGTGGTGGAAAAAAATCTGGGGTAGTTGAAGTCCGAGCCCCGCCGAAGCCTTTGTTAGCTTCATGAATCATCAATCAGTGGGTCATAGATAGCAACACCTGTAAATTAGCCGAGACGTCCATCGTAGACTTGACATGAAGAGTGTTCTTTTGCGGTCTTTGATGATATTCCTAGACCTGCAAGATGCAGGTACGTGTGTTGTAGAATGTAGCAGAACGGAAATTGCGAGGCGACCATGTTTGAGCTTCGCACTCAGTTAGACGGGGACAAGGGTCAATCATCTCAAGCAGAAGCTAGGTACCATACCCTCTGACTGTGTTGGTACCATGTCTCCTCACATACGCGAGTGAGGAAGGAATGTCGTCGGCACCAACCATCTTCCCCCCCAAAAGGCGCCACCATTAGCGGCCTTTAGGGCCCGCTTAAAACCACAATTCCCCGTCTTTAGGGGTAAAGGGATTTTGGTGGGCAATTTCCAGCGATATCCCTTCCTACACATCGCCATTATCCCTTTCCTTGTGGACGGGAAGGCCACGCTAGTAGGGATCTTTGGACAGGGTCCTTCATTGGCTGGATTTGAACCTCTACTCAAGTTATACCGCCAATTGATGCATGTCTCACCAAAGAATAGTATAACTTAAGCAAAACTTTGGTAGGACCTCTAGGAGTGGGGTCATTAAGAAAAGAAGTTCGTCATCTGGAGCTCTATGATTGCACTCCCTGCACATCGCGCATCGGACGGCTGAACTGTGCCAGAAATACGTCATTAGACGACTTACTGACAGATCTCAGCGCGCGAGGCTTATTCAGGAGGGCGACATATCCTGCAACTTTGACCAACTTTAGGTATATATTTATATGATTGGTGGGTCAATAATCCATTGATGGCTACTTCCCAAATTTGGATAGCGCAAATCCTCTCCAAGGTTTTGATGCCAAGACGGCCGGATCAACTTTAATCCCCTCCCCTACTAGCGTGGCCCTCCCGGCCACAAGGAAAGGGATATCTGGTTCAGCAGCCTAGACGGAGTAGACGATGGTCTGGTCCCTCTACTGCTGATTTTGCACTCCAGTTCCTTTAACGCTGGTGCAAAAGAACAAAATAAGTCCCTAACCTCAACCCTCGGAGACTCTGCACTTTTCTTGAATGATGCGAAAGGCAAAGACTGAAACAAGCTTGGCTTACAAGGCAGGCGAGAAGTCGTCGAATAATGAGGTCGAAGAGGTCGTGAATTGACTTATATCTGAACATTTAGGCGATAGGGTATCATTGCCATGAGGACTGCTTCAAGAGATCAAGAGGTGAGGTGAGGTTACTAGTGGTGTGTTAGGTTGGGGCCGATGGTAAACATTGTATTCGAACACGAACGAGACTGTCCGAACAGAGGAAGATCTAGCAGAAGCGAGCTGTGATGAGCTGTGATGACAACGGCGGATTGACTTGGCCACAGAACCAGAGACGATTGACGAACCTATGAGACTACTAGGATTCAGGAAACATTCTTCAGCTCAATGTGCTGATCCGTCGTTTCTGAGATTCCATTGCTCTCAGGCAAGAACGAAGATAACGGTCTGGAAGATGCCGCAGGCTTATGACACAAGTTCTTTGGATTTGTGTATCACCACCGTACAACAACACCAATCTCTTTCAATGCCCGTCGTCGTCGTCGTCCTTCTCCTCCTCCTCCTCCAGATCTGTACATGAATTAGGCGTGGAGTTGGCAGTCGATGCATGTCATGACCGTCAGTCCTCTAGGGTGTTGGGTTGGTGGGTAGATTGGTGTACCAAGGGGGGTTAGATGCTCGTGGAATGGTGAGTTTGGCTGATTGGTGGATCGATCAAGGTCGCGTATAAATGCGCCAGCTTTACCCAGCACTTTAACCAATTCACTGGAGACTCGAAATGAGATGTTCGCAGCTTGACAATTTCTCTTAGCTGTATACATTGATGCAAATTACCTCTCGCACGCGTTCGAGAGGGAGCTCGCACACCCTATCATATCTTATCGTCGCCTCCCGGAGAAAGGTATTAAGTATCGCTAACCTTTTCCTCTTTCAAGTTCAAGCATGTATATAATTGTTGGTGTCGCTTAACATTCGAAGCAACGAGAGAGGCGAGCACAATATGTTTATGACTGCGACAATGACTGCGATGGCAATGGGATTTAGTGGATTGAATCTCAGGCAACGGGCCTGATGAGGACGGCGAGGTAGCGACGTGGTCGCAATGACATATGAAAGTGGCGACGACAAGGGTTGCTTACAGCATGTCTGGGCCTGATTGATTCACAAATGCTTGATTCAATCATGATTCGCCGGTTGCTGAATGGCCCTACTCTTCTGTCTACGAAGCAGCTAGCAGGTGCATTGATCAAGATTCAAACATTCATTTTGAAAAGCTACGATTGATTTATAAATAAACTCACTCCATAATCCCACCAGAGTAGTCCTGTCCTGCCAAATTTTCGCCCTCAACTGTCCCAACCACGACTTTACTAACACCTCAACCTGCAAAGTATCTGAAAAGACTCTAGCGACGATTTGAGAATGGGATACGGCTGGCGATTTGCCGTACAAAGGTTGGGAAATCTCGAGTACTTCGGCGAGACTGCGGCGACTTGTGAGATTGCTGATGGGGCCTTGACTTGTCAAGCTGGGACGAGTGGGGTGTTCTATGGTATTCCGTCGATGCCTCAAGCATACCTGCCACCTAATGCTCCGTACGTCCTCTTCAGGCCAACGGTTCCATCAGGAAGTTTTCCACTTACTTTGCTTGGTGGTGCCTGCTTAGATTGGTGCCAAGAGGACTGTTTGCCCGCGGGATCGACGTTTCTGGCGAAGATGAGTGGTGTTTGGGTTTTATCTTGCATGTCTTGAGACGTGTGTTTATAGTGCATGGACTAAGGGTGCGAACAGTGACTTTGGAAGGAGGATGTGGCAGTTCGGTTATGTCCATCCTTTCTCTTCTGGAAATGACTGAATAAGATACTCGAATATCTGGAGCTTGGCAAAGGACAAAAGATGAAAAAGCATCAGATTCCGATCATGACGCTGCATATCTTTCTTGTTTGGCAGTCCGATCCGGTTTCAAGCAAAAAGAATCAATTGGGCTGATTCTAGATCGGTCTCAAGCGATAGGCTTCAACTGTATTGATGCAAACCGAGATTAGATTAATTGCACCCATTATCTCCAAATGCAGCCTGCCTACCGCTACCCCAGCTCCAAACCTTTGCTTCCCTTCTCCACATGTTCCCCCCACCGCCACCTCAGCTATACCCCATACCCAAATGATCCGCTTCCCTCGCCCGCCTCTTCATCACAACCTCCACCCCATATCCAAACGCACTCCTCAACTCTCCTCTCCCATCGACAAGCGCCCCCTCCCCGGTTCCCTGTCCATCATCCTCCTCCCACATTTGCACACCCCGAACCACCACCTTCTTCATCCCCGGCCACCGTCCCGCCCGCGCCAGTACCGGAAAAATCCTAGCCCCGAAAAGCGCATCCATAGGCCGCACGGGCGGCTGTACCCAGTCGGCCCGGCGAAGCAGGCGCTCGCCTTGCTCAATGGTCAAGGACTGCAGGGTCGGTTTCACTGAGGCGAGGAAGATGGCCCATTCGGCGTAGATGTCGTTTTCTCTGCTGGAGCAGGCGGGGCTGAAGTCGAATTGGTCCCGCGCGCCTACTTTGCGCAGGTGCAGCGATGTGAGGGACGGGCATTTTCCGGCCAGAGCGCCGAGGAGGTTCTGCATGGGGCCCGGCGCGTCGAAGTACTCGCTTTCGTTCCCGAAGGAATCGAGGTTGTTCCAGGGCTGGCGCGTTTGGCGGTGCGTTGGGATGAGAACGGGGATGGGGATGGGGATGGGGATGGAGATGGGAGTGGAGATGGGGATGGGGATGGGGATGGGGATGGGGATGGGGATGGGGATGGGGATGGGGATGGGGATGGGGATGGGGATGGGGATGGGGATGGGGATGGGGATGGGGATGGGGATGGGGATGGGGATGGGGATGGGGATGGGGATGGGGATGGGGATGGGGATGGGGATGGGGATGGGGATGGGGATGGGGATGGGGATGGGGATGGGGATGGGGATGGGGATGGAGATGGGAGTGGAGATGGAATCTGCAGGTCGTGTTTTGATCCGACGGACCATTTTCGTGGGAACCTCAGGGAGATCTTCGTCCGTCTCGTCCGCCTCGTCGAGGGAGCCGGTCATTACGAGGTGGAACATTTCAAAGATACTCATGTCCTTGTAGTGTGTATCATATGGCTCGTCATCCATGTCAGGATCATCCACTTCAGGGTCATCCATTTCAGGATCCTTGTCAATACGAGTGCTAGGTATTATCCCGCTTTGTTGAAGGTTGTCGAGGTGTAGGTGCAGCAGATTCTGACGATTCGTAAGCAGGATCGAGGCGGCGAGAGCGTACGGCATGACCCCGACCAGGCGGACCGAGGTCGCGGCGGGAAACAGGGTGGACGGGATGCTGTGGATGAGGGGCATGGCAAGATGTCTGGACAACCAGGCCAGATCGAGGGTTTGGACACGGGTCAGGGACGCGAAGACCTTCCAGATCTCGTTGAAAGGGCTCTTTGGATCTAATGCCACGCTTTTGTTGATCGCGAACGGATCGATTTTCAAATCTGTCTGTCGATTGCTGTCGAGAAGCAGTAATGTCCATGAGAAAGTTTGGACATACTCTGCCAAGCTCGGGTTCCTGATCAAAGCCGACAGGAAGGCTTCTTGCCTCTTCTGCATGCTAGGCGGAATATTGTTGCATTGCAGGCTATCAGATGGCTCGTACCATGTGCTGGGTAGGCTTTGGTAACTGTTTGGAAAGACACACAGGACTTTGCCGCGATTGTGTATGCTGAAATCAGCATTTCGGAAGATGATGGGTCTGCAGATGTTGCTGTACTGTTTGGCCACTCCGCTGAGGGCAGCAACATCTTGCGTGTCGCAGTGCTCGATGACAATGAGGAGCAGCTCGTCGGGCAGGCCGATGAAGGAACCGCGTTCGCGATCATCCATGGCAGGCCTGACTTCTTCGGTTCTCAGCTTATTGATAACTTTATGCTTTTGGTCGGTGGCTGCTTGAGACTTTTCTTATAGAACAGTTTCACGATGCGAGGTGGTGAAGTATTGGACGTGAGTGGTACAATGTTGTTCACAGAGGGTGCCGAGGTACTTTGAAAAAAGTGTTAAACAGTGTTATAAGTACGATGAAGGCAAAGAAAACGAACATGTCCGAAGACTCACTTCAATGCAGTAAATGAAATCATTCCAGTAAATCAGACTTCTAGCCGCAATTCCTTAGCGGCGGTAAGAATGATGGCCATTCTCGCTCGAGTGAGCTTAGCTTTCATCTGGCACATGACAGACCACAGCACATCAAAGAAAGCGGCATCTGAAACTTGAGATTGAAGAGACAATAATTCTTATTGGCATCGTTTATAGACCGTATGTTAAGTACGAACTGTAGGCATGACGTGTCACTAGTCAGGAGAGATCAAAAAGCCAGTAGAGTGTGATGTGTGAGGCATTTTTCTTCAGCTCGAATACAGGCCACTGAAAGTCGGCCGAGAGATTACCTCGAAGCCAGCGAAGTGAATTTAAAGTTTTGGTGTTGCCAGCAACGGTGCTGACGTTCTCTAGAGAGCACTCTCTTTGTTGAGTAGGCTTTGTGTACCCGTATCTAGAATTTTCTCTTGCATCTCTTTATTTTGCTTCGATGTACGAGGGGCGTACATCGCCCACAAAGGGATCACACGTCAGAGTACGAGTGAGAAGCCTTCAGCGGATGGATGAACACCCATGTAAGTGGCGTTTTGGTCCTGAGAAAGTTAGAGATCGAGAACAACCCGTGGGAGCAGCGGGAGATGCGAGGGAACCCGGCGAAGATCCCAATACTTACCGTCTTGGAATCGTGGGGGTGAAGATCCCCAGAAGATTGTCTGGATGAGATGTAGTCGCTAAAGTATAAAGATTCTGAATTAGCGACGGGTCACGCGTTCCTACCCAGCGATGCGGCATATTTGGAAGCTGCCCTGCATATTTCGTAAGCTGAGATCTTGCGATTAGACTTCATAAAGCTGGTTCCACTCCCAGATGTCATTTGACGATCCATTGCAGAATGGTCGTTGTAGAAGACCAAGCAATGATCACAACTATTGCTAGCTCGCAAAATGCATCTTCTTAAAACTGCCTCGGTGTTGACCGTCTCAGCAATTTGGTCATGCATGGTCGTGTGCCCGGCCGCAGGTCTCTTTCATTCAAGACCCAACGGGGCATCAACTCAGAGTGACCACGGAAAGTCTACCAGGTCACTGATCAAGAATGACCTAGAAAAGGTTCTCCGAGCATCGGTGAGCCAGATTGGCTCCCTCGACGAGCGCGGCAAAGACCTAGGCTTAGCATTGGTCTCCTTCGAACCTGGAGCGTTGCTCGTGCCCATTCAAGCAGCAGCGGAGGTCCTTGAAGCATTCTACATCGATATCGCCGTCAATGCTCACGGACCGTGGGCCAACAACGCTCCGCGAATCTGGATCAGAATGACAACTGGAACGATCGGGCTCCTCATGACTGCGGCAGAAGGAACTACCATCCCCTGGGATTTCGTTACATGGTTTGCACTGCAGATGCTGAGATACACTGAGCGTGGTTATACTGGCCTGTATACTGCAAATTTTGTCAATCCGATTGTGGGCAACGCTATTTGGGTCACTTTGTATCAGTGCGCGATTGGACCACTCACAGATTCAGCCGGTGTCGGTGCATCGGCAAAGGTAGCTTCTTGCCTGAATGCAAAGGCTCAGGCTTGGCTTCCCACGAAAGGAACACCCACGCGTTAGGGTGATATGATTGATGAACTTTGCCCGGGAAAATGGACGGAATTTGATCGTCATAGAGGAGCAATTCAGGGTTTGGGAGGGCTGAGGGTCCGATGAAGACAGATTTCGACTATTGAATGCGCGCGCGCACATGAATGACAAGTTTGGCGGGAAATACACCTATGGAACCCGGGAAATGATACTCGCAAGGAGGGTGTAATTGAGCAGATCTTGATTCGTGTCTGCTATTGCTACCTTGTCCTATCATTCTTGCTCCTGTTCATACATAGCCTACATATTTGTCAGCACCTTGGGCTTCATATGAATTGGAATCTCTCGACATACCTTTCCTGGCCCCCTGAAAGAAGAACCTCACAATGAAAACCTGCAGCCCAGCCATGCAAACCATCAACCCGCTTTCCACCACGCTGAAATTAAATATCCTGCTCTCTGTGCTCTTGACGGTGCTAAAGTTGCGGTTCTCACGAGTCCGGAAGTATTTCTGGTTGCGGTTGATGGTGGAGAGATCGCGCGAGACTTTCATGATGGACTCCTCGAGAGCGGAGGTTTGTTCAGGGGAAGTGCCTCGTTTTGAGGGTAGGAGGGCGGAGGGAGTTTCGTTTTCAACCTGCAAATGGGGAGAAGTGTCAGCGTGCGGTCAAACATGTATTTGGTGTTGAGACGTTGTAGAATAGTCCGGGTGTGCCATGAAGCTGGCCGAGCTGAAAGCGAGCGTCTAGCAATTGGAAAAGGGACCAACGTACGGCAATTTCGAAGTCCACCATTTTCTCAGCGAACGTACTCATCTCATTATTGAAGCAAAAACTGTATTCTCCTGTCGCTTTGGCCGTGAATACAGAGTCCAGCTGCCTCTCCTTGGAGTTCTCCATGATGACTTTCCCATCGGGACCCATGACGCTGTAGTCGACATCGAAGGAACCGCCAGATTGGACCTGCACAAAGGTGATGCTTTCAGCTCCGCGGGCACCGAGACATAGCAAATGCTCCGTGAGGAAGGATGGATCGACTCACCGCGAAGTAAAAGGCAATCTTTGCCCCTTGTTGTTCTACGTTTGAAAAAAAGCAAGCCTTTTCGTTGGCTATAAGCTTATAAGTCAGAGCTGTGGCAGAGACATGAGAAAAGAAGCAAGCCAAAAGGCCCGTGAATGCAAGGTACATTCGCATCCTGCTCGGTAGACAGAGAGCGTGAACTTATCGCTCTCCTGATGGCTCGAACGAAATGTCCGCAAATCTTCGCGCCGCAACGTCGCGGGTATGAAAGCTTGGCAGGCTTGGCAGACTTGTGCACGAGCGTCTACATTTAAGCAAACCAAATCAAATGCCTGCCTTTTTACTACTTAAGTCGACATGACTGAGCAAAACTCCTGTGATCCTCTTCTGTTCTCCCGTGAATTGGTCAAAAGTCCAACTCTTTCGAGCGGATGTTCTTGTCTCACATGTGTCTGAAGACTTCATGGATACCTATCTCATGCAGTTGTTCGCACATACTTGCACAATATCGTAAGTCTCTCCAATCCGATCGTGGTTTCCTTGGTAACCAGCTACAGTCAAATTTTGAGTATCTTGCCTGCCGAATACAGAGATTTACAGCGCTGCTTTTGGAGGCCAGTCCAGGATCTCAATTGTGAGAATTGGGCAGTGCTGATACCATCGGCGATCCAAAAACCTGTCGCAGCGTCCGATGAAGCTGGTACTATAAAGGAAACATATCCGATTAGAGCCCTCTATCCCGAACTCTGCTTTGAATTACGCCTCGGACAGGTACAAATGAAAAGGCATCTTCCTCTTTTACCCCCAAGGATTTGTGATTTCAATTATTGCGAATCCATTTATACCCATTGCTGAATTCGCAATAAGACCAGCACTTCCACTTGCGAAGTTCTCGAAGCTAAGAGCATCTAGCAAAAGTCATGCATAGAGGGCGAAAGCCCTCAATGGAATTGTAAAAATCCTACAGTTGCCAGAAAACAGTGGCGATTCACACGAATTTTTCCTAAAATCCGTCATTCTGTTTGCAAGGGAGAAATTGTAGAAGTCGTACAATTCAGGCGCGGTGCCTGTAAAAAGTGACAATGTTCATAAATATCCCCCCAAAATCTATTTCTGTTTGAGATCCTTTGACAGGAAGAGTCGATTTGTTTTGATCGATATCCACAAAAACATGCGCAAAGGAAATTTTCTCTATGCATGACTATTGCTACATTACCTTACAATCCACATCGCCGTAAGTCACACGTCATTGCTCCTCGACATGCCAGATCAAGACTGGGAATATGGCCCTTTTCGCCATCATTCCGCCTACGGGGGAAATGTCCTGGAGCATTCAAACGTAGGCTATGTTCCATAAAGTACCATCATCGTTTCATGAATGGCATGTCTGCACTTCATAGAAATCCAAACCTAACGCCTCGGAGACCACCTACACAATGACCTCCGGGATTTAGACCAGTTATTGACTCCCTAACAGGGAGCAGCGTTTGCTTGATATGTTGTCTAACACTACATTCTGTCCAGTCTCGATAGAGTGCCTTCACATGGAGACCTCTTTGCTCTACGCAGAAAATCCCCGTGCTCTTGCACTAACATAGTTCTTCCGAAACTCGTTCACTTCCGTTTGGCCACTGCGGTTCAATGCAGCCCATTTGGGCTGTGTCTGGAAAAGACGCATGGCATTGATGTACTAAGGATGTCAGTATTAGCTCAAAGGGGTAGGTTGCCTAGGCAGGGCAGTCATCACTTACATTCTCTTCATCCACAGTGAATCGATGGTAGATGCCGGCCGGCAAGATGAGCAAGTCGCCTGGCTCCGCTCTAATCCGAACCCACCTGTCCTCTGCATCACGAACGTCGAAATACCCAGTTCCCTTTAAGATGTATCGAATCTCTTCATCTTCGTGTAAATGTTCATCGTAGAACATCTTGATCTTGTCCTCGTAGACTGAGCCCATGGCACTAGGCGAAACAGTGATTTCGTCCCGGTTGGCGTAGGCGCGAGCTTTGGCGAGGTCCTCGACTTGGGCCGCGGATGAGGGCGAGGAAGGCGGGAAGGCGTAATGGAGCACTCCAAGTGAAGAAAGATGGGTCGGTGAAAGCTCCAGACCAGAGTCGTGTGGGAGGCGGCAATCGCCCTTACTTGTCAGTCTCGTATGGGAGCAGCAGGACGAGGAGTCTCCAGGACTTACAGGCTTATCGTCGTGGTAGAAGACCCTCATATCGGTAATGAATTCTTCGAGGATGTTCTTCTTAGGTGTCTGTTTGCGAGTCTGGGAAGGTTCTTGAAGGTCTTGAAGGCTTTGGCCAAGTTATACTAACAATTAAGGAAAATACGCAACCGAACATGAAATGCAGGAAAAAAGTGACATGCGTCTTCAGGTAGTGCTGCGAGGTTTTCATGCAAGGAAGCGTAGAGACCGCCACGTATGAGCAGACGGAGAATTGAAAACGAGGATCATTTGCACTTAGTGGTAAATACGTGTTCACAATCTGTACTGAGTTTCCTGCCCTGAGCCCTCTTTTCGGAAAGGGCTTGTCCATACCATATATATTCAACAAAGCTATAATCCACAGTGGATGATCCTGTGAGCCTATTCACGTATCACATCGCCTACAACATTCACTACTATATCTGAGAGAGCGGTGAAGAACCAAAAAAAGGCTGACAGAACACACCCGTAGTTCGGTTCCAAATCAATGATCAAGGTAAGGTAGATGAGGCAAATGTCCGCCTTGCTGCAAGTGCTTTCTTATGGATGATGACCTAGGCTTTGACGCGCAGACGGGAATGCAATATGCATCACACGTTTGCAGTGGCGCCCTGCATGTAAGAAACCCTACGAATCGGATGCTACTTTATTCGACTTCGTTCTAACATCACATGGGCTAATCCAATTTCGAGACTTGGAAGAGGGCGGGCGTGCTGCGGGACAGTGACTGCGCGGCTTTACGCAGTTGATAGAGGGATTTCATTATGCAAGCGAAAGGGAATCGGTGTGATGGGGTGGAGGAAAAGATGTATTGGACTTGCCGTCCGACTAAGAGAGACACGGAACGTTCAGCAACTCTAAAATCCTGAGTAAGGTTTCCCCTGTCTGCGTAGGGCTGGCCCATGGAGAAGCCGAACTTCGACGTCACCAGTGCCCCAAAAATCAAAAGTCGACCTCTTGCGACAAGACCTCAACCCCCAGCAATGCTTCAAACTCGAAGATACTCTCGACATGGCTGCGCAATAGGATGAAGAATCATTTTCGAGTTTTGGGCTTATCAAGATCAGTGGTGCTGGTGCAGTGATCTTCCATACTGCAGCCCTTGATTCTAGTGGTTGCTGAATGCCATTATTTACCAGGGGCACCGGTGATGTGGACGAGGGGACAAAGCGCAGTTCTTCAATGGTGAGGTTGCTACTCGTATCTGCAAGTTAGCGTTGCATGTCAGTATTGCCGCCCGGGAGGGTAGCGGGTGGTTTCTGATTTGCTGATTTGCTATTGCCTCAGCATCTCATCCGCTAACTTCGTGTGTCCGCCAATAATTGTAGAGACTTGAGAGTGTTATTCTAAATAATCACCATACCGGCGCAACTACCCGTCTCCCGTCTCCCCGTCAGACGCACCGCTGTGGGTGAAAGAGGTGCTTAGTGGGCCCTTTTCTTGACCCGCGTGACCTTATTATTATGCACGGGCCCGATCATTCACAACAGACGCATGAAGCGGAGATTTGTAATGCACCTTCGATTTTCAAACCAGAGAATTCTCCGAAGGGTGCGGCTGACATGCCTGGCTCCGACGACCATACCCAGTTTTTGGAGCCGTCGCTAGTCAATACGGTAGAATGGAAGCCTGCATATGGCCACAAAGCCTTCCCGGCAATGAGATATGCTCACATACATTCTTTTCGAATGTGTGCTCCTAGCTGCTCGAATCCCAACGTCTCATCCCTTCAGAAGCAGATCGGCAAGCTATCAAATGTTGCGCTAATGCAACTCATCATTAGATCTTTGGACGAATTGATCAAATCATGATATACCGGCCTTACCCATACTATGCGTTGTCCTCCTTTCTTTCGCCACTCTTCATGAAAAGGTATCAGGAATCATGGTCCAAGTCTGCGAGTTTCAGTCAATGGCAAGTGGGAATTTTTCGAATGCCTTTCGAATTCGATAGTAAGCCTTCTGAGCAACTCGATCATTGAGATACTCTACGGCCGAAAAGTTCACGTAGTGGCGCAAAAGATACACTGGGATGGACTGCTTTGCTTTCATGTTCTACTCTCCCAAACGAAACTAGCACCGGATATGTGGTGTCTGGTGTGTTTTGTCCTGCCATCTGGTAGCAATGCACTATTCCCGGCAATCTTATCCCTGTTGGGATCAGTATCCTTTCCTTTGGCTTTATTGACAAGAGGCTCGGAGAATCAGTCACGAGCTGCGTGGCCTTGGTCTCGCAAAAGCTCAGGTTTTAAAGGGTTTAGGAAAACCGCTACAAATCTAGAGACTATATTGATACATCTCTTTCCTCCAGACCAAGATCAAGGCACGCAAACTCGAAAGTGAATATGGAGTTCACCACTCCAGTGTATGTGGGTGTCAACCTCGACGCCAACGATGGACCTCAAATGAATGCTGTTGCCATCATATTCATAATACTGTCCTTTACCACCCTCGTTCTTCGTTTGTTCTCCCGTCTACATACCAAAGTATCCATTGGCATGGACGACGAACTCATAGTGGTAGCTGCGGTGGGACCACAAAAAAGCAGATCTACTCCGTGCAGTGGACGCTGACAACTCTGCTCTAGGTCCTTTCCTGGGGCTACACCGCGACAGTGATATTCGAGGTTGAGCATAACTATTATGGCCAGCACATCGGCAAATCTGATACGCACCATCTCGAGGAATTCAACAAAGGACTATATGGTCTGGCTATTGTCTATCCTCTTGCTCTTACCTTCAGTAAACTATCGCTTCTGGCGCTATATTGGCGTATCTTTCGAGTGACAAATGCGAGACGCCCTTTGCAGATAGTTGCAGCACTTAACATAGGATGGATGATAGCTGCAGTAAGTAACACAAGCTTTTCCTCTCTCGAAAAGCGGCCACTGACCAAGATTTTAGTTCATCGTTGGCATATTCAGCTGTACACCTATTCGAGGCTTCTGGGACGCAACGATCAAAAGCCGGTGCATCCAGTACCCTCAATTCTTCACTTCCAACGAGTCTTTCACAATCATTTTAGACCTGGTGGTTCTGCTCATGCCCGTGTACTTCATTTCCCACCTTCAGCGGTCTGTTTCACAAAGGATTTCCATTAGCAGTACATTTCTTCTAGGTCTTGTGTGAGTAAGCTCTGAAGACAGATACAGGATATCGCTGATCGCCTTGGCAGTGTAACGGTGGTCTCAGCTGTACGGTTGTGGCAACTCGTTCTCGCCCAAAGAAAGCCTGGCTTCGATCCAACTTGTGAGAACGACCTTCGTGGAAAACCTTCTGAAGAATTCTCGGCTGACTCATTTTGCGTTTAGTCAACGAAACTCCTGCTGCATTATGGGCCATCGTCGAGCTTAATCTTTGGATTATCGTTGCCTCAATACCCGCCCTGCGACCTCTCATAACCAAGACACTTCAAGACCGGCGTGAGCGTAACAGTGCCTCCGGTTCAAAATCGTACACATATGGTTCAGGGTCATTGAAAGGCCTCAAAGCCCTTCTCTGGCCTTCGCAAGGCCGTCCTTCTACGCTATCACGCTCAAACGGCCGCTTACCACTAGATGGCGAAGAGACGAGAGGGGCGGTCGGGGCTGAATCGTCGCGTTCTGTTGAGGACTACAACGTTCAAGTCTCTGCACCAGTCCCCAGAGAGGCGACATGGACGCCACTTGGCGTTGCTGAGGATGGACTAGACGATGCCCAGTTACAGGAACTGGGTGGCATCCGCGTGGATCGAGAGGTAAAGGTCTCGCAACCCGAGAATGCGTACCACCGAATCTGAGATGCGCTACCAAACGCTCCATCCAACCGCACACTAAGAAATAGTACTTTAGATGCAACACAAGAGTTGAATGAAGTCCTTACCACGGTGGCTAATCTGGGAGACGAGTCTTAAAGCGCTCAGGAGACGTTTCCAATAAGAAAGCGAAGCGCGTGTGTATCCCAGCGACAATAGCTGTAAGGATCTGACGACAATGAAGCTGTATCAGAGCAATTTGTTTGCTCTTACTGGAAGAGGACCAGCAGCGAACGTAGAACTGAGACACATTTGTACTAGACAGAGGCCGGTAAGGGCCCGTTCGTATAGTCTGATTTCGATCGGTACGGGCTCGGTAACTGTGAACTTGCTCTGTAACCAATTCTTTTGCATCATCACCTGACCACGAGTAGTTGCAGATATCTTTACTAAGCAAACCTCTCGCTTAAAAGTCCGCTTTTCTGGGAGGACGGGAGACTTCATTCCCACAAGCGCTCTCGAAAGGTGCCCTTGTTCTGAAACCATGGCGTTAGATCAAGGCAACGGTTCTTTTACTGGGCAGACGGAAAGCCACGCATTCGCTGGCTTCTTATTTGATGTGGATGGTACCATCATAAATACCACAGATGCCGTTACCAAGCATTGGCAAAGGTCAGTGAATAGCCTCTTCTCCCTCGCTCACGGGAAGGTCGTTGAACATGGCTTGCTCTTTGTTCAATTACCAAGACTTACCGCGTAGCGCAGAATTGGTGCCGAATTGGGAGTGGATCCCGATGTCATTCTTCGCAATTCGCGAGGCCGCCGCTCCATCGATACGCTGCGACTGTATGATCCCTCTAAAGCAAACTGGGAATGTCAGTCAGTCTCCCCGGACCACCCCAATGCCATATTGATATCTACGCAACAGACGTTCGTCACATCGAGAGCCTGATCCCGAAATTGTACGGTTCCGGCGTGACCGAGATCCGGGGCGCCCGACCCCTACTGAAATCTATGGGGGAAGCGAACGCACCGTGGGCCCTTGTCACTTCCTGCACTCGTACGTTGTTGTCCGGCTGGCTTGATCTCCTGGCGCTTCCCTCTCCTCCGGCGTCCGTTGCTGCAGAAGACGTCGCAGCCGGCAAGCCGGACCCTGCTTGCTACAACCTCGGTCGGGAGCGCATTGGCTTGGGAGAGCGGGCACGAGTGCTCGTTGCTGAGGATGCTCCCGCCGGCGTGAAAGCAGGCAAGGCGGCTGGGTGTATGGTCTTGGGTCTCGCGACTACGCATGGTGTGGACCAATTGAGGGACGCGGGGGCTGACTGGATAATTGAAGATTTGACTTGTGTGAAAGTAGCTGGCAAGGGAGACGATGGGTGGGAGATCTCGATAGAGAAGATGTGGGTGCAAAACGAATGACGCTAATGAAGGATGATGCAACGGTCGAGGAGGTAAAATGCTGCTTTAACTACGCGGCAGGTTGAGATTTTGGACGAAGAGAGCTTCAGTTTAGATCAATCGTCCTGTCACACCTCGCTGATACTATGTGCATATACCATGATAGCCCCGTGAAGACCAGAGCAATGATAGCAGCAAATGGCGTAAGTCAGCTTGCGTAATGAGTATCATTGGCTATAGCCTTCAAGCAAAGTATCTTATGCTTTGTCCGTACTGTACCATGCTGTATCATGAAAGCAAGCTAGGGTCCCCACGGAGACCAAGAAGCTGCCTTGAAGGATACGAGTAGTCCCAACCCAATTTCGTCGCGTATTCCTGACATTAACAACATCCTACGCACTGACGAGCTGTTTTGCTGGAGGACAAGGAAAACATAGAATGTTATGACAAAACGATCAGGTAGCAGTTCGTAAGGGGGTGTAGTTGCCTCAGTCCCTCAGAGCGTGCTAAGCTCATTCTTCGCTGGCTAAACCCCTTCGGGTTACTCTAGCCCCTTTGCTTACTACGGGACCTTCAGGTAGCATCAAACTCCGCCCGAGAATCACTCACAATGACGCAGGTATGCAGAAGCAGGGGCCTACCGTCTTCTCCATCATGTTGAAGCTAAAAATATGAGCTCTAACAAGACAACTCAAATGGCGTTTCCCCGCAACTCTCTTCGTGCTTTTTTGCAGCATGCCAAGACGAACCTCGTCAAAGCAGTTCACGAGGAGCATAACATAAACATTGTGATTGGGAATGAGTCTGCAGGTCTTCTTGTCTATCGCCCACGGCTTATCAGCAGCTGTACTGACCTTTATCAGACCTTGATTCCCTTACATCCTCTCTTCTCTACGCGTACATCAAATCCATTGCCCCTCCACGAAACAATTTCTCGCCCATCTACGTTCCTCTATTGAACATACCTGCTTCGGGTCTCCGCCTCCGCCCCGAGTTCTCTGCCGTCTGTGCACACGCAAACATCGCAATTGATCGTCTGATTACTTTAGACGATCTACCAAGTCAGTCAAGGCTATTGAAGAGTGTGCGGTGGATATTAGTGGACCACAACAAATTACAAGGAGATCTAGGCGATCAATTCTCTTCAAAAGTGCTAGGAGTGATAGACCACCATGAGGAAGAGAACGCAGTGCCTCAAAACACAGGCTCCGAACCGCGTGTGATCGAGAAGTGCGGCTCTTGCACCAGCCTTGTCGTCCGCGAATGCAAGTCTGCGTGGGACAGCATATCGAGCTCCTCACTTTCAACCGGTGCCGCTCATGGACAAGGAGAAGTTGCAGTAGATGACAGTGCAGTGACCCAAGTTTGGGACGCACAAGTCGCTAAAATGGCACTTGCTAGCATACTGGTGGATACGGCCAATTTGACAGCGCCTGGAAAAGTGGAGCATGTGGATCGGGACTCGGTGGACTACCTTGAAGCAAAGATCCAATTGTCGCCTAAAGACGCACAAAGTTGGAATCGGGACCGTTACTACAAGGACATTGATGAAGCTAAGAGGGACATTAGCAGCCTTAGCCTCACCGAGGTCTTGATCAAAGATTACAAAGGGTGGACAGAGAGTGGTACAAAACTGGGCATCAGCTCCGTAGTGAAGCCCTTGGAATTCTTGGTTCAGAAGGCAGGTGAAGAGAATAAATCATCGTTCGAGGACCAGCTGCAACACTTCATGGACGAGCGAGACCTATCGATGTTTGCGATTATGACAACATCCACATCTTCAGAGGGTGAATTTCAGAGAGAGCTGCTTCTCCAAGCTCGTTCATCTTCCTCTTCTTCCGCGATCAAGTTCGCAGAGCAGGGAGCCTCTGACTTCCAGCTAGAGATCCTCAATATCAAAGGTGTTTTGATACAGGACAAGCCAGGACAGCACTGGAAAAAAGTATGGTTACAGAAAGACGTGAGCAAGAGCCGAAAGCAAGTGGCACCGCTCCTCCGAAAAGTTATGACAAGACCAAATGAGTGACAGCCTGTATGTTCCTCAAGCCATAATCACCACAAAGACTAGGCCCAAATCACCCAGACCATGCTGAATTAGCGTGTTGCTGGGATCCGTCCCCCACAATATACGCCAAAGCATGTGCTTTCGAGCTGTCCGTCGCTCGAACTCAAGGACACAACCCACAAGGTTCAGCCGAGTTCTGCTTGATACCCGGGTATTCATTTCAACTCCGCTCGAGGCCGGTGTGGAACAGACAATTCACCAGGTAGGTTCTCTGCCGGGAGCTCATCCAACCGCCTCTCTGCGCGTTGTTCGCGCAGTCCATTATCGTTCTTTTCATTGGCCACCGCATGCACATCCAGTAGCCCTTCAGGTCGTCTCTTTGATCGGCGCCGAATAAGGTAGAAGAAGCCTGCAAAAACCGCCAAGCCGACGGGTACGAGTACACCAACCCCCGCGCTAACGCCGACGGCCGCATGGCCGTCTGAACTACCACTGGGAGTAGGTGTACGCATGATCGTTGACGTCGCTGAGTGGGTGCTGCTCGTCGCCGGTGCGTTCAAAATCGAGAGGCTGTTGCCCTGATTGGTCACAGCTGATTTTGGCAGCGTATAGTTGACGTGGTACCCGCTCGAAAGACCGCCATCATTAGTGTTAATGGTGGTGATTTGGTACTTGGGATAGCAATTGCCACCCGGATTTCCTGCCCCCCAGCTCACGCCAATGCAGGAAGCCTCACTAGCTGCGGAGGGTTCTGGCACATAGGCATCACAAACTCTCAGGCACTCTTCGAAGGTATCTGCGTGGACGGCTGGAAGATCATTGCCAGGATAGTTGGTGCTGCATTGGATTTTGTAATTGTTTCCGGTAGCATCTGTATATGAGGTACCGTCGAGATCTGGACACGGATAAGCTGCAGTACTGACCGCAGCAGAAGTTGCGCCGGTTTCCGAACTGGTTGTGACGGGCATTGGGCTTGGACCAGTGATGGTTGTCACGACTGTTGCCACCCCTAAGAAAAACCCGTTGGTGAAAGTACTGCAACTAGCTTGGCTGTTGTTGTCTTCAAAGCAGGAGAAGTGGCCTTTTCCGCACGATGATACACGATTGTCAACACCGATAGCTGATTTGGTAGAGTTAGCCATTCTTTCGACTCCAAATCAGAATCTCGCACCCCGCTTCCTGAGCTGTACGTACCAGTCAAATTATTTTGGCAAATCTTAGCACATGCTGTCGTATTTCCCCAATAAGGATCCGTGCAGAGCCCGGTCCACACTACTGGATTTGGACGGGGGTTGTTGTCGGGCTCGCAAAGGCCGTTGCTTAGACAGATCCAGTCTGATTGACAACAATTACTGGTTGGAGCTGAGGGACTGCAAGGGAAATATTCTGGCTGCTGAATTTCGTCGATATTGAAACACTGATCACCACATGAAACTTGTGCCACGTTGTATACTGCTATCAAGGAGGTGAGTGCAAGAGAAACAATAGAGGTAGGCATTTTGACGTTCAAAGGAACTCGGGGGACACTTTGACAGAGAAGCTTCCCTCGAGAAACATGGTTTATGAAGCAGAGACAACCCTGAGCAGGAATCAATGCTATATGGTCAGAAGCACCTCGCAGTCAGAGCACATGGATGCACTGCCAGCTGCAACTTCGCTTCGCAGCTCAATCCCATGCATGAGGCATAAAGATCTAAGGAGCCAAGGGGAGTGGCATAGAAAAGGCTCCTTCAAGAAGCTGTTGTCCGATGCAGGGAAAAGGCTGTGACTGATGCTTTGGGGGGGGGGGGGGTCAAAGCCCTTTACGAAAGGCTGAGTCCATCATCAGAACAGCCTGGACCAAAGACATGAAGGAAATTGAGAAAACAATAAGATGAAACATGCATGGAGCAGTCGAAAAGGCAACAGCTGGTGCTTGTATTCACACATGATTGACCGAGATGAAGACTGTTGCAGAATCTCAAATGTCGGAACTACTCAACTCGTAAGCTGCATATGACTGCTGCAGAAAATGCTCCCTCAATATCCGTCGACGGGCACAACGGAATATCATTCAGTGATCATTCTGCGAGAGGCACTGCTAGTGCCAGTGCTGTGCTCCGCTGGGGCGCCGGGGCGGGGTTCATTCGTTGGGTGACATCCAATAGGGCTGAATTCGGAAGTTTCCGAGGGACTTTCCACATGATGTAGCAAGCACTCCGCTCACAATGGCATTTACATGAACTTGGGATATTGAGTCTCAAGAGTTGCCCATCCTTCTCTGCCATGCCTTCCTCTCCGCCTCTCCGTATAGGCTATGTACCAGGTCAGTCATTGTTCTTCTCTCCTCTCCCACCACTTCAGCTCCCAACGACCCCTGTGCCCCTCCCCCCGCCTACCCCACGCCCTCTTTACCACCCCTGCTAACATGCCCTAGAACATTTTTCCACCCCCATCCACTTCGCCTCTACGCACTTCTCGCTATCATGTACACTCATCCCATTTCCCTCCGGTACAGGCCACATGATCACATCTCTCCAATCCAATGAGATAGACATCGGCATTGGTCTCACAGAGGGTTGGGTAGCGGGGCTTGGTAAGGCCCAAGCCGAGAGCAGGTCTGCAGGTTACAGGATGGTGGGAACGTATGTGGAAACGCCGTTATGCTGGGCGATAAGTACGGGAGCCAACAGAGAGGATGTGACGGGAGTGGAGCGACTGAAGGGGGCAAAGATGGGCGTCAGCCGGATTGGTAGGTACGCTTCCCTTCCCTTCCACCCAACTCCAACAAACTCGGCCCTAACAACTCGTGTAGTGGTTCCTACGTGATGGGCTTCGTCCTCGCCGATACGCACGATTGGCTTTCCCCAGCCTCTACCTCATCCTCCTCGGCATCCGCGCCCTTCGACATCATTCCCCTGCAAACCTTCGCCAAACTCCGAGAATCCGTCAATGACCGCACCGCCGACTTCTTCATGTGGGAACACTTCACCTCGAAACGATACTATGACAACGGCGAAATCAAACGCATCGGGGAAATATACACACCCTGGCCGAGCTGGCACATAGTCGCTAGGCCCGGGGTTATCGGAGACGAGAGGATGGAAGAGATGCTCGAGAAACTGAATCTGGGGATAAAGTATTTTGAGGACCATCGGGAGGAGGCGGTGCAGTACATCAGCACTGAGCTGGACTATTCGGCCGAGGATGCGAGGGAGTGGTTGAAGACGGTGAAGTTTGCGGAAGATGTCAGGGGTGTGAGAGGGAGTGTGGTGCAGGAGACTGCAAGCGTGCTGAAGAAAGCAGGGGTGCTGGGCGAGGACGCGAGGATGGAGGGTATGATTGGGATCCGGAGGAAGGAGTGAGGAAAGGCTTTGTCGCGAAAAGGGGCGGCCAACATTTGGCCTCGAGCCCTGATATTCCTCCTTCACACCGCGCATCGCAATTTTAGGTTTGACAAGCAGCTACTTTGTTCACAACCTTTCTCTAGCCGCAGGGTTCGAAGTTCAGGAGGAACTCCGCCATCGATTCAAGGAGGCGCTTGGATCTTACTTAGGACGCTACTCAAGCACAAAATGGCTCTGCGTCTTTCAACGACTCCTCACACTACCTCGGAGCTTCACATCGGCTTCAATTCCAAATCTTGAACATCTCGATCCTTCGGCCGCGTAGTGCTTGTCGACGTTCCACCATCGAAAGCCCCAAGACTTGGCGATTGTAACACCCGTATTTGAGCGTCCAGTAGAGTTGTTTGGGGTTTCGGGCAAAATGCTGTAGAGTACCTGTTTCCAAAAATGGTAGATCTGAGATGTATAATTTCGATGTAAGTATTGAAACAAGAATGTGAAGATCATGAACCCCAAAATCGTCCATACAAGCCAACCGCAAGAATGGTATCATAAGCCTCCCTCTCTGTAGACGCCAGGCCCGCATTTGTAAAGACCGTACCGACCCATCATCGCCTCGCCCACCACAGCCCCAACCCGGCGGCCGCAAGCACCCCGAGCATCGGGCTCCATCTCCTCACTACTCTCCTCGCGGCCAGCCGCTTCACGACGCCTATCTTGACTGCGAAACTCCCGGAGTCATTGACCATTGGGAACGTCCTTCCAACCGGCACCTCGACCCCGAGAAACTCGCACAGCGGGCCCCATCCTTGTTCCACGCTATATTCTAAGCGGCGATCTGGAGGCACGAGAAACCGGGCTTCGTCGTGCCCACGGCGGTAGTGCTCGATCCAGATGCGTTTGCCCTCGGGCGTCTGCCAAAGGTCGGGCGGGCAGGGGAACATGGATCCGAACATAAGACCGAGGAGCGGTGTGAAGCGTGAGAGGAAGTGGGTATCTAGGACGGAGAGGATCTAGCAGGGGGACCAATTAGTGTCGGAGGTCTTGCGGAATCAGTTGGAATTGGGGAACAGGAAAGCTGATTAAGATTCTAGATGGGGATATGGGTCAGACATACGTGTATCGATCGAGCGGTTGCCGTGGTTTGAATGGTGCGCTGGCAGGACGCATACCAGCTATTTTCTTCCCGCGGCGTGAGGATGAGCTTCGCGTCGGGGTACGCAGCTATGAGTTCCGGAATGAATGCGCTGGTTGGGAGATCGCAGACCGCTTGGCAGTGGCCGAGAAGTTGATCTCATTGCTCTTTCCCGAAAGGTTCGCCCTGGCTTTTGAACTTGGCGAGGAAGGCTTGACGCCAGAGGTCGATGTCTGGAGGATTTTCGAAGAGGCAGTCCATATGGTATGTATCATTGAAACCGGGCTGCTTGAGGGCAACGCGTATTGCTGTATTCGGCATTAGCTGGTCGTCTCGGACTTATGATTGCCAATCTGGGCGTTATACATACATTGGGTTCCAGTCCGTGGCATGCCAACAACAATAACCTTAAGCGGGACCACTCTCCGGCATATGCGCCGGTCGATGTTGGTATTGACGAATAGCTCGGGAAAACGCTCCTCCTTAGTCATAGCCCTTTTCTCACTCAGAGAGGGATTGTTCGCCATAGCTGCAAGCTCTGAGGACTTCGAACGTGATAAAGGATGATGAGTGCTCTTTAAAGAGACGATATCACGTTTCCTGTAAGCAAGGTCGGTTGGTAGGCTCATTCGGTTTCAAGGCTGCTGACGGATTCCAGTGTCTGGAGGGGTATTCTCTGCGCACCGGCACCATTAGTGAACATGTCTATGCATGGATCTGGAAACAGCCTGCGTGAGGCAGCTATCAGGCTTCCAACTCGAGTCCCTGGAGAAGCATACTTGTAGCTCAGAATGGTAAAGACTGTGTGTCGGAAAGCGAGAAGTCCGAAGGAGAGCGCCGCCAGCGGCAGGATTCAGGTAACGACTGTGTTCATGATGGCGTGATGCCTCGAAGTGTGCCTTGCATGGGTTCCTTCCCTGAAGGTGGTGCGGTGTCATGGAAGGCAAGCCGCATGGACTTGAGTAGTTATACATATGCTCGTGGGAATTGGATAAGGTTACATGTCTCATGATGCCTTCGTAATTTGGCAGAGAGATTGATGATGGACAAGTAGCTTTCCACAATGGTGGTAGGGTTCCATGGGCTCGGAGTGCCGTCCGTGCTTTGTAAATTGTAAATGTTAAGGTAATTCCAAGGTTATAGTCCGAAGGCTCGCCCCGTTCTACCAACCTCACGAGCTACGAGCCTCGCACAACCCTTGCGTTTTGAAACACCCCGCTCATCGTGTTTCATGAGTCGAGCCGCTGCTTACAGTCGGTCTGTGGAGGTTTTGAGCAAGCGAGAGAAGCTACCAGACAAGACGCGGAAAGAGTACGCAAACATTGAATTGCCCAGATCTGCATATCATCGCCGTCGCACTTGGAAGTGTGTACAGCGCGAGGAGCGATACTATGTACGCAGCCTCATCATATCAAAGTCAGCGGCGCCGAGGTTTCCCTGGATCACTGTTACTTTAATGTTCCAAGCTCTCTTGGAAATTTGGATCGTCAATTCTGAAAACCTACGATTGTGGTGCGGAGCGGACATATGAATACGAGCTTCTAAAACACCAATCTCAACCCTGTAATCATGCGCCCTGAAAATCGATGAGATGACGGCCAAATATTCAAAGTTGGTGGAAGTATGAAACTTGGAGCCATGGTTCAATATCAAATGAGAGCTTGCTAGTAGATGTGACGTTGCCGCTCGACATGCATCCACAATGTTTATTGAGCTAAACCATGACTAGCGTTAGTAGCAGCCCTAACCCTATGTTTGCAAGGCGGCCTTGTAGCGGAGGCCGGAGGGCCCTACGGTATGTTTTAGTTGGTAGAAGGGCATACGGTAGATTAAAATTTAGAGAGTTCGATATACTTAATGGCCCTGATAGGAGCAATAGGTCCCAAAATGGGCTTAAGTCAGGCGCAATTTCGAAGCAGTTCTAAGCGCATTGTCCGGGGTTCAGGCAACCTTTCAGGCGGGGCAGTATCCGAGATCCTGGCAAAGGAGTCTCTTTACAAGCTGACGTCGGTACAGCGAGTAGATATAAAACACGCCCCACAAGTGGATCATCAGAAAATGAGCGAAGGAACACACCTCGGCGTCGAGACAACATGGCGATCCATCTCATCTTCCGAGGGTGCTTCATCAAGCCTCAAGGCTGAAGAAAACCCACACTTCGACTTCATATCCATCTTAGCCCGAATCGTGGGCGAGAGGGCCACAGCTGAAACCGCCAGCCGTTGATCAACGTGCAAACAAATTTCACTTTCAAACGGTTTGAACGGCGCTGGTAAGCACGATCTGATGCAGATGAACCGAAGGAGTTTCAGCGCGTACATTCCGAGGTTTTGGTGTTGGGGACAGCCTGAGATCCCAGGGCATCCTAACGTCATCAGGCTCGAAGCTTGTGCTGGAACCATGGGAAATGGGAAGACGCGGAAGAGCTAGCGAAAGAAGTCTTGAAGACGTGGCGGGTTACACTAGGAAACGAACTACCTAACACTTTGGTGAGCTCGGCACATCTATCCTTGATATATCAACGTCAAGGTCGATGGGCGGAGGCCAAGGCTTTACAGGCTCAAGACCTGGAGCTTCGACATCAGGTCTCAGGGTCACTGCATCCGCAGACCATTGCCAATTGCCAATTGCCCATATGGGAAACGTGGCCTTAACTCTCGCAGAGTTGGGCCGGTGGACAGTAGTAGAAGGGCTGCAAGAACAGGTAGTGCGTGCTAATGCAAAGATTGGGGAACACACTCTCTCGACAAGGAACGTGGAAGCAGGCCGCAGAGCTCGAAATGCAAAATCTAGACAGAAAGATAGAGATCTTAGGCAGGAGCCATCCTGATGCATTGTCTGGTATATCTAGTTTGGCTATGATAAGCCAAATATCTCCCAGAGAAACAAAATCCCAGTAAAGACATGTTATGCAGATACCTCAAGAGATATTGGGGGAGTATTAGTACGAGAACTTGACTTCCGTGTCCAATTTGGCATGCTTTCTACTTGGGCGCGGCAACTTAGAGGAGGCAGAACGATTGCAAAGACGCATGGTGACCACCAGCCGTGGAACGTGGGGACGAGAGCACCATGACACACTGGCAGACTTGGCAAATCTTGCAGCTACCATGGCAGAGTACGGCCGATGGGGGGAAGCTGAAGAGTCAATGACGCAAATTCTAGAGGCTAGTAGGTGACTACGCGGTCCAAATCATCCCGATACACTGACATATATGGGTAATCTTGCATCGATTATTGCTAATCAAGGACGGGAGAGAAAAGCTGAAGAGCTTGAAATGCAAGTCATGAAGAGGAAGAAAAAAATATTCGGGCTTGAGTACCTATCCACATTATTGACGATCACCAATATGGTGCAAAGCTTCACAAATCGACGGCAATGGGCTCATGCTGGGGATCTTTGTAGAAAGCTGGTGGAGAAGAAGTCACGTGTCTTCGGTCAGGATCATTCAGAAACTTTGTCCAGGATGGCAGATCTGGCCTCAATCATCACCCATCAGGAGCGGTACGAAGAAGCTATAGCACTTGACTTGAAAGTCTTGGATAGATGCCGGCACATCAACAGCGAAGAGCACCATGTCATACTGGCAAGTATGGTCAATCTAGTGGTAGCTTTCTCACTGCTTGGACGGCGCGCCAATGCAAAAATATTCGAGAAGCAAGCTATGAAGACTGTCCTTGATATGTGAGGAACGGAGGTTCGTGAGATGCTCGCAAGCATGTCAGAGCTACCTGCAGTTGTCTATAGCCGTGGCCAACCGAGGGCTGCCGAAAAACTCGAGCTGCAGGTAGTGGAGGCGAGCCAAAGAACTTTTTGGCGAAGAACACCCTAGCACACTAACGGCCATGGCGGATTTTGCAGTGACCCTTTCGCGTCGAGGCAAAGCGGAAAAGGGCGAAAAGCTGAATGTGCTGGTCTTGCAAGCGGAAATGAGAATCTGTGGACCAAAGCATCCGGATACGTTGACTAGTATGAAAACCCTAGTGTCCACATTTTTTTCATGAAAAGCGCTGGCAAGAAGCGAAAGAACTTCAGCTACAACTCGTGGCGGCGGAAAAGAAACTTCTGGGGTCAGTCCACCCTGAGACTCTGAACGATATGGCAGATCTCGCAGGCTTATTCAGGAGTGTAAAGGCTATGCTGGATCGATCCTGCTCAGCTGTTGCAGACGATGACGATTGGGATTCGAGTGACTCGCAAGATTCTGCTGATGTCGTACGTGTGGATGACTGGTTGGCTTGCTCTGACAAAGCGCCTCAAAGCATCAGTCCTTTATAATAGCTTCTGCTTCGGGGCGCATGGGGGCGCTTCTTTAGGCGGGGAGGTATCGTCATGGCCTCACAATCTCCTTTGTCGTGGGTAGATGGTCGTTGTTGACACATCGAGGGTGTTCATGATAGGCAAAAGCTCGCTAATCACAGGGGGGGCATCAGGCGTACCATCTACTCCCTCCAGCCTCTCGTCGAGCACGCAGAAGCTTATATTTTGCCAGGAGTTTCACAAATCTGGCTAGCATCCTCCGGTGTCGGGTCCAAATTCAGACGGCTATCGATATACATCTCTGTAGGTAAGGAAGAAAAGAGCCTCGGTCTGCAAGAGGTGGATACTCTCATGACTCAGCTTTATACAGCCGTACTCCTCAGGCAGCAGGAAAAATACAGGGAAATCATGGATTGAAAACGCCAATTTTCGGAGAGAAGGACGGAAACAATAAGGTACCGAGCGGTTGTCTACCGGTCCAGCAGCCGCCCCAACCGCCTTGCCTGTCATGCAAGGCAAAGACTTCACTTGTGGTTGACGGAAGCTGTTTCAGGTAACTGGTATCATCGCATGAAATCTATAAGTAGCCTCTTTCTTTGCTGTTGCGAAAACATTGCAAAAGCGATTGAGTCTTAAAAGGGTATTTTCAAGGGCAGTGAACCACGATCTTCATACAATAAACGCGATTTGCCGGGTGTGTTGGCACATCAAAGGTATCTCGGATGTGCAGAGTCGATTTCCCCTAACAGAGATCTGCTCTGCGGTGCGAGTTCCAAGACCGTAGCACACACGGTCCCAAGGTATCTGGTGCGGGATGCCACAGTTTAATATTCTCTCATCCCTTTCCTTGAAGAGTCAGACTCAAATCGGTGCGGCCACAGTGATGCTCGTCAGCATCACTCAGCGAACACATCGGATTGGAAACCGTGGTAATGAGCAAACATGGACGTGAAGTACAAGGCGACCTTCCTCTCTATCTGTGGGACGTAGCGCATAGTCTTTCACAGTCTTTCCAAACAGACGGAATCATTAGAAAGAGGCAGAAGGAAGGAATGCCCTAAGCGCACAGCGCAAGGTAGTTTGCATAACAACTACCAGCGGACCCGTGATCTCTGTTGATGTATCGTGCTGAGTGGTGGCTGGTGGTCAACCCTCGTAGAGTTTTATCACTCCGAGATATTCAGTCTTTTGTTTATGTCTGAGATTAGAAGGTCTTCCAACAGCGGTTCTGGGACGCAGATATTCGACCTGAGGTTTCTTTTGGGGATGCCGGTCAAGCTTTTCTGTGCACTCGTGTAGTGCAATGTGGACTTGCCGGTTGGTACCGTACTTGAACGTTGACAGAAAATTCTCGCTCGCTATGACTCCTATGCTCCGGCGATGTTGCACACATATTGATCAACTGAATCCTTTATGTCATGATTTCTTCGCTCCGCTAAAATCGCTGGCTTGTAGATTCCGCGTCATGCTCGGCAACTTCACCCGCAGACCATTTAAAGCCTTGTTCATCTTGACCTGACATCCTAACCTTGATGTTTCCGTCAATCCAAATGCCAGGTCCAGCATATCGTTCTCATCGTCGTCTGGTTCGTCCATCTTCTCATACATTTCGTCGGATTCGACAATGACATGACAGGTTGAGCAGGCACATGATCCGCCGCAGGCCCCTGATTAATTCAGTCAATGCAAGTTACCAGCGCTCACGTCCCATGGGTGTTTCACCTTCCATCTCGAGCTCCTCTGACTGCGCGATATCCAGCAAATTGTCCCCGTGCGCCACTTGAAAACTATGCTCTTCCCCTTCCTTATCGACGAATGTGACGTTTAGCCTGCAGAAGCCAACGCGTCAGTCAAACCTCTTCGCAGTCCTCTTCATGTTGCCCGAGGTTCTCACTCTTCGCCAGGCTTTGGGGGCGTAAGGTGGCCATGCATAGCCACAGGGGATGTGGAAAATCTTCGTCTAGCTCTTGAATATATTGTCTGCCTGCCAAAATCTCCTGTCGTCCTTGTAAGTCTTTCTTTCAGATGCCAGACCGAAGCATCATTGCTGAAATTTCGTGATGATGCTGTATGTCGAGAAGGAAGTAGAGCAACTGATGTAGCGTAACTTGATCGACAGCATATCCCCAGAGCACGAGGTGCTTGACGAACTATATACATGCTCGACGCCTCTGAATTGCATACGTTTGAAGCTCGAAAGGATATTGTTTGCCATTTGGGTCAAAAAAGATTGATATGACGAGGACGGAAAGTGTAAGCGCCGGCTCGCCGAAACTTGCTCTCCGCCAATTCAGTATCAAGGCAAAGAATCCATTGTCTTTTTCTTCACACCTAGAGTGCAGCGAATACCAATGTCTACTCCACGAGAGGGTCCAAACCCTTTGAGACCATACTATATACCTCCTTCCGTTGGTCCAAGCGGACCTCAGAATGGAACCTTTGCCACAAATGCCGGCAGCAAGCATGTCTCCTCTACGTCAACAAACAGCTTTGGCTCCTCAGCGCGAAATATCCTGGCGGATATGGACTATACAGACTACATACCCGAGTCTTCGCCCTCGTCTACTGCGGTTATGAAGGGACTGGTGGAACAGGCAATATGGAAGTATACCAGCGTATTCCTGGCCCAGCCATTCGAGGTAGCGAAGACAGTATTGCAGGTCCAGGCTGGCAGTCAAGTCCAGAAGTCATTAGCGAAGGAGGCATTTGTGGATGATTTGCACAGAAGATCTGGCAGCTATCGGCGAGACTCGTACGAGGTATTGGGATAATCCCCCAAAGGTACTGTTTCTAGCTGATCAAGGTGCCTAGATGTTTTCTGATGAGGACTCGGACCTTGACTCTCCCTCCTACTTCACTTCCTCAGCACCTCTCGCACATACACCAACTCGACGCTCACGGACACGGCGACGGCATGGCTCTCCAGAACCAGACGGTGTTCCACGAATCCACACGCCTCAACCACCTCCGTCAAAACCGCACCAATCTCCCCACACCCTCGATCTCAAATCATCCTCCTCCGTATTAGCCGTACTGTCTTCCCACTGGGCAGCAGAAGGGCCTTGGGGAATATGGAAAGGCACCAATAGCACCTACATCCACTCGATCCTTCTATCCACAATCACCTCCTTTGTCCGATCATTCTTCTCTGCGTTTATGGCGCTACCTGACCCTGGACTCTCTCTCACAGCAACTCCAACTCTCTCTTACGCTGGCGGGCTCGATATATTATCTTCACCTTCACCATTCGCCTCGCTAGCTGTAGCCGTCTCTGCTGCCGGCTTAGCGGGCATGATACTCACCCCTCTGGACATAGCTCGCACAAAGCTCATACTGACACCTTCGACGCATCCACCCAGATCGATAATTGCGACCTTGAAGACGCTACCCAAATGGACGTTGCCTTTCTCAATCGCTCCAGCGGCGATACTAAATTCCACGATACCCACACTAATCTCAGCTTCGACACCTTTGTTTCTGCGCTCTAAGCTTGGCATAGATCCGGTTCTAACTCCCAATATGTATTCTATTGCAACTTTCGTCGGGCAAGCGTTTGAGCTTGTCGTGAAGCTTCCGATCGAGACTGTGCTTAGGAGAGGTCAAATGGATGTTGCCCGATCCACCAGCAAAGGGAAGGAAATGCAAACGATCGTTGAAGTCGGGCCCTATCGTGGTTTGTTAGGAACCGTGCACTCGATCGTCTACGAAGAAGGCGAAAGAGGCCCTCCGGCAGAGTTGGTGAAGGGTACAGCAGGTGCACCGGCCATGAAGGTAGGGAAGGTTGGTCAAGAGAGGAAGAGGAGGAAAGGGCAAGGATTCGAGGGGCTTTGGAGAGGATGGAGGGTCGGAATGTGGGGATTAGTGGGTGTTTGGGGAGCAGCGACATGGGGAGGCGTTGGCGGGAAGGGTGGAGAATTCTGATGCTTGTCTGCGCTTCTAATGTCCATTCATGGTCCTTGACTGCAAGGAGCTATGGCGTTGCCTGGTGGTATGGAGTGTATCAAGCCATATGTGTAGCGATCCTCATCTCAAATACAGTCTTCTCTCAAAGAAATTCGGACATGCAGCCATGATTCTTTCGTCGTGACAATGATATGCCATCTCGAGCCTCATCATCCTCACTCTTCTTCCCAAGCTCGCTTCTTGCCAAGCTTCCCTTTCGGCCCAGACTCGCCCTTCTTTCCAAGCTCACTCTGCTTCTCGATCTTGTCCTCCTCCCCAAGCTCGGAAAGGCTATTCTCCCCTGCAACCTTGCCCAACCCCTCCTCCTCAGTCGTGCCTTCCCCACCCTGACCAACATAGTCCAACCAACCCTCCTTAGTCATCTCGGTAGCTTTTCCCTCCTTTTGAGCCCTACTCCCAACCATCCCCTTCGCCTCCACGGTCTTTCCACGGACGTGGGTGAACGCATTGAACATCTTGACCACTCCCTTCTCCGCCGTCTTCCTCAACCCCTTCTCGCGCTGCTGATACGCAAAGACGGTCCCATAATCCTCGGGATCTTCGATATCAGCAATGGATCCAACCATGTCCCCTGCCCCTTCACCATGGATCTCCTTTAACAGCTTCTCTTGATGCTTCCTCCTAATCTCGGTCTTAGCTTTCCTCCCCAGTTTCAGATCAAGGAGCGCCTCGTCCGCTTCTTTGGCATCCGCACTACGCGCGAGGATAGGGTTTGCACGTTGTGTTGTGGTGAGTTTGTTACCTAGGATTGCGGACATGGAAGATGCGAAGGCGCTGGCGTCGTCGGCTTTGAAGGTCTCCTTCTTTTTGTTGTCTGGATGGGACTCGCCGTCCGAGCCGAATGAGCCGAATCCGGCGTCGGAAGCCATTGATTTCTCAGAGCTGGTGATCGATTCGGCCTCGGCTTCGAATCGGGCTGCTCGAAGTACTTCGCCTTCGGATTCGGAGGGAGATAATTCGTCGTCTGAGCGTGGGTAATTTTCTACGTCCGAGGCAAACTCGTCTATCGCGGGGCTCGAGGAACCGGCTTCGTCTTCATAATGTTCTTCTTCTGAGTACTCCTTGTTCTCTTCGTCCCCTTCTTCTGATCCGTCTTCTCCACCTGAGACTTCCTCCGAGGTTGAGGTTGAGGCAGCATCTGCGCCTGCGTCGGTAGGGTCTGCGATAGAGATATCAACGTCGTCGAGCGAAGAAGGTTCAGAACTGGAGACCTTCTCCTTCTGTGCGATCATTTTGCTTGATCCTGCCTTCGTAGGTTCCACAGCGGGAGCTTGGTCTGCGGAATGACTTGAGGCCTTCCCGGAGGCTTTTTGTTGCTTGCTGACAGTCTTAGTAGGTGGGGCCTTGGATGTGTTGGTAGGCTTGGCCTTGGCCATCTTGATGTTCGCGGCGAGAGCTTCGTCGGCGGAGGAATCTGAGATTTTACTGGTAAGTTGTCGATGCTTGGCGGCCTCCTTGACGGAATCTGCTTTGGAAGTGTTGATGGGCTTGACTTTGAAGGTTTTCAGAGCGAGGGCAGGAGCTTCATCAGCGGATGAATCCGTAGTATTGCCGTGGATTTTGGACTTGGCGCGGTGAGCTTCTAAAGTGTTGCGAAGCTTGGCCTTGGCCTTCTCAAGGCTCAATGATGTAGCTTCATCAGCAGGAAAATCAAGAGTCTCGGCAATAACTGGTTGCTCGCGATGTGTGTTAGATTTGGGTTTGGTAGGTTCGGAATTCACAGTGACCTTGCGGTTTCTGAGATTCTTGCCAGAAATTTCGTTAGCAGAGACTTCTGGAATATCGCTGCCCATATTCTGCTTGCGATTATTGTTGTTGGTGAGGTTGGCGGTATTAGCCACCTTGCCGGTCTCGTGGTTTCTGAGCTGCATAGTGGCTTGATAGTCGGTAGATAATAACGGTGCGTGATGGGAATGGTGTCGTTTGTGCGATTTATTGAAAATCTTAGCACTGTGAGTATCTTCGGCAAGCTTGCGCTTCTTCGCGTTTATAAACGCCATTGTGTGCTGAAGTGAATATTGAAGGACGTTGAAGTCGTAAACACAATATATATTTAGAGATTTTGACGGCCGGGCGGGGCAGTTTTACGCGATTCTTTTCGGCTAAACCCCCCCTCCTTTCTCCCACTCAGACGTCACACTTGTCACCCAAGATAGATTTCTATCATAATGACCTAGAAGATATCCGAGTATAAACGTCTACTGATGTATTTGTCGGTATTGCTGCAGGATGGTTCTTCAAGATTTAGGTCGGCGTATTAACGCCGCTGTCTCGGATCTCACAAGATCCCAGAACCTTGACGAGAAGGTCTCTACAGTGCTAGACTACACGCGATTGGAATAGATAGCTGACCTGTTCGACAGGCTTTCGATGGCATGATAAAAGAGATATGTGCCGCACTCCTCGAAGCAGATGTCAACGTCAAGCTTGTGGGCACCCTCCGCAAATCCATAAAAGCCACAGTCAACTTTAAAGACCTACCACCAGCTGTCAACAAGAAGCGCCTGATACAAAAAGCCGTCTTCGATGAGCTTGTAAAACTTGTCGATCCTCATGCCGAACCGTTCAAGCCCAAGAAAGGCAAGGCCAACGTCATTATGTTCGTTGGCCTCCAAGGCTCAGGCAAAACAACTACCTGTACCAAGCTCGCTCGTCACTACCAAACGAGAGGCTTCAAATCGTGTCTTGTGTGCGCCGATACCTTCCGTGCTGGAGCCTTCGATCAGCTGAAACAAAATGCTACCAAAGCCAAGATCCCATACTTTGGTTCCCTCACATCTACAGATCCAGCACAGGTCGCCTCCGAAGGCGTGGCTAAGTTCAAGAAAGAGCGGTTTGAAATTATCATCGTTGATACCTCCGGGCGGCATAGGCAAGAGAAAGACCTTTTCGACGAGATGACTCAGATTCAACGTGCTATAACCCCAGACCAAACTATCATGGTGCTCGATGCCACTATAGGCCAGCAGGCTGAAGCACAGTCCAAAGCATTCAAAGAAACAGCCGACTACGGTGCAATTATAATCACGAAGACCGATGGCCATGCCTCAGGCGGTGGTGCCATCTCAGCAGTTGCAGCAACTCACACCCCTATCGTCTTCATAGGCACAGGCGAGCACATGCTCGATCTTGAACGCTTCTCCCCACAGCCTTTTGTAAGCAAGCTACTTGGTATGGGGGATATGCAAGGGCTTGTCGAGCACGTACAAGCTCTCAAACTTGACCAGAAAGACACCATGAAGCATTTAGCAGAAGGTGTCTTCACAATCCGTGACCTGCGGGATCAGCTTCAGAATATCATGAAGATGGGCCCCTTATCTAAAATGGCAGGCATGATTCCCGGTCTAGGCCAGATGATGGGCGGTATGGATGACGAAGAGGGATCCATGAAAATGAAGCGAATGATCTACGTCTGCGATTCCATGAACAACAAAGAGCTTGATAGCGATGGCAAACTATTTGTCGAGCAGCCAGCACGCATGACTCGAGTGGCCAGAGGAAGCGGCACCAGTGTCAGAGAGGTCGAAGAATTGCTCAGCCAGCAGAAAGTCATGGCAGGTATGGCGAAGAAAATGGGCGGCATGTCCAAGAACATGCAAAAAGCACAGGGCCAGATGGGTGGCGGGAATCGACAACAGCAGATGGCAGCCATGCAAAAACGAATGCAGAGTCTCGGCCAAGGCGGCATGGGCGGTGGAGGAGGGGGGATGCCAGACATGGGCTCACTGATGAAGATGATGGGTGGAATGGGCGGGGCAGGCGGCGGAGGCATGCCTGACATGGCCAGTATGATGAAGATGATGGGTGGGATGGGTGGAATGGGTGGCGGTGGTGCTCCTGCTGGTAGAGGGAGGAGGGGATGAACAGCTCGTTTGACTCGGTATTTTACTCCGCGTAGCACTGGCGTCAATTGCCGTGGGAAAGGATCGATTTCTCTAACAGAGGAATTAATCTCCTGGTGCAGCGTGGATATTGGAGGATCAACATTGACCTCGTCCGCGAGCGAGATGCTCGTGTTTCTGCATGCTAAATCTAGGGGCACTTGTTGCACTGGCGTGCGGGGCAGTGCCAAATGTCAACTGCTTTTCTCACCTGAAAAGCCTTCTGCCGGCCAGCCTTGCCGAACCACTCCCAGGCAGTCCAAGTCCTGTACTTACGCCTTGCAGCCCCGTACCTCCACCCTCTCCATCCCGCTTATGTCTCCTCAGAGCTTCACGGAAATGGTCTGGTAGCAACGGACCATGGTCACGCTGCTTCGGCTTCTGGGTCTCTTGGTGCTCATTTACTGCAGCCGCATATGAAAGCTGGCCAAGAGCATCCATTGGACTCGCGGCCTGGAAAATCTCGTTGTTTGGATGTTCGCTGCTGAAGTCGGTAGGGTCGATGGGCACTTTCGGTGGCGTTAGAGGCGGTGTCTCCAGACTCGCGTACTGCTCTTGAATTTCACGAGCACGTTCAATGAGGGTACCAATGAAGGTCTTTGTGTAGCCATTGATCGTTGTTATGACGTTTGGAGGGACGGATTGGGAGACGGTTTGGTTGGTAATCTATGCTGGACGTGAGAAAATGCAGGATGAAATCATTACCGCAGGTTGCAGGAGCAACATACCTTTCGGACCGTCTCCTTCTTCAGTCTGATTCGGCGTAAACACTCATAGCGTTTTTCTTGATCGTAGTTGAATGCGCCGATAAGGACCCTGCATGCCAATCGTCAGTTTTCTTCGGAAAGCATTGTGTCCTGTTGGCATGCTGCAGAAAGCCAGCTGCACTCACGCAAGCTTCTTTTTTTCGGCCTCTCTATCCTCTTCCTGCACACCATCGATGATATCATCTCCTCCTTCATCGTCATCCTCGTCATCATCATCGGGCACCTCACCTGTGGCCTCCCTTCCATCCACGGTTTTCTCTTTCGCGCCACTCTTCACACTAACCGCTGCTTTCTTTCCCTTGCCCTTGGACTTTCTTCTCCTTCCACCAGTCATAGCAATGCTTCCCTTTCCAGTCATATTCGTGATCTCGCTATCCACGCTGGGACTGCGCTCGCCAGTAAGGATGGCGGACTCTTCAGGAGGAAATGAAGTTTGCCGTAGCGGGTGAGCTGAGGATGCAGCGGAGTGTATAGAGCTTCGCTTTTGGCGTTTCAGTGAAGGTGCATAGGGTGGTACATTCACTGACGGACGTTTCTTGGGGTTTGGGAGAGACGTGTGAGGGGGGTATGGCGGAGATGTTGCGGGAGAGCGGTAAGGTGGTGAGGCCATGGCGCCGACTTTGGAGTTCGATCACTGCACACTTCTGCTCAGAAGGGTGGAGCATGCACTCAATGTGTCGAACCGTAGCCTGTGTATCTACTCAGTCGTGGTAGTCTGTTCGAGAAGCAGTTGCAACTTGCAGAGTAAACGCGCGCTAAGCGCGGTCATATCGCATCCATGCTTAGACCTCCAAGCTTCACACACACACACCACTCGTGCACTACTATGTCCAAAAGATTTTATGTAGGAACGCTATGAAGACTCCTGTCTTGACTGAAGGCCTAGCTGACCAATGACTTCCAGTTCGGCGGCGATGATTCTTCTGCCTCTTCAGACGACAACCTCCCATACCCAAAACCCCTTACTCGCGCGTCTTTTCTGACTCCTAGTTTTGACCCTGCAACCTTTTTGTCTACCCTTCACAATCGACACCAAACACTCGAAGATTTGCGCGCTGAGCTCCGGACTCGAAGCCAGGACCTCAACAAAGAACTACTCGATCTCGTCAATGAGAATTACCAGGATTTCTTAAGTTTAGGGAGCAGCTTGAAAGGTGGCGACGAGAAGGTCGAAGAGGTGCGGCTCGGATTGTTGGGATTTAGAAGGGAGGTCGAAGGCCTCAGGGGCAAGGTAGATGGAAGAAGGCAAGAGGTAGAGGAGCTGGTGCACGAGAGGAAGAGGATCAGGGAGAGTGTGCAAGTGGGAAGACGATTGTTGGAAATCGAAAGGAAAATTGGAGAGTTAGAGGGTCGGCTAATGCTCGCCTCAACCATTCCTCAGAAGGCAGCGGTCAATGAAGAGGAAGTAATCCCGAGCGAAAGCGAGGAAGAGAGTGATGAAGAGGAAAGCAACGGGATTAGCATCCCCCGATTACAAAGGCACATGGAGCAATACCTGTACATCAAGGGCTCGATGGAAAGAATCGGACCAGAACATCCGTTTCTCATAAAGCAGGAGGAGAGGGTGCTAAGGCTGAAGCAGACGGTGCTACTGGATCTGAATAGCGCGCTGAAGCAGGCTGTTGCAGGCGGCGAGAACATGAGAGGGGAATTGCTGAAGCTTCTGGGGATATACAAACAGATGGGCGAAGCAAGTGAGGCCATGCAAGTATTGAAAGAATCAAAACGGTAAAGTCGAACGCCGTTAGAACTCTGGGCACATGGTAGCATAGCGTTGGCGTGTGAGCTGCACCGATCGGAATACATCTCTGGAAACCATCCATTTCAGACCCACCGGCGGCATCTATCGTGCACTCTCGAGACCTGGTTACTGATATTGGCTTCAAGTCAGGATTCTTGAAATTTGCAAAACGCAGTCCCAGATATGAGCCCTTTACGAACTCAATTCGTAAGAGGTCCCTTGAACATTCAATCTAAACTTATAGTACAGCAAGATCGCATGTCGGCGGGCTTTCAGGACCCCTGAAATCTCCATTGAGAGTGAAACCCGGCGCATTGGTTGAGCTCAAGACCACTTCATGTATATCCTTCGAAATCCGATCACTCAGCACCGCCAGGTCCTTCTTGATCTCTCCCACGAATGCTCTAACGTTTCGCTGCATCTCATCTGGTGTGAATCCCAATTGTCCGACGGCACACCTTATCACTCCTAATTTCTCCCTGTACTCGCTTCCACCCACCAAACCATTTACTGTCCCCGCAATATCCTTCGTAATAGTTCCAGTCTTCGAGCTTGGCATCAGGCCCTTTGGTCCGAGTATCTTTCCCAAAGCCGCCTTGTTGAGCTTCTGAGCTGAGTCTATATGACATATACATCTGTCAAACTCGATGCGTCCTTCCTTTACGGCATCAAAGACCGTTTCCTCACCCACAAGTGTTGCGCCTGCCTTCCTTGCTTGGGAAGCAGCAGGGGAGTCAGGAGGGCAGATCACGCAGATGCGGAGGGAGGTATCGACGGCGTGGGGTAAGCGTAGGCGATTGCGGACAGCTGGCCCATTCTTTGTGGTGCGCAGTCTAACGGCAAGATCGTATTTAGCAGAGGTAGGATTCCGGCCTACTTCAAAGGCGCGGATGTAGCTGCAGGGAAAAAGGTTAGAGACCGGTACCAAGTCTGAGAGGGAATGAGAATTACCGCATCGCGTCACAGAGAGAAAACTGGAGTGCATCGCTAAGGCTCTGATTTTTAAACTCCGTGCGTTGCTTCTTTTTTTTCTTTGGTTGGTCTCGGGCTCTAGAGCCCCTTATGCTCAGACCGGAGGCGTAGCGCGATGGAATTGAGGGGGCGAAGCATCTCAATACCGGAGAACTAAACGACGAGCAGCGTATTGGAGAGTAGAGATAGGCTATGGGAGCTTTGGAAGCCATTGCCTCTCCTGATAATGTGAGCCAAGCAGAACTCGACCTGGGGACCATTGTTGCCAAGCCCGCGCATAACGCGCTTACTGCGTCTCTCCATTGGGCTTGTAAAGACGCTCCTCATTGTAACATCTCCACCTTCTCCTAGTAAACAACGAGGACCGGGGGTGCCCTTCGTCTACAGGAAATGGCAACATTGAACATTGCATCGAAGGCGAACCAAGCCACCACCTTCCCGGCTCTACTGGTTGCACAGTACGCGAAAGAAGCAGATCCTAACTCCTCGATCAATGTCAACTTCGAGGAAGTAGATACCCTCAAGGCAGGAGACAATGCTACTGTCGAGATTATCGTAGGAAGTGAGACATCTACGTATGGTTCCGAGAAAGTCATCGATGGCCTTATGGAGGCATATCCCTTTCTGCAAGGCAAACATGACACATTGGTGGGCTCATATTGACGTCGTGGGCCAATGTGCAAAGACTAATGCTGATTTAGGTCAAAGAATGGCTAGGAAGAACAGCGTCATTCGTCCCCACAGACTTTAAATCTATTGATGGTCCACTGCTTGAGCTAGATGCACATCTGACGCTTCGCTCTCACGTTGTGGGATACACTCTCACAGTCGCAGATCTCTCTGTTTGGGCAGCTATCCGAGGCAACAAAGTTGCTCATGCAGCCGTAAAAAAAGGCGCCTTGTTGAACGTAACTAGATGGTTCAAGTTCATTGAGGAGACCAACGCTTGGATTGTAACGGCCGTCCATTCAGCGAATGCACAGGCTCAGGCGAAGAAGGCGACAAAGAGCAGTGAAGGAGCGAGCTATGACATTGCCTTGCCGGACACAGAGAAGGGCGTTGTCACTCGGTTTCCCCCCGAGCCATCGTAAGCTCCACTCTCACGTATCATGCTGCATTCATGCTGATGTTGCGAAGTGGTTATCTCCATATCGGGCACGCAAAAGCTGCACTGCTCAATGATTACTTCGCACATGAGATGTATAAGGGAACACTGATTTGCCGTTTTGACGATACGAACCCGTCCAAAGAAAAAGAGGAGTTTCAAGATGCGATTGTCGAAGACCTGGCCCTGATGGGAATACGTCCAGACAAGACAACTTACACAAGTGACTACTTTGACGAGCTTTACCAATACTGCGTCACTTTGCTCAAAGAGGGCAAGGCATACGCGGATGACACTGAGCAGGAGACAATGAAGCATCAGAGATGGCATGGACTGCCTAGTGAGCGGCGAGAAGCTTCCGTTGAAGATAACCTTGCCCACTTCGAGGAGATGAAAAAGGGCACAGAAGAGGGCGTCAGATGGTGCATTAGAGCCAAGATCAGCGTGGACAACCCCAACAAGGCTATGCGCGATCCCGTTATTTACCGTTGCAACCCTCTGCCTCATCATCGGACTGGCAACAAGTGGAAAATCTACCCTATCTACGATTTCTGCTGTCCGATCGTCGACTCGATGGAGGGAGTCACACATGCCCTCAGAACGATCGAGTACCGTGATCGGAACCCTCAGTACGACTGGATGCTCGATGCGTTGAAGTTAAGAAAGGTACGTACATCTGGGGTCATTCCCTCTTGAGTCGTGGCGCCCTCTGGGTCGCAACACATGTCTCGAGGAATCCTCTTCGTGCCGCCCCAACTGGATTTCTGGCTTTTTCTTTCTTTAGAAAAGAGACAGCTGACTCCGAGTACGTGCTCAGGTTTACATTTGGGACTTCGCACGCATGAATTTTATCCGAACTTTTCTCTCTAAAAGAAAGCTGACCAAGCTTGTGGATGAGGGAAGGGTCTGGGGTTGGGATGATCCACGCTTCCCGACCATTCGGGGCATCCGTAGGAGAGGTATGACTATAGAGGCGCTGCGCGAGTTCATCCTCAAACAGGGGCCATCCCGAAATATTGTGAACCTGGATTGGACGCTTTTCTGGGCGACGAACAAGAAGTATATCGACCCAGTAGCGCCGCGCCACACAGCCATCGATAAGGACCATGCTGTCACAGCAAATGTGAGAGGTGCGAGGGTGGCACCATACACAGAAGACAAGCCTAAGCACGGGAAAAATCCTGCGCTTGGGACGAAGAAGGTCGCGTTCAGCACTACCATCATCATCGAGCAGTCAGATGCCAAGTCTTTGAAAGAAGATGAAGAGATTACCCTCATGAGCTGGGGCAATGCGATTGTCCGCAAGATCTCTCATTCCCTAAATCCGCTCACCCTCTCCACCGTCACTGGTCTAGAGCTCGAGCTTCACCTCCAAGGCGACTTCAAAGCAACAAAGCAAAAGATTACGTGGCTCTCTACCCAAGGCCAAGAGCTTATCCCCGTCGAGCTAGTCGATTTTGACTACCTGATTAACAAGGATATCATCGAGAAAGACGATGAAATTGATGAGTGTCTCAATGACCACACCGAATTTAGGACTGAAGCATTGGCTGATGGGAACGTGGCTGACCTGAGCGAGAACGATATTATCCAGTTCGAGAGGAAAGGATACTTTAGGGTGGATCGACCTTTCATGCATGGCGAGCCAGCTGTGTTGTTCAATATACCTACAGGCAAAGCTACTAAATAAAGGCTAGATACGTTTGTAGGTCTGTAACAGCTAACTATCGCTTTCTTATGAAGCTTCTCACCCCCCAGCATCGCTATTGAGGAGGTCGCTAAGCCTGATTACCAAGCTAAAGATGTCGTTCCTCCGCTTGGCCTCAATTTTCGGTGATGTTTTCGATGGCCCTGTGAATACTCGGCATTCCTTATTGCACGAGCAACTCTCAAAGTCTAGCTGAGTAAGGCTCATGATGCCAGATTTTCGACACCGATGTCCGCAGACCAACCAAAAAGGAATGTATTTCTAAGGCTTCATCTCGGTATTATGTGGAACCTTACAGACTTGCTTGAGCCAGACTGTAGTGACCTGTAGGCCACGAACCTTCAAAATATACAATGATGATAGCCATGCAAACCCTCAGTCATTAGACTTTGAATGGTACTTGGGGAAAAGTCTGACAATTCGACAAGGGCCAGGGGACTTCCATCAATCTCGCTTATGGAAATTGAAAAGAGAAAAGAAGCCACTGAGGAATTGGAAGAGGCCTTGCACCGCAAGATGGCCTAGTATCGACAAGCAGTGCTTCCCTGCGGGATGCTACCGTTCCAGACAAGCCACGTTTCATGCCAAGTCGCTCTGCTCGGCTGCAGCAAGGGACCGAGTCTGGTCATCGGGGAGCTCCCTAGCCAGAGAACCTAAGGCCAAGCACCAAAGGGCGGGGGGGGAGTGCTTTGAGGCAAGCGGTCACTTACACATCGTCGAATCATTGGCAACTGACAAAGCCTTTGAAGCGATTCGAGTGAAGAAGCGCCCATAGTGGTTTGGCATCTAAGCATCTGCATGCTCGCTCACAGTATGCATTCTTCCGTCACAGCAACTTCTCGGGCTGGGGATCGTAGCCGATCAAATCTAGAGGATCGAGAGGATGGATGACTTGAATTGGAGAAGACCGTGCGGGGGGGAAGCATCACAGACGGGAAGGCTTTTGGGGGGTGGGAGTTTGGGGTTGTTGAATAAGATCGATGAAACCGTGCGCCAGCGAATTCAAAGCTTGCGGATCTTTTCCCGTTGTGTTATGATGCGAGTGCTGCCCAGCGAGGACAATGATTTTGTTGGATTTCGATGTTGGACCTGTACTGACGGTGATCGGATAGATAGTCTTGAGCAATGCAGTTGGAATTTGCTGCAGCACCATAAAGTGTTGTAGCTACCCCTCATGGTGGCAATGATCATATGGCCATACCATGGTGTGTCAAGGACTAGTGTGGTTTTGCCACAGGCTTCTCATGGTATAAGTAGCCCACATATTCTTCCATAATCAATCAATCCTTCATACATTTCCAACAAATGCAGCCATTACGGAAATGAACGTGCGGTTGAATAGGGAGTCGCTCCGGACTGAGAAAAAACCTGCTATGAGAGCTCTGCAGAGGGAGTGCAGAAAATTCCTGGTACTAGATGTATGAGAACAGAGATTTCTCCTGATACTATTTCTGTCTACCACGGCCCCCAATCGCAGGCTGGGAGAGTAGGCAAGTCTGTTTCAAACCCGATATAGACTCTGACGTCCTGTTTAATACCATGGATTCGACTTATGTCTAACTTGCTGCGCTTCGTCTTTTGTTGCTGTGCTCCAATCACTATGAGACCGAGGTTTCCTTTGTCGCTTGGACAACCAATTCATCTTTTGGAAGGCAATACTTGAACTGCTAAAGTTGCGAGTCACGAAATGGGTACAAAAGGTTACGGCAGTATTGCATGCCAAGTATGAAGGTTCAAAGACATCCAGATTGTTCGAACGTTGTCAGACGGGCGTACCCTGGCTCAAGACTGTATTAGCCAATTTGTGCGGTTCCCTGACTCAGTACATTCCAAGTCACTTGCGTGTGACTATTGAATTTGGCCTCTCAAATTTTTGTGAGTTCGAAAGTTCAGGCCTCAAGCTAATGCTCCTTTTCCTGGTCACGTTCCCCGGGGTCGTTGTGGGCACAATAGAGGAAAGGTGCCAATCTGCTTGTGAAGCATATGATGTCCCGGGCGCGGTACTGCTTCTCAGTAGCAGATGTAGTATGGCATCCCAAGATAGAAGCTGGTTCTCTATCCGATGTGAGTAAGCTGACATTCTAAAGATGAACTGGATTATCCTCATCCCGTGGGAATACGCTCTTTGAAGGCTCCCTCTGACCGTCCACCGCGGTCGCCGAATACAATTATACGTATCGCCAGCTGCACCAAAGTAGTAACAAGTATTGCAGGGATGCAGTGTGTTGAGCGAGGCTTGCTAGATTTAGAGGCGGATGTCGTAACGTTGTTGCGCGAGCTCAAGACCTACAAGTCCTGGCCGGTATCGACACAGAAGGGAAGCCAATCCTGAAAAAGGCTGCGGCGCCAATTGCTCGGAGGTTCGGGCCAACAGAATTCGCTTTGATTGCGTGGCCACTGGTCATGTCTTGAAGACGACTCCTGTTGCGCTCCTTGGACTTTTGTTATGACTCCATGTCGCCATTGCCATTGCTAGTAACGTGGCGGGCATCCCGCTGCGAAGAGTGCCGCCAGGGAGGTAAGAAAACCGAAGACCGCTTCTTGTACCCGCTGGTGGACAAGCTGAATTCATCTTGGACGTATGCGACCTTTCACTGGAATGGGAGGGGGAGATGGTCGAGTGCGTGAATGGTGTTATTTCAGAGGACGAATACATGCGAAGAATCCATCTGGGAAACCCTGCGCATCAAACATATTACCTTCTCCCTACAGGAGCGACCAGACACGATAACCGCTCGCGTAGACATAGACACCAATGTTGGGAACTCAAGGATAGTGCAAATGACTTCAGGCGTCGTTGTTGAATGAGCAACTTGAAGAGGCGATACGCTTCGGTGATTTGGTGGGCTCCATCTTGCATCTGTCTTGGTGGGCCTCGTTCTGCCTCCGCTTCGATAGGCTCCGTTCTGCCTTCATTTTGTCTTCGTCTTGAAAGCCTTCGTCTTGCCTCCGCTTTGGCGCCGCCTTAATGCCGACTCAGTATAGAACCGCCTTAACGTGGACTTAATGTAAGTTCCCTATATTTAGCTGCCGTCTTCTATACTTAAAGACTAGTCGGTAATAAAAATTTCTATAGTATACTATCTTGTATAAGACGAACTATTACCAAAATGGAGATCTGTCAAGCCCCTCTTAAACCGGAGCTTGGAGCTCTCATTAAAATATAGACTTCCTAAGCTCACATCAAGACGAAGCTTTGATGGTGAGCTTCGTTTTCGTGGTAACCTCACTAGTTCGGAGCTTCTCTCACCAAAACAGAGCTTTAGTGGAGAGCTTCGTACTGCTGATAACTTCATCAAAACGAAGCTCTCACCATGATAGAGGTTTGCCAAGCCCCCGTTTAGACGAAGCGTTAATAATACTGTAAGGTAAGCTTCGTATCCTTAGTAACCTCACCAACACGAAGCTCCTCCCATCAAAACGGAGGTTTACCAAAAGCCCCCGTACCCAATCGGAGCTCCTCCCACCACAACGGAACTCTTACTCCCAAAGGGTTTTAAATCGAGCTCAAGCCTTCCTAGCACCGCACTGGACTCATCCCTCATATCCCTCCATACTTGTATCTCACCCTCTCCTGGAGCAAGAGAACGGCGCATATACGCGCCTGTCTCGAACCACTCCCGGCTTGGAGGTCCAGCGCTCGGATATAAATTTGTCCGCACGCAGAAAGACACTATCGACTACCGCGGACTTTCAATTTTGGTCTTAATTCTGGTCTGAAGACTTGTCGTATCATTGCTGGGACTTATCGGGTACGCTCACGTCGAACCAAAGCATCATTCGAGACTAGTGTTGTACTATCTTGAGGCATGTAGGTCCCTTAGATCGTGACTCTGTCAGGCACTGGTTCTCTATCGCACCGGAAGCTCCGGTAGGATTCAGCCGCACGCTTTCCGTGAGGACACTTTGCAGACCAGGCAGCTTTCGAGGGGCCTGGATATCTGTCGTTGACGATGCTTTAACTATCTCTTTGCAACTTCACTTTCTTCTTGCGGAGTGCTATGTGGTCTTAAAATAGCGGTAGTAACCATCGAGAGAGAGCATTACTATTCTCTTGCGTGGAGTTGGCGCGGAAATGTCATCTGTGCCAAGCCGAATTGCTCTTCAGCCTACCTTTCGCGTACCGAATGGCCTCGAAATCTCCTGTCCCATTAGATAGCGATGGCTTTCCGGTTGTCACATCGCCGATTACAGGAAAGTACGTCTTACATCGTAGCGGGTCTGATACCGTACACCTCTTGAGGTACACACTCGCCGAAGAATCCTTCAACGAGCCTTTCGATACATTTCGACTGCGGTCCGCCCTGGTCATTGGTCTACATAAATAGCTCGACTCCTTCCAAGGTACAAGCTTTTCCGTCTGTGGAACGGTATCAGGGCGGGAGAACCATCTTTTTCTGCTTCTAGCAGCCGTCGGGGCTATACCGAGATAGTCCATCCCTGGTGTGGGGGCACCACGTTACGGGAGGTTCTTCTTCAGGGTGGTTCCGCCCTTGAAGATGCTAGAAAGCTGGCAAAGGAGACCCAGCTCGTCAAAAAGATCCTGGAAGCAAGACGGAGGAGTGAGATTCGAGCAGCCACGGAAACCAGTGAGCAACGCCAGGAGAGACTCAGGAGACATGCGCTTGTCCAGAATCCCCTAGCGGATGAACAACGAGGGGAGGATTCCGCGGTAGAGAAATAACGACTAGGGGAAAATGAAAGGGTTGGCAAGTGGCATGCAGCTGACCCCCGAACGGATGAACAACGGCAGAAGCAAAGCGAATACTATAGGAATAAGCCACGGGTTAAGCCAGTGACGGAAAAACAACGGCCGAGGAAACGCGAAACAGCTAGTGATAGAAAGAGGCGAGAAACTGCATCCTCGACCAAAGAACGAAAACGAAAGCAAAACGAATATATGAGGAAGCGATATGCAGCCAATCCAAAGACGGACGAGGAATATTATCGAAAGAGGCTAGCAGCTAAGCCCCGGACAAAGGAACAACGACGGGAAGACAGCGCCCGGGCAAAGAAGAAGCGAGCAGCCAAAATGCTGCTGCTCCATGACTCAATGGTTCCTGCCTTTCGAAGACATCACGATACGAACGCAATGTCACCGAGCATTGGCTCGTAGATACTTCTTCCGCGCAAGGTTCCAGACTTTAGACACAACCTACTCTAGATCACGATGAATTGGAAACGACACATTTCGAAGCAGCACACTTCGATCGGGGCAAACTATGAGGAATTCTGTTAGGCTTTAAGCAGGTCCTTTTCAGAGATGAACAAGGACACTCGGACCATGGCAGCGTTACCTCGTGTCAACTCTTTGAATTCTGGTAGGAGTATACGACAGGTAACATACTTTGCAATCTAGTCTGACTTTCTCGATAGTTGGGCATTCGAGTATCAAGCAAATCTTCGCTTTCCTGACCCTCATACAAGATCCCTATTGTCCTGTTTCTGCTGCTGCATGCCTTCCGCAAAATTGATCGAATCGGTCCTCACGCCAACTCTTGCGTTGGTAAGTGTGTTAAATAGCAGAGATTCAACTCGATGGTCATTGTTAGGAAAAAGCAGGCGCCGAGTATCTTTGTACCTCCGGACGCTCTCCAGGTAGACATCGAACAAGAAGGCGGTATCCATCGGTCCGCCTTTGGCTTCGGGATGGAATTGAGTGCTGAAGATGGGACGTGACTTGTGGATCATTCCTTCGTTTGACGAGTCGCTTTACTATGTGAGCTACTGGGATTCCACTATAATAGTAGGGACGTACTTCAGATTAACCCAGTACTCTTTGAAGTCGGGCGGTAGAGTATTCGCGTCGACCGCGTAACCTGAAATCTTATTATTCTACTGTGACGGTAATGTTTATAGTGAAAGTACCATGGTTTTGGGACGTGATATGCTGGGAAATGTTAGCATAATGTGACATTCCGAGTAACTGGTACTCACGCATCGCCCAGTTGTGAGATCCAAACAAGGAACTAGAACGGTCAGCAAAGCTTACGAAAGCGGCATCTGTCAAGTAGGGGCGCACTGTTGTGTGCTCTATTCCCATATCTAGGAGCGTTATCAGTCAAAGCTTCTTTGATTTCGAGGTCAGAGCTTACTTGAGCTTTGTCGTCTTTGCGCCTGCAGCCAATGCCAAAAGCTGATGGCCGAGACAAATGCCAAATACCGGGATCTGAGAAGAGCCCATGAGATTGCGGAGTGCTTCAACAGTGGGTACGCAATATGTAGGGTCACCCTTGATCATTAGCGCCAGAACAAGTTGGAAGAGGTGGAAGACGAACAGGCCCGTTGCTGATAAAGACACCCTAAAAAGGATGGTTAGTTTCAAAGGCTAGAGCAAATCAAAGTTTTTGCTCACATCGAAATGATGAGCCAGTCTATCGATCGGGAAATCCCAGGGAAACACCGTCACACTCGCACCGCGTTGTGATAGAGATCGAAGTATACCCTTGCAACGTCAGAACACAGCGAAGATTAAGCCGACATGAAATATACCTCTTTAACACCACAATCAATCAGAGCAATATGCAGATCACCGGCAGAAGCAATATGCTATTATGTAGTCAGTGACAGACACGGCAAGAGCAAAAATTTACTTGTCGTACAAAGGGAGCCTTTGTGCTAACTTGTTTCCTGCGAAGAATCAGCATCTTGGCGCTAGCTCACGCTTTCTCAAAACATACACGAGATTGACGTTTGCAGGATCTTGAAAGGCTTCGTCTTGATCGGCGTCGTAGGCCTCCCCAATGGAGATTTTTCCTAGTTCAGAACCGCGCTCACGCAGAAAGGTGACAATCGCACGTGTGTCCACACCAGTAATGGCTGCAACACCTTGTTGTGTGCACCAATCTCCAAGACTCTGTATAGCCGTCCAATGAGAATATTTCCTTGCTACGTCCGCAACCACGACCCCAGCCGGTTGTATGTATTCTGATTCGAAATGCTTCAGCAAATTGAACTCGTCTCGGGCTTCACGCGAAGGGACGCCGTAATTCCCAATCAAAGGTTGCGTAAAGACGAGGATTTGGCCACGATATGAGGGATCCGTCAGAGATTCATTATAGCCCACAATAGACGTCGTGAAAACCGCCTCTCCTGAAACATCGCGACAGGAGCCGAAGCTTTGCCCAGAGAATATTGGGCCGTCTCTGATCGTGAGAGTGGCCGGCTGCTGGTAGGCAGGAGCGGCCCTTGGTCTTATCATGGGCGACCGAGGAAATGCGGCATCCGCAACAGTTGCATGGCGGCGGGTCCCTCGTGTAAGAGCCAACTTGAGGTTGGGACTGGTTGGCCTAGCGGCCACGTGCTTGGAGAGAGCGGCAATCATGGTGATGATGCACGAAGAGTGTTTGAGATGGGCTATTGTATGAGATGGGCCTCAATTGGCTAATGCCTTCCACAAATGATCTAGAGCTGAGATTAGAGACAGCATCGGATGGAACTTGGAGGAAGAGGAGCAGGAGCAGACCAGAGATGTAGTCCTGAAACAATGGCACCACGAGTCAGTATGTACATTGAAGACTTGCGGGACTTGACAATGGTCAAGCCAGTAATGGAGCAAAGTCTGGCTTGAACGATACAATTGAGAGCTTACCTGAGAGGTGAATGTGGTAACAGCGGTATGCATAGGTGCTAAAATGAAAACAACAAGCCCAAGGCAAAGTTGGGATGGGATTGTGGAAGGCGAATTTTGTGAAAACTTCGAGTGAGGCCCCGCCATTTAGCGGCGATTTACCTTAGTCATCATCTGCCAAGACGAGGGTAAGCGTGCCAAGCGATCCTCTCGTGACGCCATTATCGAAGATTGTAAGGTCGGCAGGGGGGTTTTACTAAAATCATACCTGGAGATTCTTAGCAAAATTGTAGGCGGATGATAAGGTAAGGCTTAGGGTATAAGTAGCTATAGTGTAAAATAATATCGTATTTTACAGAGATCCTAGGAGTATTTTTAAAAATTAGAAGAATTTTCGCTTAGTCAGGAGATCTTCTCAGTCCTACCATTAATGACTAAGCCGTATTTTACACTTTGGCGTAATATTCCTTTATAGCCTACACCCCCGGTACCCTAGATATAGTTCGAATTGCAATGGTATTGATAAAGTTTCAACACTCCATGATCGCCCTTACCAACCTTGGCTTTCCCAGCTCCAGCACTCTCTCCGCAAACAAGTCTCCAATCTTGTCGCCCAACTCCTTCCTCATCTCTGCAGCATGCCCATTGGCGAACCCATTGACTGCCCCAACGCTCTCTTCCTCTAGCGACACGAGCGCTTCTAGTAATGCTCTGAAAACCATCTCTCCCTCGTTCCTTTTGCCCTCATCCATTGCATCAATAGCATCCTTCACGAGTTCTTCATACTCCTTTAGATTCGGTACAATTAGGGCACGGACAATCTCCGAACCTCCAATAGCCTGCAAACCAATAATGCCACCGTAATTGGCGCCTAGTGGCTTAGTAGGATCAAGGAAATGTTTCAGACAAGTTCGGGCGAGGCGGGGCTTCAGCATGTGGGATGACTTGCTGTACTTTTTGGTTATTGATGACAGAACAGAAGCGGAGAGGCGGCGGAGGTCATAGGCGGCCAAAGGGTCAGGTGATGAGCCAAGATGTCGACCAACGAGACATGTCAAGACTGGGGGGATTATGGAGGCAATCTGAGGGGGAGGTCAGCCTGCGCCATTGGAATGAAACACCGTAAATATTCTCACATAGGGATCAACGTAAAGATTCGAATTCTCGAGCATAGCGGTCGTAAGTAGCATCATTTGGGTGAGTACGAAAAGATTTTTGAGGTTATGCGTGATTTTCTCTGCGATGAACTGCACGAAGTAAGGCACTAGCTGATGAAGACCAGGATCACTTCGGATACTGGCTAAAGCTGCAGTTCGGTACTCGCTATTTAATTCATCAAGGAGTGCACTACAAATCTTCTCAAAGTAAAGCTGAAGCTCTTTCGATAGGACGTGTTTGACCAGGGGCTTGACTGTGATATTTTCGTTGCCGCTCATAGCTGCCATGTGGGGATTTGCACTCTGCCCTTTAGGCACCAATTCCTGGTTTCTCGAATCTGCGGCTGTAGGGTTCTGGGGTATCGAAGGCTGTACCCCTTCGACAGCCAGCCAATGTGCTAAATGATGATTAGGATTTGGCCACAGACAAGTATAGACTAGGCCTACCAGTAAAGGTCATCTCTCGCGGTACTTTAGGTAAAGGTGCATTAATGAGCTTCTCGAAGTCCACTTCTTCGTCTTCGACATAGAACAATGGCTGTCCAGGCCCAATGGACGCTTCGCCAAACCGAAGTGACCGCGTTGACTCATAGCCGTACAGAGGCTCGACATCCAGTACGCGCAGAGCCTGCGCTACATCTTGCGTGGTGAGGGTTGATCGCTTGCTGTGCCGCATGAACTTGAGGGCTTCCTCTAAGACTTGTGATATTCGATATTCGATATCCGAACAGAGTCCTTGGAGAACATCATCGCTGAGTGAGGTGATGCCAACAGACTCTGCAACGTCCTTGATGTTTTCAGGGTTCCAAACGGACATGGCCGGAGAAGATTCGGGTCCTTTGAGTCTCAATAGAGGCCTGATCAAATTGGATGCTCGCAAACCAGATTTTCTGCGACTGAACTACTTAGACTCGGTGCGCGAGTAGGCCCCAAACACTTCAAGAATGGGTGAAGGACATGTTAGAAGAGAAAAGAGGATTGGCCGTGAACTCAGGAAGACCAACAAGCATTCACTTCAACCTTTGTAGTTTTCGGGTCCAAGCTTGTTCATAAGGATGACAGAATTACAGATGGTGAAGTGTTGATTGACATGTCGAAGCAGAGACATCGGAGTTCGCCTGCCGCATACTATGTTAGCCGCGCTAAGCGCGCTTTCCGCCATCCTCAACTTCCTTGCTCATCAGTCCTGCCTTTGTTTCGAGTTTCTGGCTACATTGCGATAGACGCGCTCGATCATCGAGGAAGGTAGCTTTCGCTTGAGCATTGATCTTTGACTACAAAGTAAGTTATGGAAACTCTGCCAGTAGAGCTCAAACAGCGTATTTGTGGTCTCCTCGGACATGAAGACTTGAAGTCCATCCGTGTTGTCAATAAAACTTGGGCTTATGTTGCCGCATCATATTTATTTGAGGAAATAATCATCACGCCACTGTCTTTGGAGCGAATTCGGTTGATCGCGCAGCATGAACTTATTGCAACATGTGTAAAATCTGTCACTTTCTATGCGGACCTTTTACCTTCGATCCTACCAGAGACGTGGCATGAAAGATTGATTTCGGAGACACAAATGCGGACCATGGAAGAGGTGTCTTTCCGATATCAAAGATATGTTCTTGCCTACTGCGAGCAACAACGCCTATGCAAGAACAATCACAAGCTGAATAGAGAGATCATCGACTTGTCGATTCCGATGCTCAGAAGACTTCAACGGCTAAAGGTTACCACCGGGGGAGATTCACTTCACCGTCATCAGGTTGACAATAGTAGCCGTCCAAATCAGCAATGGTCTAAAGTTTGGTTCGATCTGAGACGCCATGCCCTGGACGAGCAGGTATCATCACGGCGGGAGACCGAGATTGCGAGGCAATTCACTCATCTACTCAACGCTCTCGCAAGTTCGGAAGTCTACATTCGGAAGCTCAGCCTAACAACATTTAGCACCAATGTTTGGCAAGGAGGAATACAACTTAGTCCAGAGCCGTACTGCGCAGGGCTCAGACGTTTAAACACCATTCTCTTGGATACCCCGTTTTCTTCAGACACTTGCATAGCACTGTTGATGGATAGTGCGAGGTCAAAGCCCTCGTTATGCTCCTCGAGGGAGCGCAAAGTCTGGAGACACTGAAGCTGCACGGGAATGCGATACATCCCCAAAATGACTTCCTACAATGCTTTCGTCCTTCACTGCCGAAGCTATCCCGGCTCAGCTTATTCGGGATCACCGCTACGGAAAAACATCTGATCGACACTCTGCTGGCCTATCGTGCCACTCTCGCGAGACTCGACCTAGTTATGGTCTTGCTGGATGATAGCAAGACTGGGCAATCGATGGGCTCATGGCATCAATTTCTCCGTAGGGTGCCCGAGAGTCTTCCTCACCTACGTGACATTCGTCTGAGATCTCTATATCATCGTGTGCTAGGGCCTCGAGCGCGAGGGTCTCAAGGCGGATTAGAACCGCTATATCTCAAAGCTGTCGAGCATGCTATCAATAACGGCACTAATACTCCTCAACCGATGCGGCATAGTACTGCTACATCCTGAAGTACAACCGCTAAGCGCTTGCACGTATCTACAGCGCGAAGATTGGACAGCGGAAGATCGAGAGAGGTTGTTCGACTGCAGACCCTTGCAAAGTTGAGAGCAGCGTAGGAAGGAAATGGCTATCATGAGTAAGATTGCATGCTTCGTACTTGATACTCGACCGATCTAAGGAAGGGGATCATTGGTCACCAACAAAATATGTAGTGTTGGTACTTACAGAAACTTGAAAGCTCGAATCTGAGGAAGCGAGAAGCTGAAACCTTGATCTGGACATCCACTACGTATGTACTGTACAGCAATCACTGAAAGCATGTACCCATGATTGTAAACGCTTATTGTATTATTAATTCCGAAGCCCCAATGGCATCATACCAACGACATGCAAATGCAGAAGTCATCGCAAAGATTGAGGCGATATTCGAGAACATTGCAGATAGCCTCCTCAACGAAGAAAATCCATACGTTCCCGTGAACGATATCTTCATTCCCTTGAGAAATAAGAAGCATACACCACTGAATGGTAATGCGCCTAGTCTATTTGACGCCGAGCCCTCAAACGGCTTCACAAATGTTTCTTTCCCAGCAAAAGGGCGGCCGAAAGAAGCTTGGAGATTCAGTACGAGTCATCACTGATAGGCGAATTACAATGGCGCTGATCGTAGTTTAGCGGTACTTATTCGCATCCTGGACCTCATGCATGAGGCTCTCTGTGACAATGTCATCGTCTCTAAGAGGTGCGTTCCCCCCATTCTAAGCCCTTCAATCTGGATCACAATTGGATCAGGATCTCCCTGACGTTTCATTGTAGGAACATCTACTACAAAGATCCTGCGCTTTTCAAGACTCAATTAACCGTGGATTACTATGTGGACATTATTGCATACACCTTTGGCGTCTCAAGACTCGCTCTCAACGTTGTTAGTGGCCAATGTCAACCCTTAGGTCAACCCTTACTCGGAATATCTCTGATCTCCTGACAACCGTCTAGACTGCCGCTGCGAAAGGTCTTGTCGCCGGGAACTTCATCTTGAAGAGGCCGGATGGCACACAGGCTTATAGAAAGCCCGGCGTGGTATGCACGCTCCAGCGGATACGAAACAGTTACGGCGCTCACAGATCGTCCCAGCCACAACTTATCGACGATCCCCACGACGTCCAAGCGATCGACATTTCCGGTGTCGCCTGGATCCTGGTGATTGAGAAAGAAGTCTGTCTCTGGTCCAAGGGCGTGTTCAGCGCTGACGACCCCCAGTCCACATTTCGAACGCTGGCGTCAAGCAATCTCCAGCAGAGCTCACGCGCAGGAAATGGCATAATGCTCACCGTGAGCACCATATCCGAACTCTGTAAACCGTCCGCTAAAAGCACCAAATCCAGGCAAAAGGCTACCCCGACATTTCTACCCGATCCTTCCTGCGTCTCCTCTCAGGCTCTCATGATCTCGACAGCATCTCTCCGCCCATCTATGCTCTCACCGATTTCGATCCGGATGGCTTGGCCATCATGTCCACCTACAAACACGGCTCGTTCAAGCTCTCCCACGAAAGCGCTGGCCTGAATGTTCCAGGCATACAATGGCTGGGCGTAAAGAGCCAAGATGTTCTTGCTGGAAACGGACAGAATGAGTACAACGGTCTGCTGAGACTCAATGCAAGGAATAGGAAAAAGGCGGTAGACATGCTGGAGAGGAGTGAGATTCTTCAGGAGGGTAGCAAGGAAGAAGAGTGGAGACATGAGTTGCAGATCATGCTAATGCTGAACGTCAAAGCGGAAATGGAGGTCCTGGCTGAAGGGGAAGGAGGCGTTAAGGGGTGGGTCGAGAAGAAGCTGCTAGTGAATGGCACCAGCTTGCCTGCGGATGAAGACTTGCTTGAAACACATCAGTTGGCGGATATAACGCTTGGCGAAGACAGATTTCCCAGCCGGCAAGCGAATGAGGAGGACTTCTTGCTTGACACGCATGGGACGCCAGAGATGTCAGCTGTAGGAGAAGGTTCCCCAAGTTTGGAAGCGGATGAGGACTTGCTTGATACATATCAGATGGCGGACACCGCATTTGCTGACGAAGGTTCGCCCATCTCGCAACTGGATGAGGATTTGCTGGAAACACATCAAGTGGGAGATATGTCTCTCGCAGAAGAAGCTTCCCCCGGCTTAGAATGGGACGAGGAGCTTTGATCGGATCACGTCAGGTTTTTGAGAGAGATCGCCTAGCCTGCAAACAGATGAGGATGTCGTAATTGGGGTGGGTAGATGTGTCAGAGGCTGAGAAGGCTTCCAAGCTGGAGGGGAGGAGTCCGTAGCACCGTCTGCACTGTCAAGAATAGCTCATGAATCATAATCGCTCGTCAATGCACGGTCACACCAGCCAGTATTGACCCCCCAAACACCCACCTGTGCTATGCAATGCCCCAGCATCCAACGCCATCGCTCCCAGAAGTCCACGGCCCACTCCCACCCTTGCCTTCTCCGTCTAGCTCTTCCCCCCCCCCACCCATCCTGCCCATCAACCCCTTCACGCCCTCCCCCTCCTTCCCCACCTCACACCCTCACCTACATCCCCAAACTCCTCCTCACCCCCTCCCTCACCGTCTTCTCGAACTCACTCCTCCTCTCCCTCCACATCTTCGCCGCCTCGATATTCGCCGGACTCTCATCATTCGGCTCCGCCAGCATGCTCATCACACTGATCAATATCTTCTCCACACTCTGTATCGGACTCCACCTCTCGGAGGCCTTTTCGTAGTGGTGCGGGTCGTCGCCCGGGGCGTGCAGGATGGAGATGCAGACGAGGCCGGAGGGGTAAACTGTGCATGCAGGCAACACGTCAGCCGTTGTTCTCCAGTGCCCATATACGGTAACGATTTTGATTCCAAAAGGGCTTCTGAGAGCACGGTCCTGAGTTGTCTGAACGTGGTAGATGGTGCGGTGGCATGGAATCTGTACCGTTCGGGTGCCACACTTCCCCCAAGAACCGCATCGTGGGTGGATTCAGCGGATAATCCTTGGGGAACTTCAACTCGGCCGGGAAAATACCGCCTTCGAAGGGCGTGCCGTCAGGTCCTTGGATTAGTGCTTCCCAGAGGAAGATATCGTCTTCGGAGACAGGGCCGGCGGTGATGCCGTCCGGTGGGGAGGAGGTGAGGAGCTTGTATTCGTGGAAGAGGCGGCGGGATGCTATTGAGGATGCCATGCTGGTCGGGTTCAGGGTAGGAGGAAGGCGAGGGGAGGGGCCAGGGTGCGAAGGTGTAGGGGTAGTGTGGGAGTAGTTGGAAGATGTTTTAAGGTGGAAGTTGAATGGACGAGGAGAGCCTCAGCTTTTCCTTGGCCAATTTTACGGTTCTGAATCTACAGCAGTACGTTGAAATAACAGGAGGAGAGAAACCGAAATATTAATTATTCGTACATCGTCATACCGAAATCTTCCGAGTGCCTTTGTAAAGCAGGGTGGTATAACCGAGCTTCCCCAACGCCGTCGCTAAATGTAGCAAGATCTCACCCTTGGATGCTTCTCTTCAGAACCAGTCAAAGTCTCCCAAATCTCCGCCTCCATCACCACCATCTCCTCCGCCGTCTCCTCCACCTCCACCGCGACCGCCCCAAGGGTCATCATTGTTTCCCCAAACATCCTCATCCTGTCCGACTTGGCCCGGTTGTTGCTGTTGATCCTGGCCATACCCGGGTTGATTGGGATCCTGTTGGCCGGCTTGCGGGGAAGCATCACCCCCACCTCTACCCGTGCCTCTCTGCATAGCTTCATACCCGGCCATGGTACCAGCACCTGTTACAGCGCCCTCGGTCCAATCACCAGAATCTCCTTTGGCGATACCGCCTGCACCATCGCCGCTTCCTTCTATTGCACCTGCTTCCGCTTCGGCACCTTCTGCAGCAGCTCCACCACCACCCATGCCTGGGAACCAGAGAGGCATGAAGCCCATACCTCCAGGCCCGCTTTTCCGGCTGAAATAGTCAAAGTCGACACTCACAGCGGTTGCAAGCATGACGGCCCGCTGGTCGAGCGACATTCCAGAATCATTTGGGTTTTGGAACCCCACCGACTGCTGGCCAGTTTGTGAGATCAGGTGCGTCGGTTCCTGTGTTAATCCCACAGAGTCCATTCGTAAAGCGTAGACTCCCGTATCGGTAAAGATTTCACGGCCAAAGCCGGCGAAGTTGCGGTTCACGGAGCCGATGAGACCGCCCTCGTTTGAAAGGAGAGAGAAATCCCACGAGAGGAACCGCTCATCGACGTAGGCGAACTTATCCAATTTGCCTTTGTTGTTGTACGGTGTCAAGTCCAATTGCTGTGAGTTTGAGAGTGGCTGATTTGCTGGTGGATACTGAGGAGCGCCAGATGTGGCACCGGAGTCTTGGGTTTGGCGGTGAACGAACAGATTGTACTTTCGCCGAAGTGGCGCCCACTGTTGCTGCGCTTCTCCTATGATACGCATGTCTTCTAAAGCCAGCCGCGAGATCTGCGCTGTGTCGGGGTTGACCTCTGTAGTAAGAGAGCCCCGGTCAATGTTTGCTATCGTTGTTGAGGGTGACGGCGAGCTATTCGACTCTTCAACAGGATCGTAGATGCCAATTCGACTCGATATCCACGAAAACGGCCTGTGAAACTAGCACTTCGTTAGCTATCACATTCTTCTTCCCAGGTCTCGCTGACATACCCTCAAGACCTCCTTCCCGTGCCTGTCAAACACATGCGTTGTGAAACTCCTATGCGTTGTGAACATCTGCCTAGCCATCATGTTTCCCATACCCAGTTCTCTCTCCGCCATATAGCCAATGTGACCTCCCTTTGGATCCATAATGACATATTTATTGGCCTGCTCAAATCCAAGCATAACATTCATGAGCTCCAGCTGCCTCGTCACCACTATGGCCGAATTTGATAATATACTCGTAGCCGGATGCCTCTCGTTGAGTACGCCATCTGGGTCTTCGGATATGTGGACTGGAGAGAGGAGGTTGTTTGCTTGGGAGTCTTGATCTCGTAGCGCATTGGACACTGTGTCGACAGACGACTGCTTTGGTTTTTGAGCTTCCGGCGAGTTCTCTTGACTTTCATGAGCTTCCCGTTGTCGCTGCCCGCGTTCTTGCTGGGGAAGCCTTGAGCTCTGGGGCTGTCTTGGTGTTGGTTTTGGCGGACGTCGAACGTTGCCTCGAGGGCCAGGCGGTAACGCTCGATACCGGGACTTTGATGTCGCGAATCCAGCTCGTAGAAGCGAGCCAGATGATTGTAGCGTCCGTGGCTGTATATTAAAGGGTGGCATTGTACAGGTTGATAGCGGATGGAAGGAGTATTGGAGGTTATTTGTTCAGAAGAAAGCGAAAGGCTTGGCATCAACATTCCTGGCCCTCTATCGTCACTGACGACGAAGATTTACACAACCCAAGCCTGTTTCTTTCCATGCTCTCAGCATTCCTTTCATAAGCCGAAGACTTGAGTTCATGGAACCTTTTCCCTTCTGCTCTACACGCCTTGGAGTCTAACAATACCGCAATCCCGAGTGTGCACACACATCATGACAATGCTCGATCATCCTCAATAAGCCTCGTAGTCTCTTTGTAGCCCTGATATGAAACGCCTGAAATCGTGGAGAAATCGATCAACATGCGCGATTAACGACAGGCAATTTCCTCTCGACACCTCATAGAACACCGACAGAATGCCGATATATGGACTGCCTCTACATCATCCCACGACAGTCATACAAGCAGGCATTGGATGCTGAGGTTCCTACTGGAAGAAAAGAAAAGAAAGAACAGCATTTGAAGTGGGACATTTTATAGGTTTGATATCAAGGGCCGTGATTGGCCCGTTCTGCCGAGGCTCCCGCCCGCATTCCTTGGCGTCGTTCTCGTGAATAGCATCCTCCCCAAGCCCACCACAACCAGACTGTTGGAAAGGCAGACATCATGTTGGCTCAAAGAATCTCTCAGCATTCTGCCCGGCGGCGTAAGTCAATCAAGGCTCTTTGAGTGTATCATTGTAGGAAGCAGCCAATGGCTAACAAAGACCCAGTCCTTGCCAAGCAACCCACCCTCTCTAGATTCACGCCCTCAGTAGCGATTGCAGGAAGCAGATTGCGACCTCAAGTCCGGTACGTCCCAAGAAACGTCGTTCCCTTCTGTAACACTTGGACACTTTTTGCGCCCTTTCTCTATCGGCACACCACCTTCGATGCAGCTAACATATTGTTAAGGCACGCCGCTTTTCAACCCTCCGCCACAGAACCCCACGCACAAACACAGCCAGCAAAACCCTCCGATGCCTACGCCATCCTCGCCGCTCAACGCTTGAACCGCCCCATCTCCCCCCACTTGACAGTCTACCAACCCCAAATCACCTGGTATGCATCCGCCCTCAACCGCGTAACCGGCTGTGTCCTGTCCGGAGGTCTCTACATCTTCGGTGCTGCATACCTAGTCTCTCCGCTGCTGGGATGGCATCTTGAGTCGGCCGCAATGGCGGAATGGTTTGGCAGCTTCGGCGCTGTGACGAAGGGGGTGATGAAGTTTGGGATATCGTGGCCGTTTACGTTTCATTGTTGGAATGGGCTGAGGCATTTGCTTTGGGATACGGGGAGGGAACTTGGTAACAGGCAGGTGCAGGTTACGGGGTGGATTGCGGTGGCGTTATCGGTGGTAAGTAGCACTGTGTTGGCTTTTGTGGGTATGGGAGATGGCAAGAGCAAGGGAAAGGGAGTGGGTGAGGAGAGCTGGAAGGGCGAATTCAAGAACTGGAAGGGTTAAGCACGGCGGAGTTTGGGTTGGTTAGGAAGGTGGTCAATTCATGTACAGAGCTTTCACACAATCATGATTCTTTCCAGGGTTCACCATGTCATCGACATGGCTGAATATCGTGCAGTGACCGTGATTCATTTTCTGCCGCTTCTACCTGCCATTACTCATTATTGCCCAGCACAGTCGCCATCCTTCTCTATTTCAAAACATCTTTCAGACAATCTTTCTAGCCCACCCTCTCGGGAAGCCAAGGTATTTGTTTGGAAAGCCAAGCGAGGTTGGCCGGCCAGAAAACACTACGTCCTGCGGGATATAAGCAAGGGTTCCGGCCTCCACGAATAGCTTTCACCTACCAAGAACTTTGACCACTTTATCTCCTTTCCCCAAACCCGCTCACGTCCCTCCCACAAAATAAACTTCACCGTCATTACAAGACTCTTTGCTCTTGATCGTGAGCAATTGATGCACCGCTGGCTTTTCGGTGATTGTGACGGGATATCGGCAGATCTGGAGGGTCTTTGCGTAGGATCTGCCTTGGGCACCAGCAGTATCACTGGCTCGGTGTGTCGGCCACGTGATCCGCGCAGAGGTGCCATTTGCACTTGCCAGGAGGAGTGATCGAATAGTAGCAAGCTCGTTTCTCGCAATTAGCCGGGCTAGGTGGAGGTGGAGGTGGTGCAGGTGGTGCTTCAGGACGATCGTTCCACCAGGACATAGTGTATCAAATTAGAATGTGCAGTCGGAAATGAGAATCGCGAGGATTTGTTGAGCTTCGGGAAATCTGGCAGAGGAGAGGAAGATGTCGGTGATGCAAATGTGATGAGATGGTGGAATCGTTCCCAGGATAGGTGGATTATATACACCATGATGGCATTGCCGCCAGATAGACGAAAACGATGGACTGATGCCCAACCCCCATGGACGTGGACACTCTCCGGACTGGCGGCCGGCACGGGCCTTCAGCTCGGACATAGCTCTCTTTGAGGATGACAATGATGAAGTGTTCGTTACTGAATGGGACGATAGCATACGAAACTGTGGAAACGGTTGGGTGCGCACATATCGATGCCCAACATCGTATACGAAGCGACAGCGAACTGTGCTCTCTTATCAAGACATCACCAAAGAAATCTATTCTATACCATCCATACACCGCGAGGAAAGAGCCTCACATAGCATTGGTCCCAACCAAAACGACTTTTATCGAAATTTTCAGCCCAACAGAACAGTATGGAGCGACAGGACAATGCACAGCAAATCACGCACCAGCAGGAGAAGGTTACGTGCCCGTCGGGGAAATTGAGTCCGTCTTCTCGATACACTTCATCAATTGCTGCCGGCAACTCCTAGTCATCGTCCGACAGCTCGTATACAATCGGCTGCGTCAGCGTCCCTTAGGTAGATTCAGCACCTCACCGTCATTCTCTAGCTTCAGATGGATACCGCTTACCGTGCACTGACGATGAGAGCTTCTTGGAGGTCATCAGCGTCTTTGAGAATATAAACGAGGTTCTTGATTGGCCGTTTTGGGCCGAACGGGGAGGTGTAGAGGGGGGCGTTGGGCTAACAGACATTCGCTTTGGCGAATGGCCCGGTAAGCGCTCTTCCGGCGGTAGATTCGGCGTCGATGGGGGATTCGCGGGGAAACGGCGGCAAGTGGCGTTTTCATCGGATTCCGCTGCATGATTGGCTTTCAGAAGGTGCAGGGGGTGTTCATCTCTAGTGACGTTAGGAGATGACTCCGGCGGAGTGGCTGGTCGATCGTGGAGGGGAGTGTACGAGAATGTTTTGTTTGCCTTATTCATTTTGTGGTACGAAGCAGCAGGTAGCACTGTGGAGAGAACGGGTGGAGGACCGGGTTGATTATATACGGGAAATTCAATTGGTCTTGCCGAGTGGTATGATCTCAGAGGTCCCCAAAGATTGGCGATGAAGAGTCTCGGGGGACCTATTTCAGATCACAATATATGTGGTATAACCTGAGAGGTCCCCAGAAAAATCGCAGCAGCTTTACAGTGGCGACCAGTTGCAGATTGTGAGACATTCTGGCATGTCAATGCCCTGCAAGGGCCATGTGCTGGTCGTGCAGCGGTGCCAAGGCCGGTACCTGAAAATAAAGCTGTTGTTCCTGAACGGGAATCTTGGGCATCAGGGAGCATCAAGGCTGGGACTGCTTTCCAATGGGGGCTTGATCGGTACAACTCATATCTGATGGCAATCTTGATGCGTTGTATAGCTGTCTCGTTCCTTCGATGCTGAATAACTTTGCGCCCTCGGGTCTACGTTGTTTCGTGGACATGTTCGGATTTATGCACCTATGCGTGTTGCTGCCCAACGCGGATGGGGGCGGCATTTGGCTTTGCAGACATTTTTTCTGTGGCTGAAATTTGGGGGTTTCAGATGGCAAGGATCTGGATGATGGACTCACGTTCCTGATTTTGAGAGGTGTGGTCCGCTGCAGATAGTGTGGAGCATCTGGAAGTCACGTGACTTTCTCACGCCATGTTTTCATTGATTGATCTGGAACACCCCCAAAAGACAGCCAATCACTTGGCTCGATAAGCGATATCAAGAAACTCGTTGGGATCAGGTTTGAAATTCCATTGGAACCAACGCTGTCCTGGACGATGAAACGTGCAGCGAACCAGAGGGGGAACCACGACCAATTGGGATTTCGTTATCCAACTCTCGTCATTCGTCGAACAAGTACGACTTGAAACAACATCCTGACCAGGGATCCAGTCCCACCGAGCCTGAATATGTTGAATGGGAAGCGCTAGCAACAAGCCTGGTAGCATAAGCTGATCCCCGCGGGTATTCCTTTGTCGAACAAGAAGGGCACAAGATCATGGCCTGACGAAGAACCCGGTCCCAGCGAGTCTTCATTTTTGATCTGGTATGTTATGGGATGCCTTCATGATAGCAGAAGGTCTGCAGTCTGCACTAAAGAGAGTGAATGTCGTCAGCCGTGGTGGCGGCAAACATTTTACAAGCTAGCCATTTTAGGACCCCCAATCCCGAAGCTCGAACAAAATCAAGGGTTCAGACATCTACTCGTGCTGCCTTCAGCTCTCGTAACCGTATGCTTCGACATACCTGTTTTGTTGTCTCGATTAGGCTTGGCGGATATCAATAGGTGTGGGTGGAGCTCGATTCAAGTAAAGTCCCGGTTCTTCATGATTGGCTCGCTCAGGCCGTGCCTTCTCATTGGACGCCGTCCATGCATTCTATCAATCGTCTGTGGCCCCGTTTTGAACCTCTCATATTGGGAAATAGGCTAGAAGAATAATATCTGAATGGTACTCTCAATGGAAGAAATTCGCCGAATGTTGTGCATGACACGGGCAAAGATTGACTGTGAATGGCCAATCCGGGACTGCCACGCCCCGACCGCCTAAGCTAGGAATGACGTCTTCCGAGTTGCTATCCCCACGTCCCGAACGACTGCAAATATTCAAAAAGCACTCCCCACTTTTTCCTGGCTTCGACGACGCGTCTTCTGCTGCAGCCTTGCGAGACCAAAATTAGACCTAGCATTTTTCGAGCTTTGACCTGCAACATCGCTTAATTCCAACGAACTTGCTAAATCACGATGTGTGACTGGATGCGGATAACATACCGGTGCGGGCATACCCGTGAATACTACACATATGAGTGCAGCGTCTACCTGTCTGGGCGCAGAGGGTGTGCCATGACGCGCCATGAGTTAGTCAATGAATGAATCGTCCGGTATACTAGGGATCCGCACTGAACACATAAATAGCAGGACTGCATACGAGAATTGCAGTACGTGACCCAGCCTTAGGACTCTCATCTTGTGGCCTCACGTGATTGTCGAACGAATATTGACGGATGGAAATCCTTAGGTCCTTGCAGAGAAGAGGCAGCAAGGCGCAAGAGGGCTGCACAGATTAGGAGAGAGGTCGAATCCGACAGAGCAAGGGCTGGTAGATGATTACGGGAGTACACATCACCATAGATAAGGGAGCGGTTACCAGCCGAGCAGATGGACAATGCATGGCGGCGGCGGACAGTCAAGTCATGTAACCGAAAGGCATCATGCTCTAGGACAATGCACTTCGTGCGTATAAGTCTTGCTTCTCTGCATGGTTCACCAGTACAAAGCCATGGGGCTCGGTATTCGTAGCTCTCCCTTGAACGATTGCGTTGTTATTGATGTTGCTGCAATACCGTACCCGAAGACCTGGTTCTACCTGCTAGCATGCGGCACTGATGCACGATGAATCCTGGAATGTATTCGAGTTCTAGGCCCAGTGAATCTTGGGAGACGGTCTGTCGTTGATTTTGTGTTACTCCATTACTTCACACTAAGCCTGATCCGCTACTAGGGGTCGATCTTAGGGGACCCTCAAGGGAGCTCTACCTAATGAAAGAGTCTTGCCTCCAATTCTCACATCAAGAGCTTGTGGAAACTCGAAATTCTACTGCTGCGCTGCCTGCCTAACACTGCCTTGGAAATCTGCTCTTCGGCCTGCCTTAATGCAGCAACGCCGAGAATCCCTTCGATTGGCAACGGATTGTACATCCTGGATGTCGAGAGCGGCGGCAACGCGCATTAAGGCCTCGCTACTGCAAGCCTCCTGCAAGTAACAAGAGCAGCAAAAGTTCATTAATCATCGGTCCGGCAGTTCCTGAATGGGCGGTCAGTTTGTATACCGACGTTTTATGGTAATTTCCCTAGACGACTCATGACTCGACTACAGTTCACTCATGAATTGACCAAACTCACAAATCGACTAGAGCAGGACGACCTTAAGGGCGTTTCATCTAGCAGATCTCGGAACTCCTCTTGTCCCACCAGACCTTCTCATTCGTTCGCAGCCACGAAGTCGGATGTATCTTTCGTGGCTGCCAGTATATCGGACGGTCCGTGAGCTCTTTGGAGCGGTAGTCCTTAGCCGCACCCGCACACTTCTCGGAGCCAATGGAAATGCAGGCTCTCTCCTTCCTGATTTTGTGAGAAATGGTTGATACTCGTTCTCATTCAACGACCTGAAAGCCTCCGCGTGTTGCAGGAGATCTTCTAACGTATGCCAACTAGCGTAACACCTCTGGACCGGACACTGAGTCGACGAATCGACCAGAACCAGACAAATCTTGTATCGAGCGGATTAGTCTCGAAAACGTTCCGTAGAGCTCCGCAATGGGGTACTAGGACGCCCGATTTAGCCCGTGTCCAACGCGTATTTTACCCGCCTGGTAAGAACAACTGACCCCCTGTCATCCGTAAACCCGTCTACAGCTGGCAGAAGCCCAGAAACGGAGGGACGTTAGAGCTGCTCCAGAACGACTTGTCAGCCAGAAGAAGAAAACAGCAGTGTTGCCTTATGCGAGACTTGAGAGAGTATACGAGATCGTGATTATTGGAATTTGTCCTCTGACTTCGGTGCCTCATCGACGCTCGTATTCGACCAGGGGTCTTCTCCAGGACTATTCTATCAGACGAGATCGACTGGTTCATACGGTCCTGTTCACTTGCGTGTATTCAGAACAAAGCGTGAGGTCAAGATTGAGAATTACAGGCCCTGCGCTCGCAGATGTTCGCGCCAAACTTGGATTTCTGCGGGTTTTTATGCATAATCTTGAGCATTTAGTGGATCTTTACATTTCGACTTTCATAATTGGCTTAGGTACGATGACGGTCTACTAATCTAGAGATATGCTGCTCCAAGCAGTGTAAGCACTCCAGGTTTTGTTCCGACAATGAAGCTCCATGTTGCCCCAGTATTGCACTGCATGTCGGCGTTTTTGACTCTGCCTAACTGCCTCCACAGCAATGTATAGCAGGCATCAGGGAGAGCACACAAATTATGCAAGCTTGGGATCTGGCTTCGTTCAGCGGGCTTTGGTGAGAGACTCCAGACTACTTATCGGCTCGTATCAACATTGTAAGGCAAAAGTTGTGGAATACATAAGTCGCTTCAACCTATACAAACATTGTCCTTTGGCTCTTTTTCTAGGATTCAGATACCATCGTAAGAGGCTCGCATATAAAAATTTATCACGACACTCTGGCCCACTAAGACGGATTAATCAGAGGACTCCACGCAGCTGAGGCATGCTTGCTCCAGTGACCCAATTCTTCCTACCTGATGAAATAGGAACGGCCATGTGTCCAAGTAGCACGTGAGGAACCAAGTATCACATCCTGGACTGCCTTCGGGAACATAGTGCAAAGAGCTACGCACAACAGGTAACGAGCAACCATGAATGGCTCAGAAAGCTCATGGAAGACACACGTTGCCCTTTTCTCGGTTGTGGTTCCGGGGGAAAAGACCTCAAAGAGATGTCCGTACACACGTTCGATATTCACTCAATGGCCATGAAAAACTAGACACAATTTCCTTTTATTTCCCCCGAATAAGAGATGGCGACGTCCTTCACTTCCACTGACCAGACAAAGAGCCTTCCTCTGGTGATCCTGTTCAATCGCACTCTAGTCCGTGTCCGTCGTTCGCTTCTGAAGGTTCTGCTTACGCCCCTGTTCTCGCCGCTGAAGAGACCGTTCCAAGTATACTAGCACTCTCGCTAGTCGACAATATCAACTGGAAGCTTCCATGGGGCCACAGCTAACCTCCCTCTAATGCTTTGGCCGCAGCCCAGAATCCGACCTTGAATACTCGTCCAGCAATTCAGAGTTTGATTGATACCCTACCAAGCTGCTGCCTTCTGGTCCTCCCTTATGAGCCATAGTTCCATCAGAAATCCGACTTTCAGTCAGAGCTCTAACCACGACCTCGGGTTCCGATCAAGGCCGGACCACGAATACCGTCCTTTGTACGAGAGGCACGAAAGTGCGAGGATATTGAATCGCACTCATAGATCGCGAAATTTGAACAACACAGACAATGCTTTCCGGACGGAGGCCTTTCCCAACCAGGCATTCTATCATGAAAAGAACTCATCTAATGAGGATGAAAGAGCTATCGGGCGAAAGGCTCATAGAACTCGACGAAATCAGCCGCGATCTGGGTCCCCGAGAGGAGTACAGAGACCCTGTAAAGCATAGAAGTGAAAGATAAGTAAGGATTAAGAAAGCAAACCTGGATACTGGGCGTGCGAAGAGCCCGACAACTGAGAGTCAATTCGATGGGTGGTTAGGATTGTAGGTACAAGATTCGTGAATGTAACTAGAGAGTCTCCCTTAATCGAAGTAGTCACCAATGAAATCTTCCCTGCTGTTTCAACGCTAAAGAATAAAGTACAACCAACACATCAAAGAATTTTAATGATGATCGACTTCTGGGAAACAGAGTCAAGTTCACCTTTGCTACCCGGCACTGATCTGACGTAGGGCTTGATGCTTGGTCGTTCCAGAATCAGTGTGCAAGCCTTCATGTATTGAATCCAATCATGTTCATCACATACACCAGTCATATCAACCAAGAGGAATGTCCCTCGATAATGTCAAGCACATCGTGCTCGTAAGCCTCGCCCTTTCCACCCCACTTCCCTACCCAACCAGTCATCACTAACAACCCCATAGGTCCTCTCTGGCAAAGGCGGCGTCGGCAAATCCTCCATAACGACCCAACTTGCCCTCTCTCTCTCCCTCGCCGGCCACTCCGTTGGCATCCTAGACATCGACCTGACAGGCCCCTCTATACCTCGCCTGCTGGGTCTCGAAAGTGCAAAGATTACCCAGGCACCAGGTGGCTGGCTGCCGTGCGAAGTTCACTCCTCGCAAACTCTTCCTCCCATAGCCACTCCTATTCTGTCGCAAGTCCAGAACGGAGCCTCGGGTTCTGCGCCCTCGACGAATGAGGCCAAATTGAATGGCCATGGCCCACCACCACCACCACCACCACCAAACGCAGGCGTGCAAACAGAGGAGAGCAATATGATAGGATCCCTACACGCCATATCGCTCGCCCTCCTCCTCCCCTCCCGCTCCTCCGCCATCGTCTGGCGCGGTCCCAAGAAAACAGCCATGGTCCGCCAATTCCTCACCGACGTCCTCTGGCCACCAACCGACTACCTCCTAATTGATACCCCACCCGGCACATCGGACGAACACATCTCCCTCGCCGAAACCCTGCAATCGAAATCCCTCCCCGGCCAACTCGCGGGCGCGGTCATCGTGACAACACCGCAAGCCGTGGCGATCAGTGATGTGAGGAAGGAAGTCAATTTTTGTCGGAAGGTGGGGGTGGAGGTTCTGGGGGTTGTGGAGAATATGAGCGGGTATGTGTGCGAGTGTTGTGGGGAGAGGGCGAATCTGTTCGGGAAAGGGGGTGGGGAGGTTATGGCGGGGAGCTTTGAGGTGCCATTTTTGGGGGGCGTGCCGGTGGACAGGCAGTGGGGCGTTTTGGTGGAGGAGGGGAGGAGGCCGGGGTACGGGGTTGTTGAGAATAGTGAGGAGGGGCAAGAGGAAGGGGAGGAGGAGAAAGAAGGGGAGGGTGAGGGTGAAGAGGGTAGGGCGAAATCAGGGGCCCTGGAGATCGATAAGGATAGCAGGGAAGAAGGGCTGCTGGTTGATAGATACAGGAGTTGCTCACTTTGTGGGGTTTTTGAGGGCATTACGAAACAGCTGATCGACATTGTGAGAGGGAGGAGCAACGGAGCCGTCTGATGGGTATCATTTTCAGCGTTCTGCGCTCTTTGAAGCATTGCAATGGCGTCGTCACATTTCAACTGTATGTCATGAGCGTTATCATCGTTCCTGCATTATCATGTCTATCTCCATGTTGGGAAACTGGTTCTGGCTTTGTATGCCTTCGTGTCCGTGCAGATGTTTCTCCTTTTGACCATGGCACGACAGCATTCGTCTATCATCTGAGCCGCCCTTTTCAAACTCCAGCTATGCAATGCTATCATACAATCTATGACCATTTTTGAACCATAACTCCACCTCTCTTGAACTCCGACAGGTCACCAAGTACTTGGCTCTTGTCGCTCAGCTCCTTGCTGGGGAAAGTTGTCATGAGCACCCATGAGCGAGTCCGACTCTGCGGATTGGAAGCGGTAATGAAAGAGTATACGTCGCCGATGGTGTGTGTAGTATTGAAGCGTGCAGGGAGACGCGTACCATCTCCTAACCGTATTTGCAATGAGAGGGTAGGCTGTGACTCGTTCACGTCAACTACTACTGCTTGTGTCGTAGCAGAACTTGCTGGAGCGGCGGCTGGTGCTGGCGCAGGTGCTGGTTCTGCTGTCCTGTTTGATATCCCAGGTGTTGGACTACCTAGTCTCTGACCGCCGCCACCAAATGGAACGTACTTCTTCTTTGGCTGTACATATTTCTCTGAGTGCTGTTCTAGCTTGACATCTACCTCTTGAGCCATCTCGACGTTTAGTATTGCAAGTGGGGCGCGGCCTGTTTTGATTTGGGCGAGGATGGCGGCGTTCGCTGGATCATCTGAGCGGTAAAGCGGACCGTCGTCGACTGAGAACCCGTCGGCCCAGAAGTGGAGATGGCGCTCAACTGGGGGTGCGTGTTGTGGTCGAGATGCATTAGGGTCTTCAATGGTTTGGCTGGGGGCGTCGTCGCCGCCAAGGGTGTGTGCCGTACCGGTGAAGCGAGAGCTCGGGCCGCGTGGGTCATCTCCGCCTGGTCTGGGAGTATTCCTAGCAGAGTGTTATAATATGTAGACGACTCCGGCTTGGGTTACGACATACTTCTGTGCTTTCTTGATGATCTTCTTTCTGAGCTTCTCTGCTGTACCGGGGTTCTCCACGGCTAAACCAGATTTCTCACCTCCCGCATAGAGATCCGGGTTATCGTCGTCGCTTGGCTCAAAGTCGTCATCATCATCCTCGTCATCATGGCCGTGACCGTGGCCTGCGTGGCTAGGCCCCCCACCTCCACTCAGGTCTCCTAGTGTAGCGAACTTTTTCTTCGGTGGCTGCGTTGCAGATGGGGGTGGAGGCATGCTGGAAGAAGCTGGTATAGGTTGTGGAGCTGAAGATGTAACTGCTGGAGCCTCTGGGGCTTGATCATCTTCCTCTGTCCCCTCGGAGCGGTTGAAGTATTCAGTGACTGCGGATCCTAATTCCCAAGAGCTGTTTGCGAGGTATTCTTGAGCCTGTCGTTTGGCTATATCAGCTTGAAGCTCTAGTATGGGAAGAAGCCATGGGGAGAAATACCACTTGTGGTGTTACACCAGCCAAACCCACGAATTCCGAGATAAGTGCGTCGTGATCGGGTTGTCCTTCCGCCATGATGTTGATATGATTTCGGGGAACAGGATGTGTAATGAAGGTGAGAAGCAGGTCGTTGGCCGTGCGAGGTTGTATTTCAAGGATTATGTGAGGTCGATTGCACACAGTGATGAGGGTCACGGAGTCGAGTGCAACGGATACCTGATGCCAAGACTTTTATTGATGGGTTTGAGTCGAGAAGGTTTGCCGAGTGTATTATACAGGTACCCCAATGCCATCATCTTCACATCGCACAGCCAGCAATGGCCGGGTGACATTGAAGAGATAATTGCTGCGCCGGAATCCTTCAAGTTCTCATCTCTACTCTCGCCATGGCACAAGAACCACAGCGGCCCGACTTGACTGCATCCTCTGCCACGATCCCCTCTGACAGCGAGAATTACTCTTCCTCCCAGAATGAGCTCTCTCCCTCCCCACCGTCCTCCTCGAGTTCTCCTATGATATTATACTCGCCGCCGACTGTATGGGGTCTGTTACGGGGCGCAGCGATCAATGTACTTCTACCATTCGTCAATGGGCTGATGCTGGGATTTGGGGAGCTACTTGCTCATGAAGCTGCTTTCAGACTAGGGTGGTCGGGGACGAAGGTATGTACTTTGATCTTTAGCTACGTATTGGAATGGCAGACTGCTAGCTTGGATAGCTGCTGCCGATACGTTTCTGGCGCCTTTCGGTTTGCTTCGCTTCTTGCCCGACTTGTGCTGACGACCAATTGCATTAGATATTCCCCAGCGGACGGAACTCGAGATCAGTAGGACCGGGAATTGAGATTCGAGATGATCCATCGGAGAGAATACGGCGGGAGCAGGAGTTGAACGACATGACATCTCTAGAGTGAAGCCGATACAAGTGGTGAATGGGAGCCAACCACCACTTCTTATAGACGACAATTGGCTGCACATACGGCGCTCAGGCTCTCTTAGGATTCGAAAAGGCATTACTTGGCGTTGGACCGGTAAAGCAGCTACTTGTAGAAGCCATGCGATCCACAAATGTTACATACCAAGCCCATTTAGAGGGGCTACCAACCCCTCTACTTGAGACTGCTTCCATACGTCTTCCATCATTCAGTGTGCAGGCGCTCGTTTCAAGAATACACTTTTGCACTCGTCTTGAATTGTCTCTCATTGATTGCATCGGTGTCTTCGAATGTGGAGGTAACTTCAGGATGATGTGGCCCGCGAAGCTCAGGAATTTTCCTCGAGAGATACAGCCATTTGTGCTATTCCGGTCGTTGACATCTGTGATGATAGACTTGATCACGTCGATAGCCAACTGTCGTACAAAAGGTGGATTTACTGCCTGAAGAGGGTGATGAGTACGAGCAGCTTCCATATTGAGGGGGATGCATGGCTATCCGATTGGAACTCAAATAGGCATGCCTCCACAGTGAGAAACAGATGGGTTGGAAAGTAGTATTGGGTAAGGAAAGTACACATTCTCTCTCCCAGGGGTTCTATAGTCCGCGGCAATTGGCGGAGCCACTTCACCTTGGAAACTGAGCCATTCACTTCAGCAAACCACGTGAGAGGCTGTCGTGTAGCGAGGTACGGCTTATTCGCCAAGGTTTGCATGTGGACACCTATCACGAGCCATGGGCGTTGGTACTAGTTTTTCCACCATCGCTGTCGGGCTTCGCCGTTCCTTAGTTCTAGCTCTCGATCAGATGCTGCCACCCAGTCAACTCCAACCCAATTCATTGTTGTTTCAACCATTGGTAGTGCAATAGAAGCGTAGTGTTCTTCAAAATGTGAGAAGCTGCTGGGCTGAATTGGCAGAGAATTATGTCGTGAAGTCTGATCACAATGCTAATAATTGTAAGCTTTGTGTTTGATTTCGGTTCGAGTAGAGGCGTGAGGATCTGTGGTGACTGGCATATGTGTGCATGTCTTATTCCGGCTCTTATACTTAGAGAGCCTTGTCAAGTTACCTAGGACTTTATATATAGAGACGCTGCGTTGAAACCACTACTTTGTTAGACAAGAATAACACAATCATTCACAAAGATGGGATACTGTTGGGTAACAGTTATCTATAGTGCTGGCCACCGCAATCATATTCACTTCTTGTGGAAGACTCTATACATCCCCCCTGCAATGCCACGGCTGCGGCATTGATACATCGGAGTGGAAGGCCTAGCGTAATGAGAAGAACGAAATTCCGGCTGTATCCTGAAATTATTAAGAACATGAGCTGGTGAATCGAGATGATAGATACCAGGGGCATCTTGGCATGGTGCCGGTGATGAGTACCTATGATCCTTGTCCTTGACTGTGAACAAGCGCGCCATGATTGCCAACAGAAGGCAGCAATACCTCTGACCAACCCAAGTGACAATGCAAAGGGAGTTTGCCATTCGGATGCTTGCTAACAAGATGAAAATTGTATTGCCTTCCTTCATCACAACGTGGCTATCTGAACTGCAAGCGTATTAACACAGATTTATTCTGCTTGGTGATCTAATATCATGGTCGGATAAAAAATGAAAGCTTCCTGAAGGAGCAAGCGATGGAGAAGCAAACACAGAGTCACTGATGAACCCGCCAGAATCCCAGGAATTTAGTGTAGTTGGCAACGCCCAACACAGTGCCTCGCGACTGTCAAGTTGTGGAGCTTGAAGAAAACTATCAATCGAAGTGTGCATGGTTGATATTGGCGTTGTTTGCTGGTGAATCCCGGGGTAAGTCTCGGCAGACCTTCCTCATCAGTATTCATGGAGACATTCTGTGATTCGAGTTCCTCACGAATATCCTTACACCTCCAAGCTAAGCATGATACAAGCTCGCTGTCTGCACAGGTCTGGCCACCGCATTGCAAGTAGCAGTGTAGCCTTGGCAAGGTCCCCTCGACATGGTCAAAAAGTACCGCATCCTAAAGCTTTCCGCGCTTCTATTGGACATCTACTGACCGTCTCCCGTAGTCTTATTCCGCTTTTGCTGGAGCCAGCTTGAGACTTGGACTTGCTACAAATACTTCGACATGGCCGCCGAAGCCATGGCAATTGCGACAATGGCCTTCTCAGCGCCTCAACCGTGATTTCGCGCCACGGTTCGCCTCGACGACCCCAACTCCGCCTATCGCCGAGGTTCAGTCCGACTATGTTCCTCCTCCTCAAACCTCCGTTCCAGCGGGAGAGGAGTTTGTACCAACCTCGTTTGATGAGATAACCTCTTCTATACCTTCACCTGTCTACGAACACCTCGGTTTCCTGAAGGAGATGGGTCTTGATTATGGTTGGGGTCCAACAGCTTTCGTGGAATACCTGTTGGAACATGTGCATGTCTACCTTGGTACACCTTGGTGGGCGTCCATCGGTATATCAATATTGATCATCCGAGCTGCGCTCTTCAAGTTTTTCATGGATGCTTCTGACACCAGCGCCCGACGTCAACACATCAAGCATTTAGAAGA